TCAGCCACGACTTATACTGAGGCCTACTTGCACCCAGATAAGCTACACTCAACTGAGGCCTACTTGCACCCAGAGAGTCTGCCAGAGAACGAAGTCTCCAAAAACATGATGAGTTATTCAGGATCGCAATCCTTAGAGTAAAAATTCCGGAAAATGTCTATAACCATAAGATTAGACCGTCTCACAACCAAAAACTGGTCAAACATGTGTAACATCCGAATACCACAACACAAGGCAAAATGAGGAAAAACTGCATCTCATTAAAACTCCAAAATGTATATCGTTACAACGAAAACGAAAATACAATAACACCAAAGCCAAAAATAACAACTGAGGCTACAAAGATGAAATAAGCTCACTCCTCGACCTGCTTGTCGAACCACTTCCTGAACTTCAACTTCATCTTTGCCTCTGGCTCCCAAGTCTCCTCTGTAGAACCACTGCAATCCCACAAAATCCTCAGTAAGGGAATCCTCTTGTTCCTCAGAACCTTTTCCCTCCTCTCTAAAATCCTCACAGGCACTGCCGGCACTGTCAAATCTGGCTGAAGATCCTCTGGAATCCTAGCCACTAACTCCTCTGTAGGGTGAAGACACTTCCTCAGCATCGACACATGAAAAACCTTGTGAAAGGCTTTCATAATCTCAGGCAACTCCAGCCTGTAAGCCAATGGCCCAACTCGCTCCACTACTGGAAACGGACCCATAAATCGCGGACTCAGCTTGTTCTCTGCTATGGATCTGTTAGGACCCCTCAACATAGCCATCTTGAGATAAACTCTATCTCCAACCTGAAACTCAAGCTCTCGTCTGCGTCTATCTGCATAACTCTTCTGCCTATCCTGAGCCTCCTTCATGTTCAGCCTCACAACACGAACCTTCTCTGTCGTCTCCTGAACATAAGTAGCTCCATACATGCTGCGCTCCCCCACTTGGGTCCAGCATAGGGGTGTCCTACATGGCCTCCCATACAAAGCCTCAAATGGAGCCATGCCAATACTCGCCTGAAAGCTGTTGTTGTATGCAAACTCAACTAAGCTCAGGTGATCTGCCCAATGGCCACCCCAATCCAACACACACATCCTCAGCAAATCCTCCAAGGTCTGAATAGTCCTCTCTGACTGACCATCTGTCTGCGGATGATAAGCTGTACTCAGATGCACCTTAGTGCCCATCTCTGCCTGAAACGCTCTCCAAAACTCTGAAGTGAATCTGGGATCACGGTCTGACACAATACTAGCTGGCACTCCATGCAGCCTCACAATCTCTCGCACAAACTTCCTAGCCAAGACAGCAGCTCCATCTGTCTTCTTGATGGCCAAGAAATGTGCGACTTAGTCAACCGATCCACAATCACCCAGATAGCATCGAAAGTCCTCGAAACAGGTAGTCCAACCACGAAATCCATCGTAATCCTGTCCCACTTCCACTCTGGAATGGGTAAACTCTGCAAAAGACCACCCGGAACCTGATGCTCTGCCTTCACCAAGGCACAAGTGTTGCACTTCGCAACCCAGTCTGCTACATCCCTCTTCATCCCGACCCAATGATAGTACCTCTTGAGGTCATGGTACATCTTGGTCGCTCCTGGATGAATGGAAAACTTGCTCGCATGAGCCTCTCCCAAAATCTGATGTCTCAACTCCACATCCTTAGGCACACAAACTCGCCCACGAACCAAGATAGTCCCATTCGCAGAGACCTCATACTCAGAACCAGTCACTCTCGTCGCATCCAGCAAACTCTGATCACTCTGCTGAGCAACTCTGATCCTGCTAAGTAGATCCGCCTGATCCACTGCCTCTAAACCCAAAGGCTCCTGCGAAATGGCACACAAACGCAAGGTACTGATCTCGCCAACTAGAGACTCCACATCTCGCTCAACTGCGGAATCATACCTCCGTCTACTCAACGCGTCCGCCACTAGGTTAGCCTTGCCCGGATGGTAGTTAATGCTCACCTGATAGTCCGCCAAGAACTCAACCCAGCGCGTCTGTCTCGCGTTCATCATCGGCTGAGTGAAGATATGCTGCAAACTCTTGTGATCCGTGAAGACCTGTACTGTCTCACCTAGCAAGTAAGACCTCCAAATCTTCAACGCGAAGATCACTGCTCCCAACTCTAAGTCATGTGTAGGACGGTTACGCTCACTGCCCTGCCACTGTCTCGAAGCATATGCTATCACTCTGCCCTCCTGCATCAGCACACAACCAAGACCAATGCCTGAAGCATCTGTATACACCATGTAAGGCTTCCCTGGCTCGGGTAACGCCAACACTGGTGTAGTAGTCAACATCTCCTTGAGCTGACTAAAGCTCTCCTCACACTCAGCTGACCAAACAAACGGGACATCCTTCCCGGTCAACTTCGTCATCGGCTGCGCCATGGTAGCAAACCCCTTGACGAACCTCCTGTAGTATCCTGCCAAACCCAGAAAACTCCTGATCTCGGTGGCACTACTAGGTCTAGGCCAATCTCTGATAGCCTCAATCTTAGCCGGATCCACAGAAACTCCCTCTGCAGAAACAATGTGGCCAAGAAATCCCATCTCTCGCTGCCAGAAACTGCACTTGCTCAACTTAGCAAAAAGCTTCTGCTCCCGAAGCTTCTCCAGAACCAACCTCAAGTGAGTCGCATGCTCCTCCTGACTCCTCGAGTATACCAGAATGTCATCAATGAAAATGATGACGAACACGTCCAAATACTCCCTGAACACGTCGTTCATCAATCTCATGAAGGCTGCCGGCGCGTTAGTCAAACCGAAAGGCATAACCACAAACTCAAAATGCCCATAACGCGTCCTGAAAGCAGTCTTCCTGACATCTGCCTCATCTATCGGGATCTGATGATACCCCGATGCCAAGTCAATCTTGGAGAACCAAGTAGCACCCCTCAACTGATCCAACAACTCATCAATCCTCGGGAGTGGGTACCTGTTCTTCACAGTGACTCGGTTAAGACCTCTGTAATCGATACAAAGTCTGAAACTCCATCCTTCTTCTTCACAAACAACACCGGTGCTCCCCACGGTGAAACACTCGGTCGAATGAACCCCTTAGACAAAAGGTCCTCTATCTGCTTCTTCAGCTCTGCCAACTCAGCTGGCGCCATCCTGTAAGGCGTCTTCGATATCGGTGCTGTCCCCGGCTCTAACTCAATCGTGAAAGGATCAGACCGAGATGGTGGTAATCCCTTCAGTGACTGAAAGACATCCTCAAAATCCTGGACAACCTCAATATCTCCCATAACAACTCCAGCTCCTGACTCAGACATAGAAATCGTCGCCAGATACGCCTCACAGCCCCGCTCTAACAACTGCTCGGCCTGAATAGCAGATATCACAATACTCCCGGAAGTCGGTCTCACTCCCTGATAAACCAACCTCCCTGCATCTCGCTCGAAGACCACTCTACCTCTGTAGCAATCCAGATGAACTCTGTAGTGTGACAACCAGTCCATCCCGAGAATAACGTCATACAGCTCCACCGGACTGATGACTAAGTCTGCTGGCATTGACTGCCCCGCAATCTCGATCTCGACTCCTCTAGCACGGCCCAAAGTAGACAAGAATCCACCTCCCGCCACCTTGACCATGCCCGCGCTCTCGCCCGCGCTACTCCGGATGCCACTCTTCTCGGCACGCTCCGGTGTAATGAAGCAATTCGATGCTCCAGAGTCGAATAAAACGTGGGACTCAAAACCGCCCACTAACAAGGTCCCTACACATTCAATTGCGTTGAGAACCTCCACAAGACTATCACAGATAAAAATGACTAACAGACAATAACACAACAACAAATTCTATACTAAGAATTTACAAAGTCTGAGTCGAAGATTTACCTGTGATCTGCCCGGTCTGACTGTCCCGCCAGTCTCCACTGAAGAGTAACCCCGCGGCTGCAATCTGACCCGCGGCTGCACTGCTGCAATCTGACTCACCGGCTGAGCCGCTACTGGCTGAATCGCTGCCACCGACATCTCTGCAACTGGACACGGGCTTGATATGCCCAGGCTCCTTGCAGTAGTAACACACCCTGGTCTGACCGCCTCTCTCCTAGGACAACTCGATACACGATGCTCCGTGCTCCCACAACGGTAACAAGCACCTCGAGTACTGACTACACCAGAGCTCCTCTCTACTCCTCTTCTGACCCTGCGCAGGCAAACCGCCCCTGCCAGAACCAGAACTGAAACTCGAACCACCTCTGCGCTGCTGCTGCTGCTGCGCGGCTGCTGCTGCTGACCCCGAGGCTGGGTAGCAGGAGCAACTGCTGACGGCACAGCCACCGGACCAACTGGCCCACTCAAGATCCGCCTCTACCGACGCGGCCAACTCTACCAGACTCGCCCTCGAAGTGTGCATACTACTCTGCATAGCGTCCGGATATCCTTGCGAAGTCCCTCCAGAAATCTGTTCGTCAACTGATGCTCAGCCTCCATACCAAAGCCCGCATGCACTAACAGACGGCTGAACTCCTCATCATACTCGCGTACAGTACGCGAACCCTGCTCAATGTCCATAAACCGCATCTGAAGACGATCACGAGCCTGCCTCGGGAAATACTTGGCGTTGAACTCCACAAGGAAGTCGCCCCAAGTCCAAAATGCCCTCCGGCCCACCGCGGCCTGCCACCACAAATGAGCATCGCCACTCAAATAGTGGACCGCTAACTCCACCCAGTACTCCATAGGACAACGGATCGAATGAAAGTTCCGCTCCACTCTCTGACGCCACGCGTCTGCCTCCTCTGGACCAACTCGCCCTCGAAGAAAGGCGTACCAATCCTCTGCATGTGGCCCATAAACTCCAAATAACGGTCACACCCGCATCCACAGCCTCCGGCTGCGCAACATCTGCAGCAACATGCTGCACCTCTGCCACTGGCGGTACTCCTGGAGCCCCCTGTGGAACCACCGGCGGAAAACGAGCCAACAGCTGCGTCAGCAACCCCACCACTAAGTCATCACGACCCGGAGCCGGAGCGCCACCCCCACCCGGAGCAGCCCCCGCTCCCAAACCAACACTGGCATCACCCGCCAACGGAACTGACTGGGTCACCGACGCAGTATGCACACTCGGTGCCACACTCTCTCCCGACTCCTCCGGAAGTCCACGACCACGACCTCGGCCTGCTCGGCCTCCACGCTCTCGCCCTGCCACCACGGCCTCTAGCACCGCGCCCTCTCGCGCCACGACCTCTAGGAGCTCCGTCCATCTCACTGCATGGACCAAACATGAGCAACTAGAAATAACACAAAAACACAAACACCAAAAACTCACCGCGGAATCTCCTTTAGCTGAAGGGGATGATACTAAAGCCTAGCAATTCTAACAGTCCTAAAACCGTCTAGGCTCTGATACCAAAATGAAACAACCAACATTTTTTTTTTTTTAATAAATATTAATCAATTCTAGCGAAGGTCTTTAAAAAAAATTAAATAAATAAAATATCAATAACAAATAAATCAGCTCAGCGGAAGCAAATAATAATTAAACAAGTCTAGCAAAATAATGCAAAACAATAAAACAGTAAACATCCTATCATCCCCCTCTTCAGCCTTGATTCCGCGATCACACAAATCTTTTACCTGCAACACATTGGAATGGAGTTGCGTAAGTATTTAATAAATACTTAGTGAGGCAATCACTCTGCCTACGAGCCATTTACGCAATTTACTAGATATTTAATAATATTTATAAACTCCAATAATTATTAAATACCATTTTCCAATTATTAAATAATTTTTAATAATTAAAACTCAATTTCTCAATTATTAAATAATTCTCATAATTAAATAATAATTTTCCATATTTTAAAATAATTAAAATAATTATTTTAAACCAATTAATTAAATAAATATTATTTAATTAATTAAATCCGAATTAAATCTATTTAATTCCATTAAACCAATTAAATTCAATTAAACCAATATAACCAATTAAATTCAATTGAACCAAGATAAACCAGAATCAAATCAATTAAATTCAATTAAACCAGATTTAAACCACACAAACACACAATTCACCACATAAACAACCAAAATATCATGAAATAACAATTAAACAAAAAACTCATCAAGAACAATCATAAACCAAATCTAATCTAGCAAATCGCGGACCCACAGTCATGCACTCACCTTGACAATGATTGAAACTGAAGGAAAAAGAAGACAATGAACAGTGCCGAATCGCGGATGAACAGTAACCCGTGAACAGTACGATGAACAGTAACGATGAACAGTACCCGATGAACAGTGAACAGTGCCGATGAACAGTAAAATCGAAAATCTCTCCAAAAACTCCACTTTTCTCCTCTACAGCCTCTGAACTCGAAAATTCTCCAAAGAGAAGACGGCTGCACTCTTTAAACTTGATTTTAGGGCTTTCTCCACTAAACCGACCCAAACCAATTCACTTAAATTGAACCGACAAAATTCCCAATTTTTATTTTTGGTTTATGGATGTTACATTATTTGACTCTAGGTTAATTGGATTGAAATCGAAATTATCGATGTACTATAGTACGTGTTATTAGAAAGTGGGAAGTTAGAAATCCTAAAGAAAATAATATTTTTATGAAAGTTGACCTTCTATTACTTGATAAAAATGTTAGTAACATCTTATTATATTGATATAGATAATCTTATTATAACATTGATTTATATTAAAGTTACTTTTGTTTGAAACAAGAAAACACAATTCAAGTTTTTGTTCATTATTCACTACTTCATAATTTTGGAGATCAGATGGCCGAAGGAAACATCATCGAAATTGAAATTTGTAATTTTAATCTGCAGTCTGCTGATAAAAAGCTTCTATTACTTGATGAAAAGGTTAGTAGCATATTATATTGATATATATCTTATTAAGAAAAGAAGGGAAAAAAAAGCTCTCATTAAGAAAAGAAAAAAAATTGTTACATCCATTAGGAAAAGGAAAAATAAAACATATTTCAAATACGAAAAGGAAAAAATAATAATATATAGTAAGCTATAGTCTTCATGATTTAATTGTGATTCTATCTTTTGTTTAAACTTTTCTCTCATTAAGAAATAAATATAATGTATTTGAAAGTTCATGATATCAATGAAGAATATTTAACTCTAGATCAGTTGGATCCAAATCAAAATTATTGTTGCTACTTGTGTCTAATATTTTGAAAAAAAAGTGTTAACACAAGAAAATTGGAAAAATGTATAAAAAAAGAAACAAAATAATTAGAAAACAACTAACTAATAATGGAAAGGAAATTTGATAATGGCCTTATTCAAAAACAAAACCGAAAAAATAATATAAATAGAAAAATAATAAAATAATTATTGAGCAACTAACTAATATTAAAAGAAGAAAAATTAGAATGACCTGATATTCTATTTTTTTTTTGATAACCATGGGGATCCTAAAGCTTTCTAGGCCCAAAGACTAATCCCACGAGGCCCACGGCAGTCCACCTGATATTCTAATTTTAATAGTTTTATTTTTTTTGTTAGGTAAAAAAAGATTTAAAAAAAAAATTCATCAATCGAAATCTCTTCAATGGAATAATAAAAGTTTCATGAATTAATCAATTAATCAAACTTACACATGTGTAAGTCTTTCAATTTTAGATAAAAGTAAAAAGATAACAAATTAATTCATTTTTCGTATCATGAATTCAGAAAATATGTCAATCTTATTATATAAAGCTGGATGTGCGCGACGTGGTTGTGACACGTAGGATTTTTATAAATTATATGATCGCGACATGTGTCACTTTAATGTTAAAACCGTTAAGATTGTGACATGTGTTTTGAAAAAAAAAATTATTTATTTTATATAAATATTAGAAAACCGAAAATTAAGAAAAAAAAGAAATTTTAACATATAGCATTAAATATATATATATATATAATTAAAAATAGATTAACATTAAAAATTTACATTTTGTTTAAACAGGAAAACACATTTCAAGGAAAAATAGGAAACAAATAGAAATATTTAAAAAAAAAAAATTATATCCATCAAGAAAAGGAAACAAAATACTCCCAATACGAAAAGGAAAATTAATTGATATTCAGAAACAAATAATAAAATAAAAAATGTTACATCTGTTAAGAAAAGGAGAAAAAACATATTCCCATTAAGAAAAAGAAACAAAAAAATAATATATAATAAGTTATAGCTTTCATGATTTATATCTTTGATTATATCTTTTGTTTAAACTTTCTCTTTTATTACAAAATAAAAATCATGTACTTTAAAGTTCAAGATATCAATGAAGAATTTTAACTTTAGATAAGTTGGGTAGAAATTGAAAATTTTGTCGCAAAATGTTTCTAATATATGATCATGTGTTAACAAAAGAAAATTAGAAAAATGTAATAAGATAAATAAAAAAACTAACAAAATAATTTTAAAAAAACTAACTAATTATGAATAAGAAAATTTATAATGGTCCGAGGCAAAACAAAATTGAACAAAAAAAATATGATAAATAGAAATTTAACAAAATAATTATAACATGAAAAAAATATCTCATTGACCGATATTCTAATTCTAAATAGATTAATTTTCTATTTTTTGGTAGGTAAAACAATATTATGAAAAAGATTTCATCAATCAAAATCTTTCAGATAGAATAATCAATTCTAATTAAATATTATAATTATAATAGTCAAAATAATCTTTTGAATATTAATCTACTTAGTTTTAAAAGTGACCAGATTTTTGTTTAGTATTTTACTATGATTTATTTTAATTATATTAAAATAAACCTGCGTATACATGGGGCCTAATCTAGTTACAGAATAATTAATAAAATTTATTTAATTATACTTTTGAATAACATATTTAAACAGAAAAATTATATAGAGTAACTTATAATAAAAAATCAAATTTTCTGATATTGAATGTTATTGTATTAACTTAAATAAAATTAATTTAATAGTTATAATCAGTATCATTTATATCTAATTTAAATTTACTCACAATAGTAGAAATATAATTTTATTTTATATTTTATAAAAAGATAAAATATAATAAATAACAGTATATAAACTCTTTAATTAACTTTCTAAGCTATTGAGTATTTGATTGGATACAAAATATTGGAACCAATAATAAGATGATATCTTATATATAATAGGAGAGTTTTCTCTCCAAAAGATCTCACAGAATTTCTTTTGCCTCGGAATATAGTGAGAAAGAAAGAGAGGTACTGAAACTTTTATAAACTTTTTTTTGGGTATGAATGTTGCTAGAGGTGAAATTAGCACATTTCCATTAGCCCGTCACCGTTAGTAATATCATAAAGGCCAAATTCGACTTTAGCCCTAACCTCCTCGACAAAATGGCAAGACTTGAGGAGAAAGGCACAATCCATGAGGAAATGTAAACAAAGCCTCATGACGACTCGAAGAATGGAAGGAAATCTAGAACAAGAGGAAATTTTCCATATCGCTAAAGAGGAAGTTTTCCATCTCGCTAAAAGGAGAATATTCATCAAAGAGCTGACCTATCAACGCTATATAATGAAGACCCCCACTCGTGGAAAGGCATCCGAAAATATCCCAGCAGAATCCGCTACTCAGCTAAAAGAAACCTAGGCAATATAATTTTCTTTGTTTTCCTTGTGTTCATCATTGTTCATCTCGTCAAGATTGTTGACGAGACCACCTCCTTTTGTAACCTCTTTGATATTCTTCGAGTTAATTAAACACCTAGTTCCCTTTTTTTTTTTTTTTGAACAACTTCTCATTAGAATAACTTAAATTGCAATTATAAGAGTAGAAAGCTGATAACCCTTTGCCAAGGAGTAGAAGCAACTTGATGCAGAAAAGAAATACAAAGCAATAAAAGGATAGGTTATACAGTTTTGATCAAAAATAAAAACTGGAAGCTTCTTCAAAAGGGCTCCTATGATCGTTTTAAAAAAAATCTCAAGTTCTTTTGCTGTTGAAAGCAAGCGAACAAGATGAATAGCTCGTATTGAGCGTTTAGAGTCGATCTCCATAAAGGAGAGAAGCGAATTCAGAGATACACCGGTGAGTTGGTAATACTCTAGAACCGCGAAGAAGAGCTTGGAGATGCGCCTGATTAGCAATATTCCAGAACCCAAATCGGTAAGGACCGATGAAATCCCGGCTGATGGTCCGGTAGATGAGACATTGAATTGCATGATAACGTGTCGACCGCTACACAAACGCAGAAAACGGTGAAGCTTGAGCGGGAGATGAGCGGAGCTCGGAGATTGCAATGTTGCAACTCAACTCCGGGAAGGACATCGGAGAAATGGACGAACTTGGCCCATGGAAGCACGGCAGTGAAGGGATGTTGTGGACAGCCGCCACTGAGACATGAATGAGGGGAAAACGCGGAGTTGGATCTCAGCGGTATCTCTCCAGAGTGAAACAAAGATACCACAGCGGAAGAGGTTTTGTCGCCATCAAGGGCCGACAGAGGAGAAGAAACGGTTCTTTGTGTTGTGACTGGAAATCCCGAGATGGTCAAGCTACTTCGGTCAGTTGGAGGAGGATTGTCGCCGGAGAATTGAAATTTGAAGCAAACATGGCAGCTGGCTACCTCTAACTCCATGCCTGAGAAAGTTAGAACTAGGACAAACTCTATCGACTTGTGCTTAGGATATGGCAGAGGAAGAGCGCATAAACTAGTCGGAGGCGGAGGGTTACTAAGAGCTTGAAGGTGAACGAGAGAAGAAACAACCGGCCAGAGATCCGGTGGATCTGGCGGTTCTGGTGGAGGATTCGGCTTGCACCTAGGCGGCGGCTCCGGTATGAGGGAAGAGCGAGACGAGCTTGTCCTCAAAAGCTCACTGGATCTCTTCCACACAGACATCGGAGACATCGGAGACGTTGAGCAGCCGAAAACCAGAAGACGAATCATAGATCTGGTCGGAGTCTTCTCATTCGACGGAAAGTAACAAAACTTCATCAGACACCAAACAGAATCCGGGAAAAAGAAGATGGAGCTCCGATTCAGGGAGAGAATCGGCGGTGATCCATCCCGGAATCAGAGCTAAGCGGCGGCTGAAAAGTTTGTCTCGTAAACCGTGCCTGGGAGAGAAGGGATTAGGGCGAACTCATTATTATTAAAAACAACTAAATATCTAAAAAAAAACACCTAGTTCCCTAAACTCACATCTTTGGTATCCCGTTTTTACGAGTGCTATCTCAGATTCAACAAATGTTAAACAGATAAGATCACTGAAACTTTGCAAGTTGGATGACTATCTAAGACATGTTGAAAATGAGGTAAAAGGCTCTTGAAAAAAAGTTTGAGTTGACGTGAAATAATTCACAACTTTGCATTTTACATTTTGGGGAACCCGAAGTTGAAACAGTGAAATAAACACCCACCATGGCTTTATTCGTATAGAGATTTTCCTCCTCTTTTATATTTCTTCTCTTCAAAAGATGTTCACCAGGCTACACAATGATTTTTTTTATATTATTCCAGATAGCTCATATCTTATTATATAAAGCTGGATGCGCACGACGTTGTTGCGACACGTAGAATTTTTATAAAATTCAGTATCGCGACATGTGTCACTTTTGTAATTTCCGGATTGAATTTAAGTATTGTGTTGAGAACTACTCCCTCTGTTTCAGAATATAAAGGGTTTTAGAGTTTTGTTTTTGTTTCAAAATATAAGGGGTTTTAGAGTTTTTTTTGCAAAATTAAATGTGTTTTTGTTACTTTTAGTTATTTATATTATGTAGATTTCTTTTTCATTGGTTGAAATGTTTTAGATTGATGATAAAATATATTTTATTTCATAAAGTACAAAAAATAAATAGCTTCTTAATCTCTGTGCAAAAACCTTAAACCCTCTATATTTTGAAACAGAGGGAGTAATAAGAACACTATCAACGTGGTGGAAATCATCATGTACTTAAATTTGTTTTGAATTTTAACTAAACAGATGTATGGTGACCCAAAGAAAAACTGAGAAGATGTATAAAATCAAATCAAAGGCCAGACAGTTATTATGAGTATTATTATGAATACTAGACCTACAAATAAAGAAAAACTGTCTTGTTCAAATGGGGTTCGATGTAAGATGTCAAAATACTAAATATAAAGTACACCCATTCAAAAGAAAATGTTAAAACAAAAACACAAAATAAGACTCAAGAGATTCACCACGCATCTGATGTGTCCGTGGAAAGCGAAATGAAGACATTGTTGTTGTGAGAAAATGTTGTGACCAGGTCTTCAAACATATGCCTAGGGTAACATTCGTTTAACAGTACGACCATCTTGTCTAATCATTGCGTTTTTAAACACAAGTTAACGAAACCACATTGCGTTTTTAAACACTTGTTCTGGCCGAACTTGTTCCAAATGACTCCATCTTTTGATCTCCAGCATTGATCCGCGTCCAAGCCTTGCAAACTCAAGTAGTTGTCAAGAGCTTTCGTTTCATTGTCATGGAAGCTACGTTGTAGAGAAGCTTCTCGGTGACGGTAAGTCGTTGTTGGCTTTTATCTTCAATCGTGATGGAGACTATGAAGTGTGATGAAGATACGTTGGTCAACTATGGGAATAAAGTTTTAAAGAAGACTTTGGAATTTGCGAGAGGGTGTAGAGAAGTTGATTTGTTTGGTAATCTTGTTACGAAATTGAAGCCTTTGCTCGGTCTGTTGCGTGAGTTCCAAGGAGAAAGCATTGCAGCTATAGGGGATGATTGGTAGGAGCTGTGATTGCTCTCCAGAGCACTAAATCTCTGTACAGCAATCCAAAATCACCAATCAAGCTCTCATTTCATCTCTTTCCATTTTTGAAACGCAGAGAAATTTTTTTTGTTTATGGAAATTTTGTGGCTTTGAAAAGCAATTTTTCTAGAGCACAAAATTAAGTGTTCTTAGAATTTTCCCTTTCCTCTTTCCTTATTATGTTTTCAACATTTATTTTTTTATCTATTATTTCTATATCTTGGGCCTGATTGGTTGTGGCTGTGGCTTTAGATTTTTGGCTGTAGATTTTACAGCAAAAAATTTAAAGCTACGGACAATGTACATGTCGTTATAGTTTTTTATGCTTCATATTTTGACTGTTTACTTTTTTTTTTTCATCTCGCATTCGATCTTAATGATTTTGTGGTTAATTATCTTCTTACGTTTTGGATAAAAAGTTTTGCAAATGCCAAATTTGTTTAATCATCTAAATAAACACAATAATACAAAAAGTCGTGTAAAGCACGGATCATCATAAGTAATAATTGACTTAACCATACGCTAATATATAAAAACTTCTCGCTTGTATCGTGGGAGATTAATATATATATATATATATATATATATATAGGATCAATTAATAAATGTACGAACACAAACAATGAAATGTGCATGGATCATTTAATAATACATGGATCAATTATGACCCGAATCCATTAATTTAGGAAGTTATTATAATATTTTCGTTTTTCAATGGCACTAACATGCATTTGCCAAACCAAACAAACACACATATATTTTCCTCTTTGGAGATCAACGAACTTCGAAGATCCATGGCGATATCTCATGTTCAGCCTCTTCTTCTTCTCTTAGCATCACTCTTCTTCTTACCCACTTTGTTCGCCCACAAGTTCGAATACTGCAACAGTGAGTATCGATTGTCAATCTTGAATTTCTTTTATGTAAACTTATGTCGTCTTCACTGTCGGTAGGTTAATATGATAACTTAACATTACAACACTTATTCTTATGATTTGATCAATCAACATATTGTCTTTTGCTCCTATATATATCTACAAATAAAACACCTAGCCTAGCTACTACTAATTATTTGACATATATTTGGATTGGTTTCTGTAAAGAACGATCATGTTGACTTATAATGAATCTTTGTTACCATTGTAGATAACACTGGATATGATTTTGGTCACGTAAGTGGTGTCGCGACCACATCTAGGGACAATGACACAACCACTACGATATACATATCCGTTCATCCAAGTACGCAATTTTTTTTCATCTCCTTCCAAGTTTTTCAACTATCTTAATTCTTTTTCTTTCTAATTACTTTTGAGCTTATATATAGACAAGATATTTACATAGTGTTTTTGTGCGTATACAGAGAAAACCCTCTATAAAGGAAGTGCAAGCGTGTACCTTTTCTATGGCGAAAATCCTGAACCCATGGATGGTTGCGTTTACGAACTCAGTGAGGTGGTGAACACATTACCGATAAAACCTGACACCAACATTAGATTAACTCTTACTGAAGTTCCTTTGCAAAACGATCTCGTGGTAAGTTCCTTTGCATAACATAGAAGAAGTTATGATATAAATCTATACATATATATATATATATATATATATTTAAGAAATTAACTCTTATTATTTTAATCTGTGAAGAGATATAGTAAAGTTACTGTAACTTTGTTTGGTGAAGAACTTAATGAAACGGGAACTCCAAAAGAAGTATTGTGCGTCAACTTCAATCCCTATGATGATTACACAGCTTCAGCAGGAGGAATCTCTGCATAATCAAGTTGGTGGGTGATGGTGAAACTATGTTTTCAAAGTCTTCATATTAAAGTTGATGGGACACATTTCGTTGTTATTTCTTTGAGCTTGGCAAAATGTAAACGTTTTCTTATTACAGATTTCTTTTTTTTTAAAACGATACCAAAATAACTTTTAATCTTTTTTTATTTTGCTTTAAGCTTCACTACGAAAATAACTTGTTGTGGATGGATCCACTTTTTACCTCTTCAATAGCTGTAGCTCAAAAATAAAATATATTGTTTGAACTTATTATACTTTCTTAAAGTGCTATTTAAAATTTGTCACCATTGAAAAATAGTTATTTTTATAGTAGATGATCAGTTCAAGAGTGCTATTTAATTTAAATTAAAAGATTATACCAAATTCAAACTTTGTTTTCACTACAGAATCTTTGATAACAAAAAAAAAATACTGACAGAGTAAATTTTTTAAATAGGCTAAAATTATTAGCACATAATCGGCAACATCACCTTTAAAGTCATCATATGGTCAAAATACTATCGGTTGTTTTGAATTTGGATATGAGCTTCATATAGATTATTAAGAGAAATATTTGAGCAAAATATAAGCAAAATCTAAGTAAAATATAAGAAAAAAAAAGAAGAGGTTGATTGATTTTGTGTTTCTTGTGTTAATTACCCTTGAAAGATAGAGGTTAGGATCTTAAGGAACATGGAGGATGAATTACTATATATGGTATCTGAAGGAACACATGCGAGACAAAAAATTGCGAGTGGTGACACGATTTTCGCACAACATGACAAAACTAGCTTGTACTGATGGAGAGAACTTCTCAAGGAGAGTAGTGGTATCCTCTGAATCTGAATCTTCTTCTTCTGTAGGTGGCTACCAACATGCTTTTCACGGTTGCTTCGTCGTTTGGTATGTTCCTATCTATCGAGCTCAAGAACCTGGAATCTTTGATCCTCGGACGTAACCACATGACCAAGTTTTGCCCCTCCTCACTCAACGTCTCATCATTCGCTTTCCTTCCGATGATCATCTCCATTAGGATCACCCCGAATGTATAGACGTCTGCCTTTTTGGATACTCTTCTTGTACCTACTATTTAAAAAAAAAACAGAGTTAGCACAAATACTTCATAGCTTTTAAAAGTTGAAAATGAATCTCACTCACTAACATAATTCGGATCTATATATCAAAATGTTCCCACAACTGCTTCTGTCTCAACAGAATCAACTCCCTCAGGTAAGACCTTCAAACATCAGAAGTCGGATATTTTGCTATCATACCATCTCCTAGAAGAATGTTGGAGGGTTTCAACGATTCTGTGAATGTAGTTGTTTCTGGCTAGACGATGAATGTATTGGGTCCCTCGTGCCACATCAAGTGCTATGGTCACTCTCTAATCCCAAGTCAAAGGGGTATAACTTGACACTCTGCGAAGTTGAGGCCATCTGAAACAAATTTCAAGGTTATGTTTTACATTTTCTGATTAACAATTTAGACAATCCGTAAGTGGATATATAATCACAAATAGCCACACAATATGTGTGACACAAACATCGTAGAAAATATAGACACATTCATAATCTGTGACTATTTCTCGCTACTGGCTAAAAATATAGCCATAGAATATTTTCCCATAGTTTGTGACTATTTTAACTACTAGATGGTATCCCGCGCTACGCGCGGGCGTATACTAAATTTAATTTTTGTTAAAAAGATTAAGTATTTTTTTTTGGGTGCAAAATTTAAGTATTTACTATTACACTTTTAATGTTTATATTTTATTGATTAAGTGTACATTTTCTGAGTTTGTTATTATTTGTGGATACAATTATCAAAATAAATACTCACTTTTTTCTAATCCATTTGATATAACTTCTTCAATTTGTATTTCCACCATATTTGTAAAAGGAGTAGTTTCATAAGTAGCTGAGCAAGGTAAAAAAGTCTTATAATTTACGCTTGTACGCTCTCGAAGCTTGTATTGCACTATGACTTGCCACGGAACAATGAAACAACGAAAACCATTCACATGAAACTGGTAAAAAAACACCACGGAACAAATATAGTCATATATTTTATAATCGCATCGAAGGTGACACTAATGCTGTTAATTTGCAGCTAGAACCACAAGTTTATAACTGGAAAACGGTGTATACTAAAATTACTCATACTCATCAATCATTGAGATACCAATTCTCTGCATATTTCAACTCATCAGTCAACAGATTTGTTCTCCAAACTTAGAACTTTACAAATTTTTCTGCTTTTCTCAGTCATATACATATATACCAAATCGCATTGCAACGTCTAAGGTATACAATTTTGGAGAATCACCAAAGATAAAAAAAACAAATCATAAGCAAATTGGAGATGAATAGTTCACCGGTGAGAGAAAGTGTGAGCTGAGCTGCAAACGACAGCTCTCTGATCACTCAAGGCAGAGGCAAGCTGCAGGTCTATTGAGACTCCAAATTTCGGATACGTAACATGCCGAACACTGTCTCCACTCCCCTGCATCGCCGCATGCCTTTTCCCGCTATCCAATTTCGAATTCTCTAAAAGCCCATTTCAGTTCCTAAAACAGAGTTATTTTGTCATTGATCATTAGTGACATTGAGCTTGAGTAAGAAAGAGAGCCTATAAAAATTAAAAGGTCAAAAGGTGAGGGTTGAAACTTGAAACTTACCTTCCCAGTTTGCTTATATGAAAGTTGTCAACCATCTTTTAAATTTCCACTATCTTCTAAACATGCTCGTTTGCATCTCAATTTGTAACACAACTCGAAGTTCTCTTAATTCATTAGACCCAGAAGATGTTTTAACATAAGCTGGTTGCTAAACCTACAAAAAAAGGATATGAAAACCAGACTGGAGAAGATAGAGTGTTAAATAGTAGCATTTGATAGTCAAAGTTCTATGATCGGAAATAACCAAGTCACCAACTAACCAAGTCACCAACTAACCTTTACCTCAATAATAATTTAAGAACTGGACAGTAAACGTACATGAGCAAATCGAACCCACCAAAAGTTGCGACGTCCAGATACATAACCTCAATACACTCCAAATGAGAACCTGATAGATAACAAAATCTTCGCTACAACGCTTAACGCTACATGATCAACAGTCTCTTCATCTCCTCTGTTATAACTCTCAAAATCTTTGAATTTAAATTACCTCAAAATTATGGGGCTCGCTAATCGATAAGCTATATTCTACCTTAAAGTAATCTGATGTGTGTCACCCACGTTTATTTGTTAAAGATGAAACAAAAATCTGAGCATATATGCAAGCCAGTGAACATCAAACTAATACAGATAATGATTATTGTTTTTTTCCAACGGAGGATGATTTAAATCATCAATCATTCTCAACAATGTAGTATAACATAATATCATAGCTTAAACGAAAATCTAGAGAAAAATTATAAGAACCTGGTCTTGTATTCGGCAATCTGCAAATTTGAGTCTCGCCATCATTGTTCAAGACCTGAAAATCGGAAAATGTGGTGAAATTTGTGATAAGAAAGATTATGAGAACCTGTGACAGCACAATCGCCTCCCAGAAATACAGAAGTCGGACCAGGACGTCGTCGTTGCAGAACTGACCGTCGATTGTATCCAGAACTTGGAAAGTCAGCGGCTTGCCAGAGGGAGAAAGAGCTTACGACGCCATCGTTAGATTTCGGAGTGGGTTTCGAACTGATTGGGTATGTAATGGGTTGAAGAGTGGCAGGTTTTATAGAGATAGATGAGACGATTCCGATTCCGGGGAACGATTTGAGTGGCCATACAATTGTCGGCAGAAATAAATTCGAAATAGCGGTGACAGTGGGAGAGGAACTGGACAATGAAGATGAGCAAGCGTTTATGCTGGGAACCGAATCGATTCGATTGTGAAGCTTTGCGTGTGTTTACGATGGAGATGAAGACATCTCTTCGGTGCTTCAGGTGGGCTTTGGGTTTCTAAATTTCGTTGGTTTAAGGATGGGCTTACATGGGTTTTTTTTTTGGTGGTTTTAGGTCGACGTGGCAATTTTTTTTAACGCTGCTGATGTGGCACGACGGGAAAGCTTTCTCAGGATGCCCTGAGAGGCCCCAGGCAGTTGCTTTAATGTATTATAGATTGAATCGACCACGTACGTAGTGTCAAATTTTGTTGACTTGCTTGCAAAGTAACATAAGTACGTACGGAATATCAAAATGAGTAATCCAACCCAATCCAATCCCGGAATGTCAAAATGAGTAATTCGATCCAATCCAATCCTTTCCGTTATCCGACCCATGAGTCCATGACCCCAAAAAAGTTGTCAAAAAATAAGCAAAACAAAAGAGAAAAATGAGCAAAATAAAAACAAAATCTAAGACAAATATAAGAAAATCGATTTTTTTAAGAAGTTATTGATTAAAGAAGAAAGTAAGACAATAGAAGTTATTGATGATTTTTAAACTTATATATACAGATAAGTTTCTATTTGAAAAACATTGATAAACCACCAGCTTAACTGAGATTAACAAACATAATCAGAACAATTAGTCCTAACCGTATTATACATAATTAGATTACTACACTACAAGAAATCTAATTAAACATAAACAAATATAAACATACAGAAATAGAATTCAGTTTACCGCACAACATTTATCCGATGGTCCGCACGGGTCCAACTCTAGCTATTAAACGATATTTTTTCAAAGACCAGAAGTAAACGGCATGAACCACGGAACCCAAGAGCTACCTTTGATGAAATTACCAACTGTAAACAAAGCTTCTGAAGTCGAATGAAGGACCCGAAACCCAGGCCATGTGACCCAACCCGACGATATAGAGTCACTTTAATAACGACACTCTTGGAAATTTATTTCTTTCTTTTTTGGGCATTTTCTTTATAACTCATGAGTTTACGTGCACCTTTGCATTAGTGTTGCGTTCTTCATGCAGGGGGAAAATAAATGATGACTCCATTTATTTATATCCACGTGACCAAAAAGTCAAAATCATAACATTTCAAATAATACAAATGAATTTAATTCTACAGGAGATATGTATACAAATGCTGTAAATTTATATAGTATTTTTTTTTTTAAAAATGAAAAATGCAATACCATATAAGAAAAATATTAATACAAACACTCTTAGTAGAAAAGCCAAATGTTCTGAGTTTACCTTTACTTTGTATTTTGCACTTAATTATGCATTTATAATGGATAATAACATAAGTAGTCCAGTAAAAACTGTGCGAATCGGAGAAAGGAGTTTGATATCATTCATTTTTAGTTATTTATTGCAAATACATTTATAGGAAACTTGTGACTTCATATTCATGCTCTATTTTCAAAGGAGATTCCTTAGAAACAGGTCGTTCTTCAAACCATTGATAAGTAAGGATTTTTGTATCAACTACTCTCAATCCATACCACTCATGTCATTGTAGTACTTGAGATGTCAATCCAAGTGGAGATTCAAACTATCGAAATAAAGAAAAGGCAAAGATCAAGTTTTGATAAAAGATTGGGTTTTGTTTTGTAAAGATCTATGCTTTAAGCTAACAAGATGAAAGAAAGATTTAAACTTTAACAATAAGATAAAGGAGGCGTCTTGGGTGAGACTTAGTTGGGATCAAACGAGCTCAACCTTCCTTTCTCAACACACCAAGACTCAAGCTTTGTGCTTAGACTTTGGGTAAATCCGCCACTCTCGTGGTCAGATCGCTTTGCAAGCTGAGAATCCAAAGCTAGCTCTCACTAGTGGACTCAAAGTTACAAGCTTTCACAAGATCTAGTCTAAAAGTGCACAAGATACATCCCAACAACCAATCTCTTAGGTTGGGAATGTTTCTCTCTATCGCTAGCTCTCTTAGGCATTAACGCAAACACCTTCTAGGTGTACTAGCCTAGATTCGCGACTTCAAGTGATCAAGAAGAAGCCGAGATATAAAGCTCTAGCTAAAGAAAAGCTGGTCAAGGGAGATTAAGGAAGAGGTTAACAGGAAGCTAAAGCTCTGACCTTTCCTAATCTCACCCTCGAAACCTCTAAAGAACTACTCGCTACTCATACTCGAACCGAAAGCAAAGAGGTAAAGAAAGCTAGAAATCATCATTAAGACAAGATTAGCAAACTAAGTACTTCTTAAACTTAAAAGATTCAAAGTAAAAGCTTACAAAAGATCTCCAAGAACAAACTGTTTTTCTTGGAGAGAAACTGGTTACAAGATAAAGATTGCCTAAAATTAGGTCTTAAAGGTTTATATAGAGAAGGGAAAAGTGTATCCTTTGGTCAACGTTTTTGCTTTGACTTCACAGATGCGCGCAGCTTGAGCAACTTCCTCAAGCACTCTGTTTCCTTTTGCTCAAGGCTCTGTTCCGTCTTGCTTGTTTTGCCATCCGATTACTCCGATCTCCTTCTGGTCCATCTCCGATCATCACCTCCGGTCTGCTCCTTCGCCATAAGCTCCGAATACCTGATAAATGCACCCCAAATGCAATGGAAATGCAAAATGCTATCCTAAAGGCTAAATGATCCTAAGTAGACTAAAGCTACACTAAATGTTATGAAATGAGACTCAATTATACACAGAACTATGCAGTATGAGAGGCTAAATGCATGCAATGTTGAGTACATCAACCATAACTCCAAATTAACGGTTCCACAGTCCCAGTGGACAATACATATGAACACCTGACTAACATCGAACCTGTTTACCAACTGTACATTGAGGCTCTTGTCCACCAGCATCCATTCACCTAAAACAAAGGGAAAAAAAGATAATTACCACACACACACATGAATAAAAAAAAAAGATTGTAAGCTTAAATGTTTCATGATCTATGTTTCTTGGTAGTTGTACAGGTACTTACCGTTTGGGAGGTTGTTCCCTTCATACAAGTGCTCTCCAGAGTCTGGCCAAACTTCATTCCTTGTACCATCAATCGACGTGAAGGAGATAAACGATTCGGTTGGATGTATGAGAGTGAAAGTTGGATGGACTCTTAAGCATACCAGCCTGCAACATTTCGTAACCAAGGACCAAAAGAGCCATCATATTCCAAACACAAGAAAAACAAAGACATGGAATTTGAATCATAATCTTCACTTGAGCTATTCTCATCTGTCTAGTCTAGACTCGTAACCAACCTATTATCTACAAACTCTACTTTGATTACACAGCAAGATAATATATATATAGATTGGCAAACCTTGAAAATCCATCAGAACCAGCACCAACGCTACGGGCTTCAATGCTAGAGGCAATCCGAAAAACTTTGGGATTGTGTTTAGGTATAGTGATTTTACGCCGAAGAACCAGTCCACCACCTACATCACCTTCTAGTATAAGAGACTCTTCTTCTCCTGCATGTTCCAAATCTCTCCTACACAAGATGAAACAATCAAAATCAGTAACATAAGTAAGTATAATGCAGAGAACGCTGTGTCTTCATATCAACATTCATCGCATGTGTGAGAGAAAAAGCATCAAAGTAAACTCACTCAATGATATTATATTCCTCAGTGCCTCCAGCTGACCGGTACTCAGTATCAATGTACTCTTCATAACCATTTATATCTATCGTGCTATGAAGCCACTGAACTCCTGCAGATTTTTATCATCCAAAATTAGAACTTCTGCATATTCTTGACAAGATAGTGAATTGTGTATGATCATGAGGCTCCTCCACATTGACAGTATCGTATTCATAAAGAGTAGATGGACAAACAGTTAAGTACTTGAGACTATATTACCTGATGGAACATGTGTCATGGACAATATTCGTCCTCCAATCCAGGGAACTATATTAAGTTTCCAATCGCCATTGTTTAGCTCAACTGGTTCTTTTGAAAGTTCCATTCCCTTATGTCCAGGTAACATTTCCTTCTCAGGTATCAGTTTTGCATTTTCTACATTTCAATAATACACGTGAAAGGCAATATGAAAGTTAGAATCCGGTTGTAGCTGTATTCATGACAGATGTGTTCACAAATTCATGCAGATGGGTTTTTTCGTCAAATCAAATGCTAAAATCAGAAAGAGGCTAACTGTTTTACCCATATGGAGTTTAAAGCGCTCACTGCTCGTGGATACTAATTCTGTAACTTCATTTTCACAAGGCATCTTAATCTGGATAATCTCTCCATCCGTTCCCCAAGCATCAAGCTGTTAAACATTATCTAAATTTAAATGTTTTAAACTTTTAGATACACTCTGTTTAACATTGCACCTCCACCAAGCAGTAATTGGACATGAATACGGCGATTTGGCCTCTGCCACTCTCCTTCAGTTTTTAAAACCTTCACAGTAACAATGGAAGACTGTCGCGCGGCGATGTAGTGTGTAATTAGATAGCTGCCTTTCGTGTAGCCATACCCATCTCCATCATCTTCAAATAGGACTCCTATAGCTTTCCCTGATAGAAAAAAGAATTATCATCCTGCTGATCAGAAATACATACTATGAATGAACATAAAGGCTGAGAAGACAATCGACACAAAATTTATAGAGCCTAATACATGATATAGACCATGGAATTACGAAGAACCAACAGCTGTTGAGCAAAACTTACCATTTTCATCTAATGATACAAGTAGAGTCAAGTCATCTGACAGACTCGATTCCCCAACATGTAGATGAGGAGGACCAAGTGTAATGATGGATCCACCTTGTAAATATAATGTTGGCAAATCCTGAGATCATCAATGGAAACATTAACTTAATCGAACTGCTTTTCTCAACAGAAGAGAGAAGAGGAAATCGAAAGTGTCAGAAATCATACCGGGTGTGAATCTTCAAAATCAAACCTCAACCAAGTTCCTCTGGGCAATATTTGTTGCAACTCGTGTGATCCCTAACTAGAAAAAGTGCTACACAATGATTGAAACAAAGCAAAGACAACTTGATGAGTACCAATGTTTGGCAGTTCACAAACTACAGAGCAACTCACATAGGATGAATAAAGAACATTTTCCTCAAAAAGAGAGAGCAAGAGAGAGATAGATTATATGTTGAATATCTATGCTAGCAGCAATGTTATTTAGTTATGGTTATCAGAGAAAAAAATGTTTGATCTAAGACCCTCATGACCAGTCCTCGTTACTTATCAGTCAGTAAGCTCAGCAAAAGGTTCTAGTTCAACATTTTTAATTTTGTACCGAAAACTCAGTCACACAGCAGTGAAGCACTTTGTCAAGTACACACAACTCGCATAACAGAGTGAACTCATGAAATCTGCAAGCTCGATGAATCTGAAAATCAACATGCAAAAATGGAAGATCCATCATTTCATGTCTAAGTGAGAAGAAGAAAACCTTGCATGGATAAGAAGTGAACCCAAAAGAAATGCATTTTCAACAGTCCTTAGCCGGAAATAATTAGGATCTGCATATACGAAGACAAGAAAAAAAAATGAGAACATAAGAAAGATATCATTGCATAAGTTCAAGATACGGAATACAATATCTTACACCAACCGTACCAGCGAAAAAGATCGGGGCTGCAACTGGAGCACCAGTTGTATGAGCAATGTAAAACAAGGTGTAAAAATGTGGTAGGAGTTGGTAACGCCTCTTCAATGCGGCACGACAGACTTCCTCACACTAGTTAAAAGACATAAAGAATACACAAAATCAGGATTCGTAGACTTTCTTCAAGAGAAGTACAAGTAGTTGCTGAAATAGCTCTTATACGATTTGCAAGCAAAAAACCACCTCCTCTCCGAAGGACCATGGTTCATGGTCATCAGTGCCAGCCGCAGAATGGCCACGACAGAATGGGAACATAGCTCCAACGCCCATCCAACGTCCAAATAGCCGAGGAGTTGCATTGCCAGCAAAGCCACCGATATCTGGCCCTGATAAGGGCTGACCGCTAAGCCCCTGAATGCAATTTAATGTATCCATAGTTAAAACGTGTAGCAGATTGTTACTTTTAGGCATGTGCAAGAAACACTAAAACCTTTCACATAGTTCTTTGCTAGAATAGAGGAATAAAGCAAATCTAAACATTTTCTCATTTCTGTTGATAGCTCTAGTGAAGTGTAGAAAATTATAGGTTATCAACAACACCAGAGTTTGAGAGAATACAAGTCAATTTCTGATGTAAAGAAGTGAACCAAATTAAAGCAAATGCTTATCGGTATAAATTCTTAGGCCCTCAAAGCTTGAGAAGATAAATTAGGAGCGCAAAACATATAAACATCAGCAATCGTAAATGACAGTCACGCTGAGTGTCTTAGTTTTAGTATGGATGCAGTGGGGATCCTGAAATTCTTACCAACTGAAGTACCATGGATATAGACATATGTAGATGCTCCCATGTTGAAAGTTTATCTCCTGTCCAAGTTGCAGAATATCTTTGGCTACCAATGAATCCAGCCCTTGTCAATACAAAAGGTCGCTTATTATTATCAGGTATCAGCTAGCTCCATCCCTTCATTACCCTTCATAAGTTGACCTTGCCATCAGAAGCATCCCGTAGAGCTACACAACGATAAATCTTGACAAAGTTAACTTGAAGTTCCTAGCATCGTACCTACAAAAGATATATTTTTAGTTTTCACTTTAGACCAAATGTCCTATGTTTTTAAGAGGGTCAAAGGCAGGTCCTTCTGAAGCTGCAGGAAAACAATTTGTGGTAGAAAACTAGGATAACTTCAGACATGCATAGAGAAAACTAGAAACTTGAGTAGAACAAGAAAAAATACGTTGTGGTAGTGTGAGTGGTTTTGAACACCTCCAAGCTCATCATCTCCTCTGTGAATATTGTTCTCAGGCATGGTCTTTGTCACGACCTGTACATTGACAAATAAGACCACATGAAAACTGGATAAAAGATTCTGCCTAAAAAGAGAGAAAGGATGAAGCAAAGTAGACAAAAAAATTACTTTGAAAACTGCAGGCTCATTCATATCGTTCCATATACCATCAACACCATTTGAAATAAAGTCCTTAACCAAATTAGCCCACCAAGAGCGAGCTTCAGAATTTGTATAGTCAGGGAAAACACAAGGTCCAGGCCATACGTCACCTAAAAGAACCAAACATAAAACTTCAGATACTTCTGAACAAATAACAAATTAACATAACGAGACAGCACAAAAATCATAACACGGAAATGAAATACCAACAAATGGCTTCCCATCTGCTCCTCTAATCCAAACATCATTTTTACTTCCACTATCGTAGACAGAGTAACCTTCGTCCTGCTTTATTCCAGGATCAAGCATCCATATCGCTTTGAAACCATTATCATGAAGATGTTTTGTCAACGCACTAGGATCCGGGAAACTCTCCTGAACATAGTATTCCATCAATTTCTTATCGTCAATACCTAAAACTTAGTCTATGTAAACAATGGTAATCACTGACGAAAATACACTTTGGACTTGAAGAATTAACATACCTTGTCGAATGTGAAACAACGAAAACCATCCATGTAGTCAATATCCATCCATATCACGTCAGATGGAATCTTCTTGTCACGAAGAAATGTTTGAGCTATCTACAATCATCAGCAAATTGATGAAAAACCTTTACAGAGAGGCCCAAAAAATTTAAATTCTGACCATAACATTCATTAGCCTTCACCAAACAGCCAGAATATGAACAAAAACACTGACCTCGGCTACTCGCTTGTCAGACATATAACTCCAACGACACTGATGGTAGCCTAAGGCCCACTTTGGAGGCATAAAAACAGTTCCTGATATGGGTAAAATATAAAAACAGTTCCTGAAGATCAAACGCTAGTCTCCAACCATACAACAGTGATCCATTTCTACTGGGTTAAATCCTAATAAAGATGTGTCATCTTTAGTCAAATAGAATGGACCAAATGTGATTATTGGATACGATGTTGGGGCGATTATTCTTATGATTCCCTCTTTCCTTAGATCAATCTAGGGAGCAAGAAAAATATGTTATACAAAAAGACATATTACATCGCAAAGTGAGTCCACAGAAAAGAGAGGTGACACCAAATATGACATTCATATACCTCACACTTTCGTGTCGTATCAGCAAGAACACCAAGGGTTTCTCCAGTTGGAAGGACAGCTAGTACCCATGGATGTGACTGATACAGTGAAGTGGTTCCAGCACCATATCCCCATGCATCACTGTTCCATGTGAATACGTGAAAACATTTCATATCAGCCAAATTGATCCGGAGAACAAAAATAAACAGACGTATGTAAAGTAAATGACTCACCCGTTTCCCTGTTCTCTCTAACTAGCCACCAACTTCTCCAATCCCATAAAACGACTTTCTCTGTTTAAGTGAACATATAAACTGACTTTATAAGTTACGTTGTAAATACATAAAAAAAAGAGAAAGACTTAACCTCAAAAGAGACAACTTGTTGCTCATGAATACAATCAAATACAGGAAAATATGACGGAACATCGTGACTTATAATCGGCACTTCCCGGTCTTTGCTGTTCTTAAACGAAACGCTTGGAAACGCAGCTTTCCTATGCTCCACAGAACAGTCAAACCGGAAAACCCCTTGCTCCAAGATTGGCTAAAAATCATACCTTTTGGAGCCATCTCTACAGTTTCAGAGCTATCTCCACTTACAGTCATCCCAACTACAGATTTTTTATCCCTTTTGCATTACTAGGTGGTTCTACTAGTAAGTACTCCTTCTGACATTTTTCTCCAAGCAAAATAAGGACATAACAAAACAATTAGTCTCCATCTAACGTTTAAATGCTACATAGAGTGACATGTGAAGTAGAGACCACAATTTTTTTCACTCTTATTGATAAATGTCATGTTTTTGTTAGTCTACAAAAGAAATCTACAAAAGCAACTAAAAAAGAAATCTCGCTTCCCTGCAAATTCATGCCTAATCTCTTCGTTTTCTTTGTTTCATTCAATTACAAAATTCAATGTACTTTACTTTCTAACCTTTCGACTTCGATCATTTCCGTTTCGTATGCTCTGGATTTAAAGATCGATAGAGGCAAGAAGATTGTCTCCAAATCTGATCTGACCACAGTATACATTTAGTATAATTTCCTCTATTTTTCCTTCCGCTTAGGGTTGTGCGATTTTAAAATCTTCCAGTTTAAATCTTCGTCTCTGATTTCGGGTTGGAGGTCTTCATACGGAGTAGTCCGTTTACAGAACGTGGTGGAGCTTCGGTCTGGTGATGGAGGTTGGAATCGTCTGAAGTGAACAATTTGGAAAGCTGATCTCTTTTAAAAACAGCGACCAAATTGCAGGTAATGAAGGCTTATCATATCTCTCTTAATTATCTTTTTTGTCATTTGTTAAGTTCTACGATTTCCTGTTGAATTACTCCTTCTCATGACCAGATGAATTATCGACTGCTTTGTTTACTTGATCAGAGATGTGCATGTTTGACAAAATTCTTCTCTATAGATTTCAACAAAGGTTTATGCCTGTCCACTATTGTTTTCTTCTTCAAGCGCTGGATAAAAATGGTTTTTGAAAATTGAGGAATAATATTGCTGAAGTTTTGCTTCGTCAAATTTGTATAGCTAATGTAAAAAGCTCAAAGTTATTTTCTCCTATTTAAAAGGTGAAGGACAATGGAAGTTAATGTTCACCTTCTCCAATGCCATCAAGGTAATCTCCCGTATTTAAACAAATCCTTTTAAACGCTTATTTTAAAATTGATTGTCATGGTTTATGGATCTTCCCTAAATCCATAACCGATGGATAGTGTTTATTAACTCTTACTCTCCTCATTTGCTTCTCAAAATATTGTTAGAACAGTTTATTTTGGTTTCCTCCTCTAGGTCTAGGATTGTTTTCTATTTAGAAAAAGAATGATAAGTTTTCTAAATTGTATCTGTCCACTAATTATGTTCCATGTTTCATCGTTTTCTCTTTGGTAATGTGCATGCGATTTTTATTTCATGAAACTACATTTGCTCTCCAAATTACAGAAAATTTCATCTTTAAAAAGCATCCGAAGCTAAGTATTTCCCATTTCCAAAAATGTTATTTCCCTTTGTTTTGTTTTACTATACTACGTTATCAACCTCCGTTTAGCAATAACATTTAAACTTATCACTCTGTTTCCTCTGTTTTCTCCACAGTTTAACTACAGTCGACAAATCATGGTGATACACGCTATGGTATGCCTCTCTGAGCTTTTATAAGTCTTCTACCTTCATGATTAAACTTGATTTCAACTATATTTTATTTTTATAATCTCAGACTTGGACTATAATTTCCGCTTACGTCTCAGATTCCTTAGCTAGGTAAAAAAAAAGACTATCAACATGGTCTTATAAATGGTGGTGAGATAAGCCTTTTTTGTTTTTGTTTGGTCGATCTTACCACCGATATAAGTCATTCATCTTTTTACTGCAGTTTCAACTTTCAAGCTATTGATCTTATCAATTTGTAGAGGATAAAGGACATATCTATTAGGGAGGCTTTCACCACCAGGTACCACACATTCTAAAGATCTTCTGTACACCATATGGTCACTCATCCGAGTGAGTGACCGAGATGGGTAGAAGAATCGAAAGCATTTTGATTCTTTAAAGTGAAATAATTTGGTTTTTTCTTGTGAAGTTGAAGAATTCCCTTCTTTCAGTTTGGTTCTTTAAGCCTTTTGGTTGTAGATTGGCTAAGGATTCAATTGCGTGACTAATGATGTGTTCACATTAAGAACCAATGATAGAATTTCCAAGTTTCTTTCCCTTTTTAGTGGCCACGTTTCTCTTGAATCTCATATGTTCTTACATGTGTTTCATTAAAAATGTATGTAGGGAAGTGGACAGTACGGAATGTCAAGGATCCGAAACTTGGAGTCACAATGCAGACCTGTCGTTTGCCTACGCCTTGAGTGATCACATCATTAGAGCTGTCGCTTGCAGCAGAGTTCAGACAACTTTATCTCATCGGTGATCTCTTATCTTGAACTTGCGTAACGAATTTCCTGAACAGCTTGATTTTTAATGTTTTCAAATATATTCACTTTCAGAACCAATTGAACAGAATTGGTTTTTGGTTCTCATTATCCATTGTTTATAAGATCTGTGCTTTTCTTGCTATGGCTGAGAGTAAATTCGGGTCGAAGGTATTAAAAAGAAAGGAGTGTCAGCAGTACAAATTCAGATTCTCGAGTAACTTTGTTAGAGATGGAGTGGGAGAGTCCCAAAGAGTAGAAAGAGGGTATTGCACATTTGGTCTAAACGTGACAAATATAGCAAGTAAAAAACATTGTATCTTCTGGTTTCAAAATATGTAAACTTTTTATTCCAGTATATTAAAAAAATCCTAATTCAATGAGAACATCCGAGAGAATGATTTAGATTGATAGAAACAAAAACCATCACTCAAGTTGTATTTTTGTTTACTCAAGTTTTGTGATTGTAAAAAGAAAAACAAATAATGCCAACGAAATGAAAAAAAAGAGAACATGAGCTCAAAAAATAATATCTAAAAAGTTGTTATTTTTACTGATCTTATGTACAAAAAATTAACAATAATATGAAACCTGTAAAACAATTTTAATTAAAAATTATATGGTTTACAATCACAATATATATCCGTCTTGGAAAAATAATCTACATAACTAATAAGGCTTGGACAATCTCCAGCCTTTGACACGTGGCACTCTTTTTTTTTTTTTTTTCGCCTAACACCAAAACGACGTCGTTTTGGGCTTTATTTTTTTATTTTTTTTTTCGTCTTACACCAAAACGACGTCGTTTTGCGCTTTATCTTTTTTTTTTCGTCTTACACCAAAACGACGTCGTTTTCGTATTAAAAAAAAAAAAAAAATCTAAATCAAAATTATGTGTAATGCTGTTCGTTTTGATGGGCTTGATTATTTATCGGACCTCTTCGTTTCCATGGTAGCTTTAAATGGGCTTACTGGCTAATTAGCTCATTTCATTTCCTTTTAAAAAGGATTGCAATTATTATTATCTATGAGTCTGTAGGATAATAATCAATCTATAATGATTGTTAGTATAAGGAAAATTAGAAGAACTCAACTCCAGTCGATAAATTATTGTATAAAAGAACAAAAAACATATGAAACTATTCACTATGAGTCTATATAAGATTTCACGTAAATAACAACTAAATTTTAAAACTATATGAAAAAAAACAAAATGCAAAACTTACAGAATCTAATATATTCGAGTAAAAAACAAATGATATATTCGAATCTAATGTTCTGAATAATTAAATTAAAAATATTTGGTTTAATAAACCCGCGCATTGCGCGGGTTCTCTCCTAGTGTCACTTAAAGATGTTAGATTTTAAATTTAATATTCTGTGGATTGAGTGCGAATGTGTCTATAAATATTTGTTGGCTTATTTTTATTTTGAAGTTTAAGTGGTTTAGCTATTGTTGTAAGTGATTAACTGGAGACTTCATCTTTGTGAACATACATCGGTAAAATCCTAAACAAAGGTTTTCTTTTTTTGTCAGCAAACAGAGGTTTTACTATGACAACTGCGAGTTCCTAATAAGGTAATTCCCAAATTTATTAATACTTCTATTTGTGTGTGCAAACTAATACTTCGACTTATCACTTTGTTGGGTTTGGATTTTTGAAAACCAATTTTCTTTAATTATATATAACCTACTAAATTATATGGAAAAATATTTTAGGGGAATTTGATTTTTTTTTGATATATTTTACACAGTAACTAAACAAGTTAGAAAGAACAAAACTATTAGAAAAGAAAATTACTAACTGAAAAAAATGATGTCTACTATATAAATTTAGATATAATATAATCGGGCGTAGCCCGGGGATCACCTAGTTTTCTAAAAATCCTCTATATATTAAAGGAGGAGCATTGAACATTACTTTTGCTGATATGTCACTCCTAAAAAAAATTTCACCCTTTTTATTTTTAATTTATTTAATTCTCTTATACTCATTGCCAAACATAATTATTTTTATTGTTACTTATTTTGATTACTCTAACTCCTGTAACCAAAATCTTTATAAAGTTACCAAAAATAATAATTTCAAAAATCTAATGTTAAATTTTATGATTAGATTCGTTTTTATTTTTACTGTAAAAATCAGTAAACATGTAAAATATTTAATTACATTTTACAGGTTACATATCAAATTAAAGAAAATATATTACAAATTTGTATGATAATGTATATGATTTCTTTATTATTGAACTAAACAATTAAACTGTTTATTTTAAAATTATTTCATAGGTGAAACACATTTTTATGCAAATTTAAATATAAACAAATTTCAGATTCATATATTGATTTTTTCTATGTTATTTTTAAATTTAAACTATAAATTATTGTTTATAATTATATACGTGTGAATCACATTATTTACAAAACAATAGTAGAATATACTCAAGTAAATTTCAGGTTCTCTACTAAATAATTAAACTATTTTTTTTAAACTAAAACTATATTAATTTAATTTTACTTATTTATCATTTCCTCCCACGTAGCATGTATTATTCTAACACTCATGAAAACCTTTGAGATATACATGAGAACCCCATATTACACATATCATACTTTCTTTTCTAACACTTCAAATTTATTAGAAAACCTAATTCTTATATACATAACCAAAACAATAACAATTCTTATACACGTAAAATAAAATTTCACATCTATCCACGGTTCTCTTAACTCCATTACTTATCATGTATATCAAAACCAACTGCCCACCAAAAAAAAGCTATCAAAACCAACTTAATTAGCTGTAATAAAAAATAAAAAATATTCCTTTTTAGTGATTGAATTATTTATCAACTATTATTATAACTTATGATGAATCTTACATAGAAAGGCATAGATTCATGGGGAAGTGTCCCACAGATAGATCAACTTTACATACTATTGGATTTGAGATCTTAAGAGCATCTCCAACCCAGCCCCATATTTCACCTATATTGTCATTTTGGAGTTAATTTTGCTCCAACCCAACTCTATTTTCAATCTCAAAATGGCAAAATGCCATATTTTCTCCCAAATTGAGGTTGATCCCATTTTCATTTCCATTTTGGAGTTGAAGTTTTTAAATTATATAACAGTCCTTAAAGTTTTAAACTATTTCAGTTTATATATAAGTAATTATTTTGATGTTTATTTTTACCCTAAAATACAATAAGACATATTTAATAAGAAATTAAACTATTTAAGCTAATAATAAATTTAAAAAGAAAGGAAAATATTCATAATTAATTTAAATAATTATAATAAATTATGAAAGTTTTGAAGAAAAAAAACTTATAGGGCAATTTATAATATATATAAATATACAATGTAAATTTAGTAATTAATAAAAGGTTTTGAATTAAAAAATGAGGCAATACATTGGAGCTAAACCCAACTCTATTTTGAGATTTCTTCATTTTGGAATCAAATATGGGGCAATACATTGGAGATGCCCTAAGAATGTAATTTATATGTCTTATAGACTCATATCTAAATATGATAACAATTTTAATAAATATCTTTTGTGGGTGTTGATGTACTCAATATTTGCATACATTTAGCATCATAATTGGCATGGTTTTACATGTCTTTGAGTCTCATTTTATACCATTTAGTATAGGTTTCATCTCCTTAGGAACATTTAGCTTTTAAATTAGCATTTTGCACTTTCCATTGCATTTGGAGTGTTTTCCTACGTGTTTGAGGCGTTTAGCAAGCTGAAGGCGAGTTGGGGTAGTGACTGGAGCAAGACAGAGAAGCTAGAAGCTGATCAGAGCTCAGAAGTGTTCAAGAAGTTTTCAAACAACCAGACGCTCGTAGTCTAGTGGTAATGGACCCACGGCTGTGGTACCCGCCATCAGGGTTCGACGCCTGGGGTTCGACGCCTGGCCACTGCAGATTTTACATATGGGCTGCAGCATCCCAGACCACCAGTTCTAGAGGGCCCTTCAGTGGAAGCTTAAAAATCCCTGGTCGCGGACTTCGGTCCGGTGGGCTAGTCGGCCCACAAATGTGGTCTGGATACTGGGTTAGCAAAAAAAAAAAAGTTCGCAAACCAGAGGACTTGAGCAAAGAGAACATAGTACTTGAGGAGTTTGCTCGAGATCGTCAAAAAGGACAAAGTCAACAGGGACGGAGTTGACCAAGGGTTCACTTATCTTTTACTATAAATAGCTGAAGACCTAATTTTATTAGGCATCTTGGATCTTTTCCTTGATCAAAACCTCTCTCTTTGCCTCCTTTCTTCTATTTTCGTTTTTGTAAGATCTTGACTTGATTTTAATGATTTTGAAAGTATTTTTTCTTTGAATCTTTCTCATTTATCTTAGTTTATCATAATCATCATCTTGTTTCTCTTAATTTCGAATTTCTCATGTCTTGTGAGTAGTTCTCTTTAGGCTCATGGGATGAGTTAGATTTAAGGAGATTTGATGGCCAACCTTGATGTTTATGACTTGATTTGCTTAATCCTTCTTTATTTGGTGGTCTTAATGCTAGATCTTCTTTGATCAAGTTGATTCTAGATCTTAGGCATTTCATGCACCAGAAGTGTTTGATGAAATGTTTGAACCAACCATCTAAAGGATTTGCTTTCCTAGCTCATGAGAGTGATTGTCTAGGGTGTTTATTGGCTTTATAGAACTGAATCTTTATGCTTGCTTTTATCAATTTCACTAATGAGAATTAGTTCTTGAGATTGGTAATTAGCAAAATGATTAGTGCCATGAGAATGGATTAGTCTTGTTAATGAGTTCTTTGCCTAAGGATTAGCAATCATTAAACTGTTCGAGCATCATAAACTAACTTGAGAATCTCCCAAGGTCAATGACCCTCATCCCAAGTGCCTCCATTCGTATTGTTTCCATCTCTTGCATTTTTATCTTATGTTTTATGTTCATTTAGGTTGTTAAAACAAAACCATTTCGAATTTGCTTAGCTCACTTATGTTTCATGCATTCTTGAAGTCTTTATCTTGACCTTACTGGATTTGACAAAGAACCTCAAGGTATACTACAATTGATTAAAAAGGGGTTCATTTGTAAAGAGTATAAAAAATCTCTCTTTCAGGTGTACATTACCTTCTTTTCTTTAACCATTAAACTATACAGTTTTGTGATCACTTGTTCTCTAATAACAACATAACTTTTAATATTTATGTTTTTTCATTTTTTTTGTTTTGTCGACAGCCTCTGCTTCTAAACCAATTCGGGAATCCGCCAAACCGGATAAATAGAGTTTACATAATACACATCAGTAGGTAGAGCTCTAGCACTCCGTGCTAACTTGTTTGCCTTCGTGTTGTTCGTCCGGGAAATATGCACAATGGAAAAGGAGGTGAACCCCATTTTACATCTGCAAAACTTCTCTAGTATTGTTGCGAAAGCTGCCCACTCCTCAGGCGTAGACACCATCTTCATCACATCGGAACAGTCCGTTTCGAACATTATTGTTAACTTGTTATGTTTTTTCATTTCTATTTAAATTGTTTAGTACATTTTCATCATTAATTAAAATTTTAGAATTTTCTCAATTTTTTTCTTCTAATTTTGCTTGTATGTTTTCTCTCCTCATCTATATCGCTTTAGTTTTTTTATAATCTTTTATTCACATCGTAGGTTTTTGCCATATTCGTCCGTTTACTCCAATGGGGATAGAGAGAAAACACATGTTGACTATTGGGGTAACTTCTTTGGTATATATGTCATTTGATTCTATTGAATTTTGATTGTTTGTTTCTCTTCTTGCTTTGTTCATTTAGACATGTTATAAATATGTCACCTCAACATGACCGATTGATTTTTGGTCAAAAAAGAAAACATGACCGATTGATTTTATAGAAGAGATTTGTGATAGTTTTCATTGATTGACTTAGTTTTGTATACATTGTTGTTACTTGTCTGAAACGCATTGGTAAATTCACTATATCGTGGAATCTAAAAGATACAGTATGTTCAAAGTATGTTAGATAGTCTTCAATATTAACACTGGAGATATAATCTATACTATATAAAAGTTGAAGATATAAGCCTCTGAGAGCGTCCATATAGGATTTTATGACGTAATTTGATTGGTCCATGTAAGCATCTCCAATATTAAAAAAGTTTCCAAATTTTAAACAACTAATAGTATCACTCCACATCATTATATAAATATTTGTTAAAATTAAATAATTTCTTTTTTATATTTCAAGAAAGTTTCCTAATTAAAAGGTAGTATATTTTTTGTATTAAAAATGTCATAAAATAAAGAATTTAATTGTTTATCACTTAAATAAAGGTTTTACTATATAAAAGTTGAGGCTAAATGCCTCTTAAGAGTGTTCACTTATGATTTAAAAACACAATTTTATAAGTCCATATAAGCATCTTCAAAATTAAGAAAAATTTGAAATTTTAGACAACCAATAGAATCAGTCCACATCATCATATAATTCACATGGATTTAAAAACATGATTTTATTGGTCTACATAATCATTTTCAAGATTAAGTAATTTTTCAAATTTTAAACAACCAATAGTATCATTTCACATCACCACATCTTTCATATAATTCACATGGGTTTAAAAACATGATTTTATTGGTCTAGATAATCATTTTAAATATTAAGTAATTTTTCAAATTAGAAACAACCAATAGTATCATTTCACATCATCATGTAAGCATTTACATGATTAAAAAAAACTACAACTGTTAAATATATAAGAGATAAAGAAATTAAGTATATATGATTTTAAACAAATATAAAAATCAATAGTATCATTCTACATTATCACCAAAATTAATCAATTATTTTCCTTTTCATATTTATAAAATTCAGAAGTTCTATTTTTTAATTACAAGAAAAAATAAGACTTTGTCATGTAAATTAGTTATATTAAATTTGAAAAGACAAATAATGTTAGTACACAAGCTTATTTAACACTAAGAATTTTTCTAAAATTTAATTTTGCTAAGACAAGAATGAACGACATTAAACAAAAAAAAAAACAAATGACAAATAAAGAAGAACATAAGCAAAAATGAGTGAGGATGAATAAGAAACCAACTAAGAACAAAGAAGAAATCAAAGTAGGAGAAATTGAAGAAGAATAAATAAAATAAAAGTAAAAAACATTGAAACAAGAGTGAAGAAGGGAATGAAATTAACCAGACAAGAACAAAAAGAAGTAATAAAGAAGAGTGAATACGAAAAAAAAGCAAAACTCAAACAAGAACACAAATGAGGAATAAAGAAGAGCGAAGACGAAGAAGAGCAGAAGCGAAGATGAGTGAAGATAAATAAGAAACTAAATAAAACAAAGAAGAAATCAAAGTAGGAAAAAACGACAAAAAGGAATAAATAAAAGAAAATTAAAAAATATATAAACAATAGTGAAAAAGGAAATGAAGAATAACGATGTAGATTAATTTTATACCCTTAGAAATCCAACACAAATATTAGTATTAGGTTATCTACAATAATATTAACTTTTCTAGCTTAAATTTGTTGAGACGTACATTTCTTTTTTTTTTAGATTTAGTTAGGTGTATCAGATAGTGAAAGTTTATTTTACCTAAGATTAAAAAGGTTTATCCTAAACATATTTACAAAAGATAGTCATGAAGAATTTAAAGCAAAGAACAACCAATACATAAAAGAAGAGAAAGGTGGAAGAAACAAACTCTAGCGAAATCTAGCATTTTCGATGGATTGAATTAATCATAAAATAAATAAAAGAATAAAAACCAAGAAAAAAAAAAAAAGTAAATAAGAAAAAGTGAAGATGAAGATAGCAAAGAGCGGAAAAAAACGAAAAAAAAAACGGAAACCACATAATATAAGACTAAACCAGGAAACCAAATAAAAGGACAAAACTGAAGAATATGAAATTGAAAGCTATACTTAATTATATGATCGCATAAATTGAATTTTTTATTATTGTTAGACATTTCTTATCATAGGTGTGAATATGTAGTTGTACGTCTCTAACTTAATTTTCTTTTTATGAATCTTTTACATTTTTAAGTTTGGTTAAGTGTATCATATAGTGAAAATTTTATCCTACATAAGACTAAATTGAAGAGGATTACAATTAAATTATTTCTAGAAGAGATAAATCATGGAAAAAATCTCTAGCGCAGAATAAATAAGAAAAAAAAAGCTAACGAAAAAAAAATATAGCAAAACCCTAACAACTTCGACCGTCTGAATTAACTATAGAAAAAATAGAAGAACAATAAGTAAGATGAGCACAAAGAATGAGAAAGAACATAAAAACTAAAGGGAAGACAAAGATATCAAAGAACAAAGACAGAAAATAAATAAAAGATGAAGAAGCAAACTAAATAACGGAATATGAAATCGCGAGGACAAAGAAATATAAGAGAACAATTAAAGATAAAGAAGAAACCAAAGAAGAAAAATAAACTGAACAAAGAAAAATAGGCCGAAGAAAATATACAAATGATGAAGAATAATTAAAATCGGTTCAAGAATCACCATAACCATCCTACTGACAATAAAAATTTATAAATAAAATATATTTGATCAAACAATTAATACAGACCCGCGCATATGCGCGGGTAAAAGACCTAGTAATAATAAAAAGTCCAATAATATGCATGTATTGGGTTATTTTTTTATAAGTAATATGCATGTATAGTTCCGACCGCGTTGCATGTACTGTATATACCAGAAGAAATAAAATCTTATATATAATTAGGGAGTTGCTCTCTCCATATAGAGTGTCCACATCAGCACAAAAATTCATTAAATTGTTTTTAAGATATTTAATACATGACTTTTCATATTTCTTTGCATATATTTATATTTTAAATATAAATAAAACTAAGAAAAATACACAACTAAATTACTTAATTAATATAAAATATGTGATAACTTGATGTTAAAATTTATCAAAAAGTTTGAATATAAGTAAAAATATATGTAACTTGAAATGGTATATATTTACCTTTTTATTAAAAGAATTTATCCTATTTCAAAATGTTATAATGTGTTTACAAGTTAAAAAGTTGAATATAAATTAATTAAGATAATAAAAAGCCAATGAGAAATTAGAGTTAGAGTTTATTTTAAAAAAAATAGAAGTCGAGTTTTTATATGTAAATTTAATTGCAGTGAAAAACATGAAAATTTTAAGGATTGTGATATGTTTGTCTCAAAATATAATTAATATTTACAAAACTAACATAATAGAAAATAATCAATGGTTATGAGGCTCATATGCTACCACAACAAAGTAGATATGTAAAAAAGTATATATATTATTTTTTTCATCTTATTTCGGGTCCAAATGCTATTTTACATTATGCTTACAAATTTTAACGTTGAGTCCAATGCATATGCATGTTTATAGTCTAACAGAAGTAAACAAACATAATATTTATAACATGCTAAAATTTTAGAAATAGAAAACTCGAGATAAAGTGGGAGTGTTAACATCCTAATAAAATAAAATAAAAGACAAATTGTTCATATTTTTAATGTTAGTGATTGGGTTAACTCAAAATATAAACAAAAAACATGAAAGTTAATACAAAACCATCATAATTCAAATCAACAAGTATAGATAAAACTAAACAGAAAACTATCGCAAACAACCGCGCTTGCGGGGCTTCAAACCTAGTTAATAGTAATAGAGTTAGACCTACCGTCGGTGCCTCCTTGACCTTAGTCGAAAGCATGCACGCAAGTGAATTACATATAAAGCTTAGTTAAAAAACAAATTAATTTTGACGAAATGTTAACGCTAACAGAGAATTAAAACATTAAACTATATGGCAGCATTTCTTTTCTTATTCAAATAGAAGATAAAGTAGAAAAACAAAAACATAGTTGTAAAGTTGTAGCCTTGTCCCTTGTAGGCATGGCTTAACTTATCATTGTTGATTTTCATCATGTGACCCCCAAAAGTCAAATTCTCTTATGATTTAACGTTTAATACACGATTTACATTTTAATAATAAATTTACTAACAAAAAAAAACCAGGAAAATGTAAAAACGCAAACTCGAATTTAATAATGGTTTAACTTAATTAATAAATTCAAAATTTAACTTATCTAACTCAAAAAGAAAACAATTTTCAATAATCTGAGTAAAACAATGTGCAAACCACACCACACAAAAGTAGTATGCGGATCACTTCATAGCAAAGTGATGCCCCATAAGCTTGCATGTAGCTAGCATAGATAAATATTTAATCACATCATCACTATAATACCGATTGATGTATTACTTAGAATTGCATAAAGTGGAAACGAATCTCTTTCAAATATGAGGTTGATTACTTGACGCTAACATTGTTTGCAAATCAACTAAGGTCATATTTTTTGTTTACATTTAAATTCACTGAATATTTACAATATTGCAGCAAATGAAGGCTGCCTATTTTTTTTTGTAATGACTAAACACCCAAATTTATCCGAATCATTCTGCAGTTAATCTCACTTGTATTGTGAAAGTTTTAACCTACTAATTTATAAACCTTTTTACGATCCATCTATATTTGTTTGGTAATGTATGTATAAAGCATCCATTCTCCATAATTACAGGAACCCTAAACAAAAAAAAAAAAAAAATTAAAATATCACCAACTTGATATTAAAAAATGCAACATATCTCTATATAAACCACACTACCGCACTTGAATCACATCACCGATATTCATACCATCAAATCCAAAAGCACACAGCAAGTGAAAAACAAAGAAAAACCAGTTTATCTTCTTTGTTAGGTTTGGCAATGGATCTAGCCAAACACACAAGACTTCAAATATTGGGATGCATACTTCTTGCATCACTTGCACTAACAATGGCTGATACACCACCGGGCATAGCCAAGAACCCAAGCCATGCAACATGTAAGATCAAGAAGTACAAACTATGCTACAATTTGGAGCATGTTTGTCCCAAGTTCTGCCCTGACTCTTGCCATGTCGAATGTGCTTCTTGCAAACCCATTTGTGGCCCTGATCCTTCCCCCGGCGATGACGGTGGATACACTCCATCGGCTCCAGTTCCACCAGCTTCACCACCGCCTCCGACTCCTACACCGTCCGTGCCAAGTCCCACTCCTCCCGCTTCACCACCGCCTTCGACTCCTACACCGTCCGTGCCAAGTCCAACTCCTCCCGCTTCACCACAACCTTCGACTCCTACACCTTCCGTGCCAAGTTTAACTCCAACAGTTTCACCACCGCCTCCGACTCCTATACCAGCCGTCCCAAGTCCTACTCCACCCTCTTCACCGCCACCTCCTACTCCTACACCGGCCGTCCCAACTCCTCCTGATGTTACTCCCGTTCCTCCTACTCCTTCCGTTCCAAGCCCTGATACTCCCACCGCACCACTCCCTCCATATTCACCACCTGCGACCCCAACTCCTCCTAGCTCCACACCAGGGACTCCTACGCCTTCCGTCCCAACTCCTCCTGGCTCAACTCCTTCTCCTTCGATCCCTGTTCCAAGTGCTCCAAACTCTCCTCCTTACGTTCCCCCATCAGATAGCGAGGAAGGAGCAGGAGCCAGAAGGGCCAGGTGTAAGAAGCAAGGCTCTCCTTGTAACGGAGTTGAGTACACTTGTCCAGCCCGTTGTCCTCGTTCATGTGAAGTTGACTGTGTCACTTGCAAGCCTGTTTGTAGTATGTCCACTCTCCTCCCTTAAATAATTTTTTTGTTCTTTTTATTACTCAACATTTGTTACTTAATCATGATACGTTGCGTTGCAGGTTGCGACAAGCCAGGATCTGTTTGCCAAGATCCGCGTTTCATCGGAGGAGACGGTCTCACCTTTTACTTCCACGGCAAGAAAGACTCCAACTTCTGCCTTATCTCCGATCCTAACCTTCACATCAACGCACATTTCATCGGTAAACGCAGGTCTGGTATGTCACGTGACTTCACGTGGGTCCAGTCCATTGCTATCCTATTCGGCACTCACCGTTTCTACGTCGGAGCCCTCAAGACTGCCACGTGGGACGATTCCGTCGACAGAATCTCTGCTTCTTTCGACGGAAATGTGATCTCACTTCCTCGGCTAGACGGTGCCACGTGGACTTCTTCCCCTGGAGTTTACCCTCAGGTCTCGGTCAAACGAGTCAACGCTGACACTAACAACCTTGAGGTACAACCTAAGAACATATTACTTTAACCACAAAAAAAGTAAATTTATCTCACTAGGATTACAATTTTGAATTTTCTTAGCAAAAAAAAAAAAAAACAAGGATTGCAATTTTCGGTTTTCTTTAATTCATAATATTTCCTTATTTGGTCATAATAAATTCAAGAATATTTTGTGTGAATCTTGGTAAATTAGTTTTTTGCGGTAATTTTATAGATACTTTCTAAACTTCAAAACCTAATACAGTAATCATCAATTAATAACTTGGTCTACATGCATTATATGAATTTCTACATGTATATGTATTTTATTCAGGTTGAGGTAGAGGGATTGCTTAAGATCACAGCAAGAGTGGTGCCAATAACAATGGAAGAATCAAGAATCCATGGCTACGACGTGAAGGAAGACGACTGTCTAGCTCACCTCGACTTAGGCTTCAAGTTCCATGACCTTAGTGACAATGTTGATGGTGTTTTGGGACAGACTTACAGGTCTAACTACGTTAGCCGAGTTAAGATCGGAGTCCACATGCCTGTGATGGGTGGTGATAGAGAATTTCAGACCACCGGACTTTTTGCACCTGACTGCTCAGCCGCAAGGTTCATCGGTAATGAAGGCAGCAATGGTAGCCGGAGCAAAATGGAGCTCCCAGATGTGAGTTGTGCCAGTGGCGTTGGTGGCAAGGGAGTGGTGTGCAAGAGATAAGACATTTCTTTGTTGTTTGAATTAATTCGCTACTACATAACATAAACCACCAAACAATATACGGTAATTACAATATTATTAAATAAATGTGTATGACGGTTATGTTTTTCCTTACAGCTATAATATAATATATCATCGAGAAAAGAAAAAATTTATTTATTTTTCTTGAGTTTATCGAAATGTGAATCATATATACTATTGTCTTCCTTTTTGCTTTAAATAATTGAATGTTATGAGAAAATTTGTTAAATATCATGACAAGAAAAGAAAAGTGGTCAAACGTAAGCGTATATATAACGTATCAAAACAGAAGTGGTATTTTCTTATCCATGTCAGCGTATTTGTAGCTGAGACATACTTTCTGCAGTTCGATTTAAGTACATGTAAGAGTTAGAAAGAGAAATGAATTTGATGGACAGGTTCTCTATAATCTCTCGTCGTGCTACCACATGAACGTAGCATGCGGATCACTGATTCACTTTATGTGGACGTGGGTACACTCTGACTTCTTTTTCGAATTTTCACTTTCAGCTATATATACTTATTAAATAGGCCCTAAATGTTTTAATCTTCTTCCTTTTCTTTGATTTCTATTTTGCTTCAGTTTACCGATTAAAATTGGGGTTTTAGGGTTACTTTTATTTTTATTTTATTTATATTTGGCAAACCAATACCACTCCTTCAGATCGAAAAGCACAAATATCCATCCAACAAATTAAAGAGCAAACTCTGGTTTGATATAATAAAAAAAAAAAAAAAAAAAAAAAGAAGCAAAACAAGAAACGAAGTCACTAATTTCCAAAGAAAACGCGTTTTGGAATTGATAGACACAGAAAAAGGAAATAGCTTCAGGAAGAAACTGGTTGGCTCTGCTCATTCAAAAGCCCATTGGTTCTCTCTGCGCACCTCTGCTTCTTCCTCCGGTGCGAAGTCGTTCATGATGTTGAAGGTCGTGCGAATCTCTTCAGGAGTTTTGCCTTTGATCATATCAGCCACTGCCTGACATGTGAGGTCAAGCAAGTTCTTGATGTTGAGGTAATTAGCAGCCAGGATGAGTTCGAAGAGTATAGCCTGCTCGATTTTCAGGAAATCAGCATCCCAGGCCTTAAGGTCTTCTTCGGAGGTACCAGCATCGGCAGCCTCCACGTGCTTCTTGCAGTACTCAATCACCTTCGAAAGGATCTTGCTCGTGACGTTCGGAAGAGGGACTCCGTTGTCGACGCAGTCGTCTTCAACCATATGGGCTATGGTCTGAGACTCGAGAGCCACCGCCTCATCAACCTCAAAAGACTCACCATCGGAGCTCTTCAACACAATCTTGTTCGTCGACATCTTTTGTAAGAAACTGAAAAGATTTGAGAGAGATTTTGTTGTTTGTGTTTGCTTGAAGAAAGTTTGAGAAACGATGTATAAAAGAATAAAGATTGATGTATGGAGAGGTCCTTTATATAAAGATAATCCATAGGCTCTGAGAGTCGGTCGATTTTCCTTTTTGCTTTTGATCTTGCTATGTTTTTTCCTTTCTTTTTTGTTTGGAAAAAATTGATCTTGTTATGTGTTTTTCCTTTTGTTGTAATATTTTCTTTTTTTTGCATTTGATCTTGCTATCTTTTTTCCTTTTTATTTCTTTTGTAAAAATTGATCTTGCTATGTTTATTATAAGTTACATACATACAGAGGCGAGAACACATTCCCGGTTCATAAGTGTGTAGAAGAAACTTTTCTTGTCACACAAGTAACCTAAAGAAAAAAGACAACTCGTTCGTCAAAGTTTTGAGATCAGCTCTTCGCAATGGCACTAACGTCCCGTTCTTAACCACAAAGAGAAGTGGATTTTTCAGATTTTAATAGACATGTAAACAAGAGAGATCTAACAGACATGAATCAACCAAGCACCATTCTCAGCATCGTTAATTCACAGCCAAAGCCTCTAAAAATTATTTGATGTAACCATAAATTGTTTAATGACTCCAAATAAAATTCAAAATACAAAGACAACCAAGCAACGTGTAATTATGTGCGGTTATACTAAATAGAAAGAAGAAAAAAGGCTTTTGAATTCAGCAGCATCACAAAACGAAACCACAAGCATTCACTGTTTTTATGTACATGTCTTTCATTCTTTCAATCGCTTTCAAAGTCGTCTTCATCTCCAAACGAGAACACAGATGCATCAGCAGCCATAACCTTGAACTCACTACTCTCTGAGCTTGACACGTTGACACCAGACCCAGTTGGTTTCTCTGTCGCTTCAGCTTTGCTAACCGACTGTGACGATGGTCCCTTGTTTCCAGAAATAGACACTTTCTCGGTGGCATGAGCAAGACCAGTGGTTTCATCTACGCCCTTTTTGGCTTCTGGGGTTTGAGAAGAAGCCGATGATGCGGCTTTACCTGGGCCAGTCGAGTCTGATTCGTTATCAGAGAACACATCGTCCTTATCAGCGTTCTCTGCTTCTTTATTGGTTCCTGGAACCGGTGTGACACCCTCTACATGGGAAGCATTAGCAGATGAAGTTTCTTCGGGTGTCTTGGACGCAGTTTCAGAAGTAGGGCTTGCAGGGACTGTTGGGTTTATGTCAGCAAGAACAACTTCCACCATAAATCCAGGCGAAGGTAGCTTCCTCTGTATTTGAACACAAAAGATATATCATTTCAAAACCGGAGGATTGATGGAGAAAGAGCCCAATCACGAGCATTCTGCTATTACCTTTTCAAACCCGTCAAGTTCACTGGTTTTAAGAATCACTCTGTTTTCCATCATTGTTGTGTTTAACCAGCTGAGATCAGGAATACAGAAAAAGCTTCGTCAGAGAAGCAGAAAGGAAAGTTATATAAGTAATGGAATTGGATAATGTTTTTTAAGCTTCCGAACCAGTAAAAATCTCCTTGGCGATCGTGAAAATGGATTTTGAAGTCCCCAGATAACTCTGTTAGACCGGGCTCACCGGGTAGGGCAAAGACCATGACCCCTTTCTTTGGCGCACTGAACCAAAAGTCTTCAGGCTGCAAAAAAAGCATGAAAGTTCCACTAAACCATACAGTGCGAATTCACAAAGGCTTTAACGAAATATTAGATAGCAAAAGACAATTGGCCTACCGATAGATCCTTGGTCCGAGGATGCTTTTTCGTGGTAAAAAGAACACCTGCATATATAAGTTACAAGTAGATATTAGCTCAGCGTTGTACTAGCGTTATGAGTTGTCATGAAACAATGATCGACCAAACTCACCATTGTGATCTGAAATAGTAATGGATGGCCTGATCCAGTAGGGACACCTATGGAGCCGGAATCCTCTAAGCATACACCTAAATAAAAAGGAATAGTGCGTTGTCAAACGTCAGTACTTAACTGTATGCAACATTAAGGCTATATGAATAAGCAGCTTACTTTCGTCCTGGTTGGTTTTCCCCGTTGAAGTAGGTCAATATTCGTTCGAAGTACTTCACATATCTCTACAAAATAATGATTAAACATAATCGCTAGTCAGCAGAAGAGAAAAAAACGCTTTTATGAGCGGTTTAATTATATAAACTGCAAAACTAGACTTACAATTTGACTAGGTAGCACAAGCCCTTTTCCATCTACACATCGTTTCTGATTGTAGAAGTCCATGCACTCTTCAGCAGTCGGGAAAAACTATACAAGAAAAAGAAACCTGATTAGTTCCCCGTGTTTGACTATGTTTTATGCAATGTTATGATAAATGCTTCACCTTCAGATACAGAAGAAGACTACATATCATAAGCCCTGTCCTCGCCATTCCTGCCTTACAGTGAACAACCACAACATTCTCTATGTCCTCCTTCAACCACGAATATGCACTTTGGCAAAATGAGGTAATCAAATGGATTGGCGGGCAATTGTGATCATCAAATGGGAAACTGGCCACCTGGAGGCCAAAAGAAAAAAGATGTTTAGGCACATTAAGCTGATAAAAGAAGAAAGGTAAATAGTTTACTGTTGTGCCAGCATAATGTGAACATAGTTATTAAGTATTAACCTAATAAATATATCATGTGGTATAGAAGAAGTGGATAAACAATTTGCAACAGAAAACTGGGCTACTTCATTGCAGCAGGTTTTTTTACATGATAACGTCCAGGTAAGAAATGAGCAAATTATCACAAAGTATATAATTATTATCACTGCTAACTGTTTCATAAGTAGCTCGGAGTCGAAGTAACTTCAAATAGTGCAGTTGGTGATCTATGGAGCAACTTCCCTTACATTTTTTAACTAACGCACTGTTACCCGAGGAAGTCATATGATGGTCAAATGCAAAGAAAAGAGGAAGAAAAAGGTGTAGGTCTAACATACCTTCCCTTCAAATAGTGATACATCATACAACCTCTCTGAACATAGATTGTAAACCTTGTATTTTCCCTACAAAAAGAAAGCAATTGTAAGCATAGCACAAGATAAGACCAGAACCTAAATATAAGGCTGTAACTAGGCATCATGTTACTTTCCAAAAGTTAGATAGCAAGATGGCGTTGGTAGCACCTTTAATAAATATTGGAGACCCATAACCTATTTTTGATAAATGAACATCAAAATGCCGACTAAAGTTTTGCTAACAAATTAGTAGTACTACCTTGTGTTGAGTTTCAAGAAAGCTTATAACTTCTTCCATCTGGTTGCGGTAGAAGCCCTGCAATGATGTTTGGTACGAACATTAGCCAGATTAACTTCAAACAAATCAACTTACAACTAAAACAGATCAGCTCCAGGGGCAACGATTACAAGAATACTAATTGACTCACCTCAACATATCCAAAAAAGCCAGAACTCATATCACCAGCAGGAAACCCCATTGCAATTATGTTCTCTGTTATGTACGTCAGATCCAAATCGAACCCTCCTTCCTGAACCACAAGTCGAGCAAAAAGAAACATTTAATCTCAAGAAGAGCAAGCAAAGGTAACATGGAACTTCATAGCAAACCAGATAACACGAAACTTATTAATTCTACCTGGTATCTTCTTTTGTTCTGGGATACAGCATGTCGAGCCTTAACCTGTACTGCCTTGACAGCGTTCTTTGACGTATCTACCAAACCTTTCGTAATCGTCCCAAGGAAACCGGTTTGTGCGGCATTTGAAGTTCCTTCTGTGATGGTCTCATCTGATTGAGGAGATTTGGGAGACAAACGAAGCCCTAACCCACTTGTAAATTTCGCAAATGCAGACTTTTCAGCATTTTCCCCATCAGAGTTGGCTTGTGTGGAAGAAAATGGCTGAGGAACTTTCAAATTTTTGGCCCATGTTGATATCCCGGAGGCGGATAGTTTCGATGCCACTCCTTTAGCTGAATCATCGCTTTCAGCTTCTACAGCAACAGGAAGGTGACCATCTGGTGTTGTTCCCGTAGCAGGCAAATTTGGTGAATCAGATGACATGGTTTCTATCTCTCTCCTAGCGTCTCTTAAAAGAAACACTAAAGCTTGATGTGAATTGAATTAGACGAATTTGGAAATCCCCTTTTCTGCAGACATCACATTCAACAATATACATTGAGTAAAGATGATATCAACATCTTACCTGCAAACTCAGAACAATTATAGAGACATCAACATCAAACAAAAGCTAACATCTGGATTTCGCATAACTGTTTCAAATCATTTTCCCTAAATCATCATTTCCGTGTTGATCATTTTCGCATTCGGCTTTTGGAAAAACATGCACATTTCCACGAATGGATCAAAGCTATAAAACACCAATTAATGGGGGATCACCACTTGATCCTCAATAATAAGCAGAAAAGGTAGGCTAAGTAACCTATCGGACCCAGAGAACCCAAAATCAAATATCGCAACCAGATCGGAATCACAGAATCGTGAACGAATTGAAAACATCTAAAGCATAGGAGCTAGAAAAAACCTTCAGAGATCGAGAACCATATCGAAAGAAAAAAGCTCCGTTGATTAAATCGAAACGAACAAGTAGAAATTTGACGCGCGCGAGATCAAAGAGCTAGGGCTCGAGGATTTCAGTTTTCAGATATTCGAGAGAGAGAGAGATTGGGGCAAACACAGACACAGTATCGCAGATCAAGTCACGTGGGAGTCGCGGTCAACAATGAATCAGTGCCGTTAGATCTACAGACCTTTTTTGATGGTTTCGGATCTGAAACGAACGTTGCACGTGATGTCTTCTATTTGTGTAAAATTACTCTTCTTTTATTTTTCCATTCGACCTTAAACGAACTGCTTCAAGAAATTCATGAAGCTTAAAGAATGAAGAAGAAAGGTTTCATTTGTTGAAAATAATTGCAGATTTGTAAAAAGCTTGAAAACTTGACTACACGTTCTTTGAAAGACCATCAACAATGAAATAGAAATCTGATTACAACAACAACACCACCTGATAAAGTCTTATATCAAAACAAGGCCTAACAATAAGCAAACCAATTTAAACACATTTGCAGACAACAAAGCAAACGACGCGTTCGACTTGACTGGGTATACAGGCCGTACTGCGACCGCACAGTTCCCTGTAGAGTTATGGAAGTTACGTTCGAGCCTAATGTATCCTTCTTCTCCCCAATCTGATCCCCATGAATTACGAACAATCCAGTAGTCTTGACCACTTGATGACGATCCATACCCAACGACTAGCACATTGTGGTTTCCATACCAATTATCACATGGTCCTGTAAACACTCCCTGAGGAAAAAAAAATTGATCACAACAACTTAGTATTGAGTTTTTAAGAAAAGAAACAAAAAAAAATGAAGCTTTTTGGTGAGAGTGTTACAGATTTGTAGAGTTTCATGTTATTAGCTTCAACCATAACACTAATAGGTTGATGAGCAACGGCTTTCTTCAAAGACATCTCATCATATTGAGGAACACCCTCATGACCATCAATGGTAACAAAACGAGCTGTAACCATCTGCTCGATGAAACAACACATAAGTTACCAAATTGAAAACCATAAATAAAATAGAAAAAAAAAAGGTTGGTTTTGAGTCTTTGACAAACCTCAATGCGCTTGCACGCGGCAGTGTCATTGTCACTATAAGGGTAAACTTGATCACCCAAAATGCCACCGTTTCTGATAATGAACTCAAAAGCGAACTCTGCTTGACCTCCAAGACATCCAAAGTTGTCGACACCTCTGTCGCAGTCAATGAGTTCTTGTTCCGACAAAGATATCAACTCTCCTGTTGCTATCTTGTTTACACCTTCCACCGCTCCAACCGCCGAGAACGCCCAACAAGCTCCTATATATATATTTAACAACCGCAAATCTCAAATCTCAAATCCAAAATCAAATAATGCTTCTAAGAAAATAAATAAATAATAAATTACCACAGTCTCCTTGTGTTTTGACTGGAACAACAGCACCTTTGTCTCTCCAGTCGACTTCATCAGGCAAAACATCTCCTTCCTTGTACAAATACCTATCTCCTATATCTGATCCGCTGATCTTATCCATCTTCTTCCCCCTCAAGTACATATCTTGAAACTCATCATCAGTCAGATCCGCAAACTGGGTCAACCCGAGATGGTAACTCTGGTTCGGAACCGAGTTGTGTTCTTCGATGAGCTTCAAGTTGTCTTTGAAGATCTTGAACCGTTTCTCTTTCTCCTCTCCAAGAAGAACATTATAGCTCTTCTTCCGATTCCCCACAAGCCATCGCTCGTACATCAGCCGCACCTCCGCTTCACTCCGCTGCTGCGGCTGCTCTGTTGCAGTAGCGACGACACCGACAGACAAGGAAATTAGTAGTAACACTGAAAGGGTGAAGAGAGCTAATGTGATCAATCTTGTAGCCATTGTTTTGTTTCACCTGAGACTTTTGTCGAAGTATCTAGAGACTAGAGAGTGAGAAATTTTGGTCGCTGAGACTCGAGAGAAGCGGAGACTAATTCTGAGGGGATGGATAGTCGGATAGATCACATCACATGTTCTTCGTATTGGGTAACGTGCCATCATATTATAATACTTTGTATCATAGAAAGTAGAACCAGAAAAATCCACACATCGGTTTCTTAATTTTATATTTACAGCCTATTTATGGAGTAATCTACATAACTAATAAGGCTTGGACATTCTCCAGTACACGTGGCACCTCCTCCCTCGCACCTCTCTCATTCCCGGCGTCAATGTCTTCCATTCTCAGGTACACCCCTCCCTGAAAATCTCGTGCTTTTGCTGAATTGAATCAATTTGAAATCAATTTCATGAATTGAAATTTGCTTATATAAGATGCTGTTGGAATTCTAGCAAAGCTATCAGATTGTGTATTGCAGCAAAAGGCGGTAACATTCATGGCTACGATGTTTTCGTTCCCGAGAACAACACCCTCTTCTACTCTCGGAGGTATATATTGAGTAACCTTCTGTAGCAATGCATTGAGAGTGAATGGTAATTGAGTGAAGGATTTTGTTTTGGTGTTTACTTGTTCATAGTGAGTTTATGTTTGATCCGGTGAAATGGCCGAGAAACCAAGTGATGAAGATTTTCGTCGCATTGCGGAAACATACGGTGCCATGAACTCGGTTGTGCGTGTGGCTTCTATAGATCCCAAGTACAAGATAGCTCTTCTTCTTTCTAATCAGGTATTCAAATCTCCTTTTACATTTCTCTAAATATTTATATTTCCTGCTGAAGAAGTATGTGATGTGACTCTATCTAATATCTTTCTATACATACAGGATCATTTTCTAATTGAAATGTTGCATAAATGGCAAGACGGAAAACTCCCTGTGGATATCACCTGTGTCATAAGGTGATCAGCTAATACACGTCAAGTGATTCAGATGGTTTATACTGCTGAGAAATTTTTGTTTTTTTTTTGTTTATAGTAATCATGAAAGAGCTTCAAACACTCCTGAACTTTCATGAATCATTCCAACAAGTTTGGTTCTCTTCATTGGTTTTTTTTCTTATTACGTTCTTTGAAGCTCAAAGGCAGAAAATGCTCAAAGGTGACATGTTAAGTCCATGAGTTCTTCTCCCCCGAGTAAGTTATGAAATGTATTACTGTTCTCAAAGGTAATCTTTCTTATTACTGATTTCCCTTCTCTGCATTTCCTCTCTCTCTCTTCTCTCATTAACTGTTTTTTGACTCATGTGTTTCAGAATTTGTCTTAGCAGAAGGATTCTTACTTCAGTTTGGTATTTGCTTTACAAAACCAACTAGAATACCACAGAAAAAACGCAAAAAATGAAGTGTTAACTAATTATCTATCTCTTTCGAGTATGCCTAATGGTGTTGATTGGTGCTTTAAATGTCTATTAACCATCTATGAGAAAATTCAAAAGCAAAAATGCAGGGTTTCCTCTTCGTTACTCATACCCTCTGTTAGTGCTTTTTCAAAAATTCAACACCACATAATGTGTATATACGTTGTTTTAGATATAGGAATAATACGAAAAAAAGACTCTGAATTCCATAATTGTATGCAGACGCACATTTTTTCTTCCTACAGTATGTTGTATTTAAAAAGAAACTTTAACATGTTTCTCCTATCTTTGTTTTATCTTTGTTTTTTTCAGCTAAGGAGATCGTGACAAGTTAATATATGAGGTTAATATACCCCTACACATATTCATCTTTAAAAATAATCAAAATAAGGGTGATGGTTGTGCTGCAAAAATTGAAACGAGGCATTACAAAAGAAAAGAGAAGATCGAAAAAGTATGACCAATAAAATATTCATGGAAGAGTAATTGCATCCACCGGAGCACTAGAAGGATAATTGAGGTATTCTCTGTTCTATCATGGAAGAGTTTGATTAAGAAAATGACGATATATGAATCTTTCCAAATGTAATGTAGTTTCCAAGACAAAAGATAATAACAGTGACAACATTATGTAACTCAACGTCTTACACTCTTGTCCTCTTGACATTCTTGTGCTTTTTTGAAGAGTTTGATTAAGAAAATGACGATATATGAATCTTTCCAAATCTAATGTAGTTTCCAAGACAAACGATAATAACAGTGACAACATTATGTAACTCAACGTCTTACACTCTTGTCCTCTTGACATTCTTGTGCTTTTTTGTAAAGTCGTAGTTAATTAAATATTGCAATTTCAAACTGGACAGTATTTTTGCTAATGTTACAAAAGTTTTTTTTTTTTTTTTTTGACAAATGAAATTAGGATGGTACACAAATCTACTCCTAAAACACAAGTCTTTGTTCCAATATAAGTTTGTCGCACGTCTTTCAAATTAGAAACACTGACTACATATATATTGATATAATATTTAATTTCGTTGGGTTAGGACTTGGGACAGATCGTAAAGGATATTTTCAACTTCTTCTTATTAGTGTAATGTAATCAAAGTTAAATCAGTTACCTTTTAATTGCTTACTTAAAGTACATCTTCTTTAGAAATTATATATGTCTGGTGAATGTATATTTCAATTTAGTCAAGAACCGTTGCAGCAGAGAAATATTGATTAGTTAAAACCAGTGTTCTACAAGGTGGTCATAGCAGCCGCCTAGGCAGTTCTTGAAGCCACAAAATGTTACCATTGTTAGAGAGAAGAATAAAATTTAAGATAAAAAAAATATAAATTTTTATATAAAATACTAAATTCAAAAACAAAAACCCGCGCATTGCGCGGATCCTCTCCTAGTCTTTACTAAATGATAGCAGCTATTTGAGGCATTTCACTTCACAGTTTCACCTAGAGAATGGCACGTGGCACGAAGAAAAAGTTTAAAAACGAATTCGCTTCTATCCGAAGCCCATCTAGGCGCCCTAAGCCCACTTCGCTCCGGCCCGGTTGCAGTCCGCTGCAGACACCAATTCGTTTCGGCTTCCTCCTTCTCCACCTTCGTTCATCTCTCCGCCGATTCCCGTTCCTCTCCCAGTGTAACCACTGCTTCCCATTTATTCGTCCTTTCAATTCGATGGCCAGCCACTCATCCTCGAAATCGTCTCATTAACCACTATAAAATCCGCCGCACCTAATTCAATTGTATGCGTTGAACCCATTACCTTCCAAATCATTACGAAACCTACTCAGAGATCAATCTCTTTCTCCCTCTGACAAGCCGCAGACTTTCAAGGTCATCGACAACATCGCCGGTCAATTCCGCAACGACGAGGTTGTTGTCCGACTCCTCCATTTATGGGAGTCGAGGAAATGTTGAAGTTCTTCAGGGCACTGGAAGATGTGTTTCTTCTATCAGATCAAAGAAAAGACACGACCAGCTACGAAATCTCTCGGTTCAGATTCTTGAAATTTACAACGAGCAAGTCAGAGATGGCCAAACTAAAAGATATCCTTTTCATTAATAATTTTTTTCTATAAGTGTTTTCATATTCTTAAGTACTCTGAGATACTTTGATTTTGTTTGATCATTAACTCTTGATCACATTAGAAATCAGAAACAACTCTCAGAATGGAATTAATGTTCGAGATCATTTGTGTGAACTCCGCAAGTTTAGTGCCTGTCTCATCAACCGATGACGTTATACAGCTGATGGATCTGGGACAAATGAACCGTGCAGTGAGCTCTACAGCCATGAATGACAGAAGTAGTCGATCTCACAGGAGGATCAGCCAAGACGCTTATGTTTGTCCACTCTGAAGTTTGCTGAACGAGTGGGGAGTGTCGAGCTAGGCGCTGCTCGTGTGAACAAAGATAACTCAGAGGTCAAGGAGCTTAAAGAACAGGTTGTTAAACCATACACTATGACCAGACTTTGACTCATTCTTTCCATTAGTATCCTGTCACTGTTCTGATAGTGTTGTCGGTTTTTCCGTCAGATTGCGATTCTTAAATTGGCTCTAGCGAGGAAAGGAAATGGTAATGATGTACAGCCAAGCTCTATACCAGTCAATCGTGAGAGCATATCGAGAAGAAGATCACTTGAAACTCCTACCATTCGACCCAAACTTCCAACCAACCTGAGGCCCCAGGTTATGGATCTAAGTGGACCAGAGGTATGCTTTTGCCTTCTTTCAGGAGCAATCAAAGTTGCTGAGTCTAAAAAACTGCTGTCTTATATGTTTAATTATATGCAGGCTTATAGCGATTTAACAACTTCAAGAAGACACAGCTTAGATCTTCATGAGCTAATGCAATCTTCTTCTCCGTCTTGGCGGAGGCAAACGCTCAATGTAAAAGACGAGGATGCAGAGTTTAAGTCAGGGGAGTGGATCGATAAGCACGAAGAGTCAATTAACCCACAACTACGATCACTGTATGTAACTCACATTGCATTAACCAACATTTGTTTTATATGCATCTTCTTATTCTTGATGTCTATTATCTTTCAAACGACAGAAATTGTGGGAAACAAGATTTGGAGGTGCAGAGTATTACAGATAACGAATCTGATGAAGGCGCGACAAGTGATTGCTCTGATCTGATGTGGCGATTAAACGTTCAAGTGAATGTGCCCAGAGTTTATAATTTGCAAAGCGCAGCAAACCCCAAACCTAAGAAAATCCAGCCCAGGACTGCTAAACCCTTAGAAACCAGGTATTTATGAGTGTTTGCTACAAAATTTACTGATTTAGTCAGGGATTTTTTTTTTCTTGTGGCAGAAGTTTAATCCCGTCGCTGATCCCAGCACCAAGCGAGACCTCCGAACACTACCTTGAATTCGCAGCCGCAGCGACCAACTAGAGATCCAAGACGCAGACTGAGTTTAGGCAATGAACATGGTTTCAATAGTTTTGTAAAGAGTTAAAAAAACGGTTAAGGAGAAGATAAAGATTTGTTCTTGTATATTGTGAGACTTTCTGTCTCTTTTGTGTCGAGAAACAAAATCTCAATTTGTTGATTTGAGTTTACAAAGAAATGATTCTTTAGTATACAAACTCCTTTTATTGATTTTCAGTTCAAGTGTATACTTTGAATATTTGCTTCTTCAAATAGTCAAATTATGTAAGACTTCAATATTACAGAAATGCTTTCTATTTGACCAAAGCCGGAGCACCGTAGCGGAGCCTGAAGGAGAGATGAAATCTAAAACCTTACCTTCATGTGCTACACATAGGAGATGATTTCATCAGAAGCAGAATGGTTTTTCCGGTTAAGAAGATGACTTCTGCGATTTCCAGTGTCTTCAGCCGCAAGAAAACTCTTGCAGGTGAAAAAAGCGATCACCAAGGAGACAATTCTGCGGAAGCTGATGAGAGTTTGTCTGTTGGTACAGCTAAACCCAAGCAAAACATACTTCAGAAGAAGAAGAGCTTTTGGGAAAGCGCAAGAGTTCGACTCAAGATACTCTCTTCTTAGGGCAAAGACTGAAGACGAGAAAACGAAAAAGAAGAAGAAGAAAAAACTTGAGTGAGGGTAGTGGAGAAGAGGAGCTGTGCAAGAAGAGGATACTAATGGGTGAAAGATGCAAACCGATTAACCGGTCAGGGATTTTGCAGTATGCTGGTGATGGGATCCTCTTACCCGAGGCATGACAGTTGATCCCAAAATATCTTTCTTAATTAAAGCACAATAGGGGGAGAATCAACATTATACTCCACAAATCACGGATCCAAAATATTTAAAAATTACATCTCTGCACTATATACATTTCGGGGGAATTACTATCCCAAATCATACACCACAATCTTTCGGATTATATTTTATTAACATTATACTCTAACCATCATCTGCTCCCCGATTCAATTAAATTCCTGCCGTGAAGTATAAATTCAAATAACTAAGTTCGTCCACCGATAATTTCAATATTTACTTCTACTTGTGGGACACGGTCATCATACTAAATAAAAATAAATAAATTCTACGGTTTACGATATACATTCTCACGCATATTACAAACTCCATTGTCTACCAAACATTTCTACCAAAATGACTCGGAGAATTACTTTCGTGCAAAATGACCATGAAAATGTAAAAATACATTATAAACATAGAAATCACCCAAATTTTCCAAAATTTCTAAATTATAAATGCTACCCGCGCTACGCGCGGGATATCCCCTAGTTAAATATCAAAAAAATTATGAGGTGATTGGTAAGTGCTATGAGTGCTCTGCAGAGCAATTATTTTTTTTAGAGCACTAATATTAAACCAATAAAGCTTTGATTTCATTTTTTTAAGTTCAGAGCCATAATTTTATTTATGAAAATATTTTGGCTCAGCAGAGCAGATTTTTCAGAGCACAAGTTTAAGGACTCTAGAATTCTCTCTCTTCTCTTTCCTTAATCTCATTCTCTACAGCCACGGCAAAAAAATCTACAACCTAACTTTTACAGTAAAAAATCCAAAGCTACAGACAACACCAATCAGGCCCTAATTCTTAGACATTTTACAGAAATTTTGTGGAATAGCCGAAAACTTTCAGTTCACCATTTGATTTTGTGGAATGGAATTGGTAGATTATTCTTCAATAAAGTAAATGTCCCACCTTTCAATATTTTATGTTTTATTTAAAACTTATAATAGTTAATACAATTACATGATAAATAAAATTATCTTAAAATATTATTTCAAAATCATGTTTCCAAAAGTTATTTAATTACTTCAATAATTAATTAGATTTTCATATTATTAATTAAATATTCACAATATTATATATAACTTTTTCAATAATTCTCACATTTACAATCAAAATGTTTTTTTTAATTCCTCTCATACTATCACTAAAATTTTTTCCATCTCATACCATTTTTCCATTAATAAAAGTATCTTTAAATCATCAAAACTAAAATGTAAACCATCAAAATTAACTCCAAACTTTCAAAACTAAACCCTAAACACTAAATACTAAACCCTAAATTCTAAACTCATTCCCAAATATTTAAATTATAAAACCTTATAAAAATGGTATGGGAGAAAGAAAAAAAAAACTAGTGATGGTATTAGAGATATTAAAAAATATTTTTATGCTATATGATGGTTTTTCTTTTAATTATTTCACAAGTTAAATTTTCAAGTAATAAAATAAGAGAAAAATGAAATCTGAAAAGCTAAAGTCATCAATAGTTATATACTAAAATACTAATAAATTATTATTCAAAAATCCGAGATTTGTTCTTCAATTTGGATTCATGGAGGAACTAGATCTGGATAGAGAAATTTTTATCTATCAAGATCGGATTGGATACACATATTTTCATTTTAAGGGTTCTTATTCAAGATTTTTTTTTGTTTATTTTTATAGGATAATATCTTCTAAAAATGAGTTCAAAAATTCTAAGAATACGACAATTTTTTTTTACAATGATATAATTCTCATAAATGAAATTAGGTCATATTTTTTTTGGTATGCAAATTAGGTCATATAGTTGGATGTGGATATATATTATATAAACCATATGTATGCAATTTTAGGCAAACTGTGAATACATATATGGTCTGGATATTAACCGAAAAACCGAATTCTACAAATTTTCTAAGACATATATCTACAAAATGGAGAAAATGAATCATTCTATCCCTCAGTGTAGCGTTCATGTAGCTGAGTCTAATGAATCATTCTATCGCTCAACTGTTGGTTTGGCATTAGTCATTACACTTGTGTAGGTCCCCAAAGGCCTTCCCAAGTTCGATACTAGCTACGCATTATTCTCTACACTCAGCTACATGAACTTAACAATTATTTGTTGATATTTTTATACTGTTTTTTACATACAATTAAACAAAGATCTAATAAAGAAATAAATAAAAATAGATATAGGCGAAAGAAAGTTTTTAGAAGCAAAATAGATAAGGATATTGTGGCGGCTTAGACAATAACATCTATAATATGTAGAAACCACAAATTTCCAATGAATATTCTAAAGACTAAAACTAAACATGGATTTTTCATTTTGAAACCAAAAACATTATAGACCTTAGAAAACCCCTTATAAAAAAAACATTATAGACCTTTTAATTCATAACCTCTTTGTGTTGGAAACAAAACGTTTTAAATTGAACTGTATTTCATTCTCTACCACCGGACTTTGACATGACTTGGTACTTACATATTCACAGTTAGCCAAATTGTATTCATATTAACCGGTAATACAACCGGTTATCTAGAAGTTCCGCATTTCATCCAAGTCACACCGCATATGATCATATACATAATAGTCGAAATATACTTAATTAGATATGTAAATACGTGAAAAGCTAAAAGTATATAAAAAAAAAATATAGAGTCTCTATGCCAGCCGGAAGCGACTCGCTTCTATTCCCCGTTGGGATTGGATACGGGATTCAGAAACTGTTGCGAGAGACTAATGAAAACAGAAGAACAACTCTAAAGCAAGCGAGACTCAATAGTTCTTTCTGGCTCCTATAAGGGACTCTGCTCGGTTCTCATCTATCCGACGGATTTCTCCTCTTCATTGTTTGGGAACTGCGTGAGTAAGCCAGTGAAGTGAGCGAAGCGGAGGAACCCTTTCTTCTCTCAGAGGAGGTCTGCAAGCCTTCTTCGGAGACTTTTTCTAACGTCCTACCTACAGGCGCATAGGAGCTAGTTTTCCGTTCATTTCTTGCTTGTCGGTTGGGAGTTTGTTTGCAGGCTAAGGATGTGAGTGAACTCTCCAAGGAGGGCCAATGGAAGGGAGAGAGTACAGCATATTCCCAGTAAAGTCAGAAAGTATTTGAAACAAAACTAAGGGTCGTTAGACGCATTCCGAGTACAAAGTTTTCCTAATTGGCTCAGTTGGACTGAAAGGGTACCGGAAGGAAGAATGACAGCTAAACAACTTTGAGTTCCCAAAGAAGAAACAGTGAAATCTCGTTCCAAAAGAAGAGACAGACAAACCAAACCAGGCTTATCGATTGCTTACCAAAATACGTATATTAAGAAGATTCTCATTCCAGTAAATCTCATAAGAAAAGATTCATCTCATTCCAGTTAGATATCAATCGAGAAAACGCCGCCCAAAGAAACTTCGCCCCGTGCGGTTCAGGTCCTTTTAGGCGATCCCGCGAAGTAGGTCCCCCGGACGTCCAAGATTCTAGCTAACTACTCGAATAGATCTTCTGTTCTTCTTTGCTTCACACATAGAAGTTCGTTCTTGCCGGTGGGGAAAATAGGCTTAAACTCATTGTTCTTCATTCAGAGGAGTACGCGAAAGTAAAGAGGGAGAAGAGAGTTATTCGAGGCTACTCGACTCGATGGGGAAGGGTGAAAGCTTCCCTGTAAAGGGAAGGGCTTGCTTGTGGTGAGCAGAACCATCTTTTTGTGAAATGCAGATGCAGTGGTCGATTGCCTAGAAAAAAGCCTTTTTCGAGTTACCCCAAAAGAATCTACTCCTTACTCAAGTTCTCAGTGAAGACCAAGCAACATTTCATTGAATGAAAGTAGCTATTAAGCCCCTACCTACAACTTACTTTGTTGGATTCAAAAGGCAAACGGGCGTTTGAAACTGATCGATGTAGATATAAGGATCATACATGTGGATAAAGTGGTGAAGGGATTATAATCTCTTAGTAGTATTACCGTGTCATGTTTCTTTCTCTCATGTTGTCATCAACCACCACTGGCGGATTCAAAAAAAGAAAAAAAAATTTGGGGGTATATTTTGAATAAAAATTGTCAACTAATAAAATAATTTATAAGAAATAGTAAGATGTTAAAAATAAAAGTTTACTACTAAATAAAAAATAAGAAAAAATTTAGCATTAATTTAGCAAAAAATAAGCAAATATTTCTTATGTATTAAATATTTTCCTAATACAAGTCTCTTTTCATATGTTTTTCTATTGAAAACAATAATCACATTTTGTTAGTGAGATTAGGGACCAGAGAACTCTGAATTATATATCTGAAGTGAGTACATTAGTATATGGGATTGGTCACCTGAGTACTCTTGAGTCATATAGCTTTGGAAGATCATATTTATAGTCTTTTTAGTAGCTATTGCAATAATATGCATTTCTTTTCTCTGTTATTGTCTTTATCAAGAATTTAAGAGTTTTCTTGTGCATAGAGTAAATCTATAGAGTAAATCTCCCGTCAGTAAGTAAGATGAGAAAGCTTCCACTTCTATTACAATTTGTCTTGAAAGTTTACTAATTGGTTGCTCAAACTCCCTGCGGCCACGCATTCCACTTGGAATGCTTCGCTCAGTGGCACACCAGCAGTCCTATGTGCCGAATGAGTTTTTAGGTTAGAATTTGTTTAACACTTGTTATGTTTATATTTGACTGCTATTTTGAATTTTGGTGTTAACTTGGGTTGTTGGATGTTTAAAGTTGCTAAGAGGAAGTTGGGAACTCAAAAAAATATTTAATTTGGGGTTCATTTTGAATAAAATTCTCAACTAATAAAATAATTTATAAAAAAAAAATAGTAAGATAAATGTAAAAGTTTACGACTTAATAAAAAAATAAGAAATTTTTTAGCATTAGTTTAGCAAAAAATAAGCAAATATATATTTTTTTTAATATTTCCTAAAACATGTCTTTTTAATATGTTTTTTTATTGATAATATATATTTTACTCGTAAAAGATGTATCAAAAGAAAACAACATCGGTAGACTAAGCAATTTCGAACTTAATATATTATTTAGGTTTCAAAAATACTAATAAAAAAAATAACCAAAAATTGATTTCTCTGATAAATATAGTTAGAAATAATTGAACAATATTACCATTTTGGTAATTATTTAGAGTATTTATAAGAGTTCTGTCACTTTCTTTTTTCTGCTGAAAGATTATAATTAGTTTCATCTAAATTACTTAAGAAAACAAAAAAAGAATATGTGACACGTGCCACAGTCCCAACATACGCCACTATCAACCACACACGTCCCAGTCCCGCAAAAGAGGTATGTATACTTTTGAAAAGTACACAAGCATACATCTGTATTTACAAATACAATTTCTTTCTCTTTTTAAAAAAAAAAAAAAAAAAAAAATTGATCTGAAATATTTAGGCGCGATCAAACAGAAATAAGATAAACTTTGGGATATGTATATCCATATTTGACGAATTTATACAGGGATAACGGTCATTTAGTACCCAACTCTTATCAAATGTATTAGTTAGTATCTGAAAAAATTTGGTATGCTTATAAGTACCCAAACTTTCACATATCTTTTCGTCAAAAAATATCTTGACCCAAATTTGATCAGTTAAAATCTAAGTTATCTACACACGACATTAATTTCATAAAAATATAGAACAAAAGCTATTACTAAACTACGCACACATTATTATAAACTATTATATCTATATATATATAAAGTTCATGCAATTCTCTTCGGGTGTTGCCACGTCAGCAAAAGAGACTGCTTCTAAATTCACCAATTCACCACATCAGCATTGTATTTATTAATTTTAATTTATTATATTTTCTCTTCTTATATTTAAATTCTTTATGATCATTCATTAATATAATCATTAAATAATATAATAGTTTTGCAAGAATTTGAAAAGTCATTTTTATAAAAGAAAGAAATATTATGTATAAATCTTAAAATCTATTATTTAATAATAATATAAACATATATTATACAAAGAACACTTTTTTTTTAGTATTTTGAGATGAAATAAGACGAGATCGAATATGACGAGACGAAAAAAATATAATCGGAGAAGAGGAGAATTTTGTTTACTTCTTATGATATTAAGAGACGAGAGAAAATCTAAAGGAACGAAAAAGAATGGAATAGGACAAGACGGAAATTTTGCCTATCTCTAATTATATTTAGGGGTGGAACGGAAAAAAAGAAAAAAAAATGATGAGAGCTGACAAAACTGTTGGACGGGACAAAATGAAAATAAATGGAATGTGACGGGACTGGACGAGATGAAAAATACATAATGGGATGAGACATGGAAGGGACGGGACGGGAATTTTACCTCCCGCTAATTATATTCATAGACGAGATAGAGATAAGACAAAATAGAAATGAACATAATAAGATATGATGAGACTGGATGTGGCGGACAGAACGAACATGATGGGAAAGAACATGACAAGATGAAAAGGAACAGAATGGGATAGAATTATGTCTACCCCTAATTATATTTAGGGGACAAGACAATAATAAACAAAATGAAAAGAATCAAAATAGGATAGGATAGGACTGAATGGGACATGAAATACAGGACGAACGGGACAGGAAAGAACGTACATGGTGAAAATGTACGAAATGGGACGAGATGGAGCAAGATGGTACAAATTTTTTGCCTAACTCTAATTATATTTAAGTAATATGTGTATAATATCTTTGAAACAATATCAAATTTGCGAAAAAAACAATAAAACTAACACAACCCGCGTAGTAGTGCGGGTCACCCCCCGAAAATATCCATATCAAGTAAACTAATAACCGAGATTATCCAAACCAAACCAAATCGAATTAAATATGATTCTAATTTGATAGCTATTTTCTATTAATTGAAAAACCGAAAACCAAAATATCTGAATTGAAACTGAATCGATATCAGGATTAAACATTCCTAGAATACAATGCAAGAAAGAAATGAGGAAAAAAAAACAGAATTATCAAAAGATAAATTATTACCCTATTTACGAAATAGAATCATTATCAGTTTTGTAAATTGTAAATTGAAATCTATAACACTATAAATAAAATACTTGAATGCAAATTTTAAAACTTGACGATATACTTTACTTGTCTAAATTATTTAGGTTTTAAATATTCTCAGTTATTTGGCCAGATTTCTCAATTACCATTTGAGAACTATTATTATGGTGTCAAATTCATCAAAAACAATTACATAAAAATTTAGTTAAATTCGATATTCAGCAGAATTCAGGTGTTACCCACTTAATCCCAAGTTGGACCGTTGTACAATATAACACAAATTGATTAGTAAATATTATTTGTACCAAGTTGGGCCGTTGAAAAATATAACACAAATCGAGAAAATCATATTCTTCGGTTCCAAGTTGGGCCGTTGTAGAATATAACTACAAGATCATATCCAGTCCCAAGTTGGGCCAATCATCCTCTAGTTAAATATGAAAAGCAGTAGTTGTTATGTAACCCTAAGAAGATAGCAAATGAAAGGAAGATGAGGAAAGACAAACGCACAGCCGCTGCATGTGTCCGTAGACACCGCAAAGTTCGCCGAGTAGACTCAATCAGCTCTCTACCGGATGAGATCCTCCAACATATCCTCTGCTTGATCCCGACCAAATTAGCAGTCTCAACTTCGGTCTTGTCCACACGATGGAGACATGTATGGTGCAATACACCTTCCATCTCCTTGGAGAGCTCTGCATTGCGGGCTGCTTCGAGAATGGAAACACAAAATCGCTACACAGCTCCGAAGATGATGAGTTTACACCTTCGAACCGGCTTGCAGGAGAATGTTAGACACGTCAACACGTGGATCGAGTTGGCCTTGTCCCGCCATGTGGAGAATATGAACGTGGAACTTCAGTATAATGATCATAACTATGATCTTCCGGATTCCTTGTACATCATTTCCTCTGTCAAGGAGCTCAGAGTTGAGTTACACCTTACTCCAATGATTCTGAAATGCTCCGTTTCTTGGACATCCCTGAAGAAGTTGTCTTTACGTTCATGTATTCTCTCTGGTAACTCCATTGCTATGATTATGTCTGGCTGTCCGATTCTCGAGTTCTTGAAACTGGATTTGTGCGAAGACATGCGGGTTCTTGATCTCAGCAATTCGCTGCGTCTGAGGACATTACAAGTATTCGGCCCATACTTCCGGGATCAGAGTCCAAGGAAGATTGTTGCACCACATGTCCGTTTTCTCAAACTAAGAAACTCTCTGTTACTATGCACTTTAGGTGATCTCTCCTCTTTAGCCGAAGCTAAACTGAACATTTCCTTTCACGCACTTCAGAGAATCAATCCTGATTCTGATTCTCTTGGAGCCATGGTGGTAAAGATGGCAGAAATGCTAGAAAAGTTGAAGAACGTAGAGAAGCTTACTTTTGGGAGTAATTTCCTTGAGGTATGTATGTTTGGCCATAGTCTTGCATATTTCTCTAATGCCTAGTTAATTTGAATAGGTTGAATCAGCTGGTAGCATAGTCAATTTTTTCATTTATTATGCTTTTTTTTTTTCCATCTAGAATTATACTGAATTGAGAGAGAATACAAGGTGTTAAACACCAACCAAACTTACAAACCCATGACAATCATAAGCCGGACGAGATGAAAATACTCCGGAAGAAAAGCCGGTGAGAAACGACAAACACCAGAAACTAAGCCCACTCAGGGGAAACTAACAATAAACAAACTAAGAACTATGGAACTAAAGAAGAGAAAGAAAAGGATCTAAGAGGTTTAACCAAAAACGAAGAACCGCACCAACTCAAACTAAAGCGCTGCCAAGACCTGCTTCAAACTTCTTGAGAACCTTCATAGAAACTTCACCCTCACCGTAAAGGCCTTCAGTGGCCAGAGAAAGGTCACAGAGACTACGGTCGCAGAGGCTTGAAACTTCCCTTCCCTGAAAAAACACAAACTACCTAACAACTCAAAACGCCAGCCTTCCAACACGCCAAAAAGTCCTAACTGGCAGAAGTACCCTTCGCGGAATGAGCTCTCGATCAGAAGTGAGATAGCGGCAGGGAGAAAACGAACCAAACCAGATAACACCAAGCTCAGAAGGTGAAAGATCGAACCGGAGAAGAACCAGAACCCAAGCAAACTCAACAGAAGCAGGACGGAGCACGGAAGCGCAGCGCGAGAGAGGGAAAGGAGGTGAAAAACCAGATATGGCAGGAACTAAGGACCATAGAGGAGAAACCATATTTATTATGCTTTGTTTTGCTATAAGTTTGTTTAGGTGCTTTTTCAGATCTATATATATGTTTGTGTATTTAACCATGCTCTATGCTCTTTCTATTAGATTTTGTCTCGGCCAGAGCTTCGCAATGTGGCTTTTCCAATGTTCAAGACCAAAGCTTTGGCTCTTGACACAACGGAAGTTACTATTGAGAAAATGGTACAACACTCACCTGATTTAAAGAAGCTAACCATACACACAAGAAGTCACAACACCAAACCGGTATATATAGTTACCACAATCAATCTTTATATTATTAATTGAGAAGTACATTCTAATGTTTGGATACAAGAATAAAAGAAAAATCTATTTGGATACAAGAATAAGTGGAAACAAAAATTGTTTGGATATAAGAATAAGAGAAAAATCTATTTGGATAGAAGAATAAATGGAAAAAATTGTTTGGATACAAGAATAATAATTTTAAAAAAACCGATGGTTTAGAAAACTTCCGTTTTCCAGCTCTTAAAAAATTTGCAAAAAAGAAAAATTAACATAATCTATCGATAATATCAAATCAATAGAATATAATCGAATGATATTTGAAAAATTTCCAATAGTGAAATTGAAATATGTCTAATTTAAATCAAATTGTGGATTTCCGTTCGTTTTTTTTTTGAAAATTTATATTCGGTTTGGGTTCGATTTTTTTTTGTGTTTAGTTATGGGTTTTCCGGATTTTTTGGATTTCGGGTTTTCGGGTTTAGACATGGTAAAAAAGTTTGGGTATTTTAAAAATTTTATTAGGGTTTTTAGGTCGGGTTTCGGGTGAAAAAGTTTCGAGTTTTTTTATTCGGTTCAGGGTTTTTGGGATTTTTTGGATTTCGGGTTCTCGGATTTAGATATATTAAAAAAGTTTGAGTTTTAAAAAAAATATTAGGGGTTTTTGGGTCAGGCTCGGTTTAGTGACGTAATCTTGTCCGCAAATAGAATGTGCTTTTGATAATTTCTCTCAGACTTGACGAGATGACTCTTTTGTCTCGTCAAGGAGAATAGATTGATGTGACGATTTTTCTCGGACTCGAGGTTCGATGAGATTGGTTTTATCGGGCTCGTGTGATGACGAGACCGCTCGATATCGTATGATGACGAGATCGGTGTCTTCTCGGGCTCGTGTGATGACGAGACCGCTCGATATATGATGACGATATCGGTGTCTTCTCGGGATCATGCTTCGACGAAATTGGTTGGGGTTGCGCTTTGGCAACACTTGTTTTCTCGGGATCGTGCTTCGACGAAACCGGTTGGGGTTGCGCTTTGGCAACACTTGTTTTCTCGGGATCGTGCTTCGACGAAACCGGTTGGGGTTGCGCTTCGGCAACACTTGTTTTCTCGGGATCGTGCTTCGACAAAACCGGTTGGGGTCGCGCTTCGGCAACACTTGTTTTCTCGGGATCGTGCTTCGACGAAACCGGTTTTATCGGGCTCGTGTGATGACGAGACCGCTCGATCTCGGATGACGAGATCGGTGTTTTCTCGGGCTCGTGTGATGACGAGACCGCTCGATCTCGTATGATGACGAGATCGGTGTTGTCGAGAGGTTTGGCCAGAACGTCGACGTGTGCCTTTGGAGGTGAATAAAATTTTACATTGCTCATCTCGTCAGACGGATTATAGAATTTTATTGGAGGTATAGCTGAACCTTTGGAAAGGCTGCCTATGTACCCATGCCGGGATCAAGCCATTTGTAATTCGTTGCGACGAGTAAGGGGGTAATACTCCACCCTTTGACGAGCTTGCTCTTTGACGAGCTCAGTTTTTTGCTTCTCGAGCCTCTTTGCCGAGCTCAGTTTTTCTTTTGTCTCGACCTCGCTCTTCGACGAGATCGGTTTTGCTTTGCTCCTCGAGCCCGCTCTTTGACGAGCTCGGTTTTTCTTTTGTCTCGACCTTGCTCTTTGACGAGATCGGTTTTGCTTTGCTTCTCCACCCCGCTCTTTGACGAGCTCGGTTTTTGTGCTTAGTCTATTTATAGACTTGCCGTTTCGGCGGTGTATGCAAATCACCCGAATGACAGAGTGTTGAGGTGCGTTCTTAAGATGGTAACGATTTTGAAGGCAACGACGAGATGGAAGTGATGCTTCTGCCATCTACGAGATGGAGGTGACGGTTTTGCTGTCACCGATCTTTTGCGTCTCGGCAAGGATTTCGGTATTGTCGGGTGTCGAGCTGGTAGCGCGGTACACTTTGGAGCTGATTGCGTTGAGGCCGCGGCGCAGCTTGGCCACTTTTGGTCTTGTCGCCGTTTGTCGCGACGTTAAAGCTTGTTGCTGTTCGTCGCGGCGTTAGTGCATGTCGCCGTGGTGCTTCTTGTCGGTGTCTGAATGAGGGTTTTGTCCCGTCGGGATGACTCGTCCGTCGCTGGTGACGTAGAGGAGTCGATCTTGAGTCTTGGTGAACAGTTTACACCCATCCTCATTTCAAAATACTAGAAGAAGAGACTTTTTGTATTTGTAGGACTACTAATAATGTTTTGGAGATTAAGTTAAACCCAAATGTTTTACTTTTAGGTGTTTATAAACTTAAACTGATATTTATTTATTATTATTTTTACTTCGGAAGTATGTTTATTCAAAAGTGTTTAAAACCCTTTGCTATGTTGGGCATTGTTTCATTGTTAGGTTGATAAGTTAAGATGGCCGACGGCAGCTCGACCTCCGCAATACGACTCGGTAGCCGCCTGGAAGTCGAAAGAGCCGTAGACTCAATCAGCTCTTTACCTGATGTGATTCTCCAACACATACTCTCTTTCGTTCCGACCAAGTTAGCCATTGGAACTTCCCTCTTGTTAACAAGATGGAGGCATGTATGGTGCGATCTACCTTCTCTCCCCTTCTGTGCCAAAACACAGACGGCTGCTTCCATAAACGAAACCCTAACTCTCTACACAGCTCCGAAGATGATGGATTTTCACCTCAAAAACATCACGAAGCAGCATATTCGTCACCTGGACATGTGGATCAAGTTCGCCATGTCACACAACGTGGAGAATCTGTCCCTTGATATCAATAGTTGTGGTATTATTAATGATGTTGAGTATAAGTTTCCTGATTTCTTCTTCATCAACTCATCTGTCAAGCAACTTAGCATTAGGTCAATCTTTGATTATAACATTATTCCAAAATGCTCTGTGTCTTGGACATCACTGAAGAAACTGTGCTTGGATAATTGTGTTCTCTCTGAAGAATCCATGGCTAAGATTATATCTGGTTGTCCCTTTCTCGAAAGCTTATCATTGTATTTTTGCAATAACCTCAAGGTTCTTGATCTCAGCAAATCACTGCGTCTAAGGGCATTAGAAGTAAGCTTTATCGTTAGCGTAACGGAGATCGTGGCACCACATACCCATTACCTCAGATTGAGAAACTCACAGTTATCACGTACTTTAGTTGATGCCGCGTCTTTAACCCACGCTAATCTAGACATTTGTTTTTTCTCAATTTACTCGACCTTCGAGGCTGATATTTTTCAAGCCAATGTGCTAAAGATGCTAGGAAATTTTCAGAACGTCGAGAAGCTTACTTTTGGGGGAAACTTGCTTCAGGTGTGTTTTAAGCTTCATTATTCATTATTGTATTCTCTAAGCATGGTGCTGATCAATATGTGTTGTGGTATATATTAACTATATCTTTTTGTGCGTTCTTTTAGGTTTTATCTCTTGCCGAGGTTCTTGGTGTTCCTTTTCCCAAGTTCAAATTCAAAGCTTTGACTTTTGAGACAGTGATATTTCGGTATGTTATTCCTGGTATAGAAAGACTCTTACAAAACTCACCTGATTTAGAGAAGCTAACATTACGCGCAAGGGATTGCAACACAATAAAGGTATTATTTTTCTATCATTAAGCTCTTTTTTTGTTTCTCATTGCTCTTCTTTCTAACTACCACCGAGTTCCAATATATATACCCAAGAATCCTTTTTGTAATTTATATTTTGTTAAGCAGGAAGACAATCTTGACCACTACTTGAATTCTCGAGGCTTGGACAAGGATCAATGCTGGAGATCAAAAGATGGAGTCTCTTGGAACAAGTCCCGTTGGAACGTCGAGGTGAAGCATGTGGTTTCGTTAGTGGAACTTGTGTTTAAAAACGCAATGACATTAGACAAGATGGTCGTACTGTTAAACCAACGTTACCTTAGGCATATCTTTGAAGACCTGGTCCCAACATTTTCTCACAACAACAATGTCTTCATTTCGCTCTCCACCAACACACCAGAGGCGTGGTGATTCATAAGGTTAAGTCTTATTTTGTCTTTTTTTTTACATTTTTTATTTATTTTATTTTTGAATGGGTGTACTTTATATAGTATTGGGCATCTTACATCGAACCCCATTCGAACAAGACGGTTTTCCTATATTTGTAGGACGACTAGTCAGGTTTCTCGTGTATAATTAGTTTTTAGTTGATGCAATTAAACGAACTATAAGTCTTTTGTTTTTTGTTTACACGATAAACCTGATGACTCTAGATCATAAGGTGAAAGATGTTATATTCTCAAAATGATTATTCTAGCGATGAAAGAACTTGTGAAACAAAAATGTTAATGGTGGTGTGCATGCGTTTCTTGCTCCAATGCCTGTTAGATATCAGGAAATAATGTTTTCGTTGTGTATGTTCTAGATCATCCTTGATACATCATACAACTCGTATATAACTATTGAGAAATGTAACAGAAGACCTTTAATTGCACTTCTTTTATGTGGGCACATTTTTTGCTTCAAGTGTTTCAAGAAGTGGATTGGTCAAGGGGAAAGCACTTGTGCAATGTCACAGCCCTATTACTTCTACAAATATCAAGCAATTCGTGAATAAACTCATCCCTCGTGTCTGAAATTTGTTTGGAAAATTTTGTATTTTACTGCTCTAAAGGTTTTGTCTGGGGAGGATAAAGTTGATACGTGGATTCTTGCCAATTTTCTTTGGTATCGGGCTGCTAACATTTGAGGCAAAAGTAGTGCCCACATGATGCTTCACTGACATTGACGAGTTTTTCTAGAACGAACATTCATCACATGTTCTCTTGCATTCGTAACATGCTTTTTCATTGTTATTTTTTATTACTCCCATATCATACATTTTTCATATAACTACAGGAATATCATTGCATCAGTATATCTTTGGCTCTGCTAAAAACTGGATGAAGTCGGTTCAGTGCTAAGTTGTGTACATGTGTGTGGTTTAGTTCCTTTTGTCACCATGTTCATTGAAGACTTCTGTGACATCATAATATATTAGGAGTGGTTGGAGTTGGAGTAAATTCTTCATACAGTACTTGGCTTAATTCATTTTGTAATGTGATTAGTATAGCAAACTCTACACGAGCAGTGACCCTGAAGAAGAAGAAACACCGGTCGTTACTGAAGCAGCTGAACAACCCAAGGAAAATGGTCAAACTGGACAATAACACAGTAGTTTTTGTGACTGGTGGAATCTGGCTTGAAGTAGATATAGTTCCAATGGTTTTTCTTTTTTCTTGATTGAATTTTTACTCCAAACTTTGGATTTTTTTTGCATAATGTATGAAAGAAACTCTCATATCAGTAGTTGGAGAATTTGTGAAGTAATATAAAAAGGGTTAGGGCTTCTCTACTCACAGCCAATTGGTTTTGAGTTGTATGTCAAAAAATTTGATATGGTATTAGAGTTCGTTCCCACAATTTCCCACGAAATTGTTAAAAATTTTAAAAAAAAAAAGTATTATATATACTAGGTGTTTTACCCGCGCACGCGCGGGTTCCGTTTTAATATTTGTAAATAAATCTTATGTCCTCTTTATTTTAATTTTATTCAATAATATTAAGAAAAGGTATGATTCAATTAAGAATATTTGTATATCAAGTTCGAGTCATCAATTTTTTTTTGTTTCTTTGATAAGAGATGAAAATAATAGTTTCATTTATTAAAAAAAGGTTTTTAAAATGCTTCACTATTTTTCAATTTTTGTTTATAATTTTTTTTAATAAACTTTTTTTGTAATATACTTTTAATTTTTTTTACCTAACCAATTTAATTATTTTTATAAGTAGTCATAATAAGTAAGATACCTTTTAAAAATCTTTTTTGTCATAAAAACATACAACAGCCCATCCTCAAATTTCTTAAACTAATCCCTTAATTTTACTATTCATTAGACAATTTTTTTTATATCCAATAAAGGTTATCTGGCAAACTTATCCAATATTAGTCTAATACATATTTTAGTTCTTAATTTATTTTTTAATTTTATTTATTTGTTTAGCTTTTCCAGCTATGAATTTATGATTTATACTTAATTTTTTTTTGTAATTTTAATTATGTTGCATTTAATTCCATTCAATAAATTCATCTTTTTATTTTTAAATCACTGTTTTTATATTTAAAAGTCTTATATCTAGAAAATAAAATATATAAATGTATTTTACAGATCATTAAGGACGGGAAGAAAGGAATCAGAAAGATCAGGAGTAAAAAATAATTGTTTTTTAATTGTTTCATATGATATAATCGTGTTAAATGTATTCCCACTTTTTCCATATCATATGGCTTCTTCTTCTTCCCGGGTCATCATCTTTTAATTGTTTTTCCAATTCCCGGTTAAATTCTTTTGGTTTGTTACGGTTCGATTTTCCTATCTCATAGAAATTAGAAATGCTTCGTTTCTTTTTCTTTCATTTGCCGACCACAATCGAACAATATTTCTTCTTCCTTATTCCCACCGGAACCATCTCATCATCTAGATCCCTCTTCTTTGTTGCTAATCTTGTTATTACCCAGGGGAGAGCTCACGCTTCTTCTTCTTTTCGATCTCCTTCGACTCTCGCTCTGAATTTCTCAATTAACTTAGGTACCAATCTCGAATTTCCCCTTTATCGCCGATTGATGGTTTGATTTTTTGGTCAAATGATTTTCGATAACGTCACCGAGTTAAATTTTGGGTTTTCTCAGTGTTTGCTAGTTTTCTCACTGTGAACTGGATTAGAAATTTGTGAGAAGTGACTCTGTAGGATTTGTTATTGTCAAGGACCAAAAACTTTTGGATTACGTAAACAGCTCCAGCCTTCAAGGCTGCTTCATATATGCTTAGTCGGTTAGCCAGAATGAATGCATGAATGACAGATGACTGCAAAAAATTAAATCAGAAAACATAAATCAGAAATATATTACGAATTGGTAGAAACATAGCCAAAGTAAAAAAAACATTAAACATAAATTTGCAAATACCTTCTGATCCATGAGAAGGAGTTCTACACCTATGAGTAATCCGCCTTTTCTAACGTTTCGTGCCTCCCAAAAGTGGATGACTCTGACAAGCAAATCATTATTGTTGAAACCTTTTTTTTAGATCATCGAAAACCAAAGTATGGCTTAACTGATCAGAAACAGAATAGCATGAATTTGCCATGACTTATAAAAATCGACTTGAGAGATGTGAATGTATATTCTGAACTTGGTTTCATGTGGCAATAAGACCACATATATATAGGATTTAAGATCATCTTATTCCTAATGGAAAAAGGAATCAATGTATATCAATGTCATTGTACAATAAGGAAATTAGAGAAGTGATAATTACAAAAATAGGAACTATCCAAATCCTAATCTTTATCAAACAATATCCAATTTGTTTTTCAAGAATCTTCTAGACTAAAACGAAATAATGAAACCAAGAAATAAATTTGGAAGAAGAAATAAGAAAAAAATGCCAAGAAGCAATCTTAAATTCGCCAGAAATTAAAGCAGCCGAATTGTACAGTCAAATCACAAGACTTATCTTAGTAATAGATTCCGAATTTCTCCATTTTTGGTCTAATACTCCCTCAACTGAAGTTGTACTGAAGCTTCAAACTTGCAACAATGCGAAATAGGGAGTTTAGGGCAAAATAAATCCAATTCGATTTACGAAATCTGGGAAATGAAGAATGGGTTTTTGTTGTTTGACGGTGGAGAGAGAGAGAGAGTTTTGTGAGATGCAGTTTTAGGGTTTGTAGAAAAAAGGGGAAGAAATATGTAGCAGATCCCGTTTTGGAGATGCGATGTCTGATTTTTTTTTTTTTTTTTTTGTGGTAACCTAATGGCAATGTCCATATAATTATTTTTGAAACGGTTTAAAAAAAAAACAGGGGACTGCAAAGGATCAAACTCGATACCTGTTGCGTTTAGGACAATTGTGATAACCGCTACACCATAGCATCTTTTTGGCTGAATAGGAAATTTATTTCTATAATTACTTAAAACATGTGTAAATTTTCCACTAAAAAAGAAACTAATACTAATAATATATGTAAATTTAGATAATCTATGAATAGGAAACTTATAATTCAGTTCTCGTAAATTGTAAAATCAGAGAAATTGTCTTTACTGAAAACTAATTAATAAATAATATGTAAAATAGAAAATTTACATAAATTAATTTAAAAGCAAAAAAAAATTAAAAATAATGACATGGACCAATCAAATTCAACCTTTTAAATCCTAGGTGGACAACCTCTAATGCATATAGGCTCAACTTTTATTAGTAATAGATATTCATTACAATATTGGGCCTAATATATTTGAAAAAGTAAAATTTGAAATTTAAATATAAAAAGGCTGTGATTCTTAGCCCTAAGAAGATAGCAAAGCAAAATTAAGGTGACGAGCGACGATAGCACGGCCGCTGCATGTATCCCTAGCCACCGCAATGTTCAATGTTCGCCGCCGCCAAATCAAAGAAGGAGAAGGAGTAGACTCATCGGACTCAATCAGCTCTCTACCAGATGAGATCCTCCAACATATTTTCTGCCTGATCCCGACCAAATTAGCAGTCTCGGCTTCGGTCTTGTCCACACGATGGAGACATGTATGGTGCAATACACCTTCCATCTACTTGGAGAGCTCTGCATTGCGGGCTGCTTCGAGAATGGGAACCCAAAATCGCTACACTGCTCCGAAGATGTTGAGTTTACACCTCATAACCGGCACCACGAAGAAGAATGTTAAACACGTCAACACGTGGATCGAATTGGCCATGTCCCACCATGTGGAGAATATGTTTTTGATACTTCAGTTTAAACGTCGTTACTCTTAAGTTTCCTGATTTCTTCTACACCATTTCCTCTGTTAAGGAGCTCAGAGTTAAAAATTCTGTAATTGTTCCGAAATGCTCCGTGTCTTGGGCATCCCTGAAGAAGTTGTCGTTTTGTTTATGTAAACTCTCTGATAAGTGCATTGCTATGATTCTGTCTGGCTGTCCGATTCTCGAGTTCTTGAAACTGGATTACTGTGATGATGATCTGCGGGTTCTTGATCTCAGAAATTCGCTGCGTCTGAGGACACTCGAAGTAATACGCCCATTCTTCAGTGGTCATCCGAGTCAAGTGCAGATTGTTGCACCACATGTCCGTTGTCTCAAACTGGAAAACTCTCTGTCACTATGCACTTTAGTCGATCTCTCCTCTTTAGCCGAAGCTAAACTGTACAATTCCTCTCACAGACTTCAAAGTAACATTCATGATCCTCTTGGAGTCACGGTGCAAAAGATGGCAGAAATGTTTGAAAAGTTGAAGAACGTAGAGAAGCTTACTTTTGGGAGTAATTTTCTTAAGGTATGTTTTAGCCCTTATATTTCTCTAATGCCTACAACATAGAAAATTTCTATGGATTGGTTATCAACTTTTCATTAATTATGTTTTAATGTTTCTCGTTAAACTTTTTTTTAGGTTTCTTCAAATATATGTTTTGGTATTTCACCATGCTCTTTTTATGTTAGAATTTGTCTCTTCCCGAGCTTCGTAGTGTGCCTTTTCCGATGTTCAAGATCAAAGCTTTGACTCTTGAGACACTGTTTGCTGAGGATGGCTATGTTATTCCTGCTGCTATTGAGAAACTGTTACAACACTCACCTGATTTAAAGAAGCTAACACTAAACACAAGAACTCCCAACACCAACCCGGTATATATATTTACCATAATCAATCCTCTTTTATTTCTACTTGACCATTCTTACTAGTTACTATCAACGAGTTTTGAACCATGTTCGCTTTTTCTTTTCTTCTTCTTTTTTCTGTTGGGCAGATTCTTTGGAGGAAGTCCCGTTGGGAAGCAGAGTTAAAACACATGGCTACAAGCATAGAACTTCTGGTTTTAAGTTTTAGTATGCTAGTTTATTATATCATTTTTAACTAACTACTTTGTCAAATTGTCCATTTTATACTTTGTGTAGTTGCATTATGTTTGTTGCAATATATCTCTTTTAAGAATATGACACAGAATTCAATTTGAGATACAAGAGTGGTATGGCTTACTATTGTGTATTTGACATCCCCTTGTATTCTGTGTTCTTTACGAAATGACTTAAATCATGTGTCATTGGTCTTAGATCTAATTCTGTTTCCATTGGTTGGATTAGCACAAATCTCTACCAACATATTTACTTTATGTCTTTTTTTTTCCTAGTAAGAGTTAGTACTTAGTAGATCTCATAGATAGAGACCAATTGTTATTCGAAATCTGAGGATACATTGTTAAATCTGAAATCTGTATCTCGATAGTCAAATTTGTATCCATCAAGATCAGATTTAAATACAAATATTTTGTTTATAAGGGTTCTTATTCAAGAGATTTTTGGTTAACTATAGGACAATGTCTCCTACAAACGAGCGCAAAATTCTCAAAATACGATGAAAAACAATTTTCTTTAGTTCTATGATTATTGAATCATTACAACGAAGTCAATGCAAGAAACATTGTTTGGTTACAAACTTATAAATATTTTCAGTTATCCAACGAAATTCATCGCTTACCATTTCAACTCTTAGTTATTCAGCCAGACTCAGCAAAAAAATCACATACAAATTCACCTAGTTGATACCATTTAGACCTCAAATCAAATCTCAGACAAGAAATCAACTGAAGAGACCGACTTGGTCGGGTAAGAAGCCATCATCGCCACACCACATTTCCCGAATGAATCATCGATGTTACGTTGGATCTTAACGTATCCACTTTCTCCCCAATTTAATCCCCAAGAATTACGAATGATCCAGTAATCTTCACCATTTGACGATGATCCATAACCCACGACTACCACACCGTGGTCCAAAGATATTCCACATTCTCCTGTTAACACACCCTGACCAAGAAAAACACAAAACAAAAAAAAACATAGAAAAATTGGGTTTTAAGAAGATAAAAACAAAATCTAATTAAAATTAATCAACGGTTTTATTGTTGGAGAAAGGGCATGCATTACGGATTGGTAAAGCTGGAATTCTCGGCCACTAGCTTCAATAGCAACACTAACAGGTTGATGAGCAACAGCTTTCTTCAACGACCTCTCATCGTCTCTAGGAACATCCTCATAACCATCGATCGTAACAACACGAGTCTTGTTCTTCTTCACGATGAAACAACACATAAAAGTTACCAAACTACAAAAAACTGTCATAAATTAATTATGTTGATTTTATTTACAAGAACCTTATTGGCATTGCAGAAGGTACCATCAGTGGCGGTATAAGGGTAATCTAGATCAGTCTCAATACCACCGAATTTCACAATGAACTCAAACGCATAGTTCATGATACCCCCATCACATCCAGCGTTGACGAATCCTCTGTCGCAGTCAACGAGTTCTTGCTCCGACAGTGATACCAATTCTCCGGTTGTGATCTGGTTTATCCCTTCCACCGCTCCAACCGCCGAAAACGCCCAACAGCTTCCTATTTATCAATCAAAGTAATCATCTCAATCGCAATCAAAGATCAAAAAGCTTAAAGGAAATTGAAAACCATTACCACAGTCTCCTTGATCTTTGACCGGAACAACAGCTCCTTTCTCTCTCCAATCGACTTCATCAGGCAAACGATCTCCTTCTTTGTACAAATACCTCTCTCCTTTCACTGGATCGCTACTCCTCTCCATCTTCCTCCTTAAGTAAACCGCTCGAAACTCATCGTTCGTCAGATCTGCGAACCGGGTCAACCCGAGTTTGTAACTCCGGTTCGAGACGGAATTGTGCTCTTGGACGAACTTTAAGTTGTCTTTGAAGATCTGGAACCGTCTCTGTTTTTCTCCGAGACCGTTATAGTTCTTTCGATTCTCCACAAGCCATCGCTCGTACATCAGCTGAACCTCCGACTCATTCCGCTCCGTCTCCGTTGCTGTGACGACGCCGAGAGATGAGGAAGTAGTGATACTGTGAAGATCGCTAGAACTGTAGTTATCAATCTGATTGGAGAAGTCATTTTTACTCTGTTGCAAAAGTTGACGTAGAGACTAACATGAAGATGGAGATGGATTGATGATTAGTTGTGTTTTGGGAATTGGCTGTGAGTAGTCTGTGACGTGTCAAATTTGTTCTCACAAACATTATACACTAAAATAGTCTTTCACATCACATCTATATGAACAATTAATACCAGAAAATTTCAACATTTTTTAATAATAATTTTACGTTTCAGTTGATAAATCAAACGTGGAAGAGAAGTGGAAGGTTGAAGAGCTTAAATGAATCGGATTAGCTTTTTCTTGGTTATTTGAATTAATCTCTAACATTACTTGCAAGCAAGAAGTTGCTCTTGCAATATTTGATATTCTGTAACCAAAAGCAAAAGTTGAATTACCCTTATGGAATGGCTAGCAACTTGACTTGATAAAAAGTTTATTATTCAAGGAAGATGACAATAATGCTATTGTATGGATAAATTATTAGATTACTTCTTAATTACAGCAAATCGAATCGAATCGAATCGAATCAAATCCAACATAAACATATAAAATCAAAGAGAGGAAATCAAACTATAATCCGAACTTGAAGTGTTGTTGTTCTAAACACAAAAGTCTGAATCTTGATTAATAAAGTGGGATGAAAACAAATCGATTCTTCGTTGCTCTCTTCAAGCGCTGCTTACAAGCACGTTAGTAGCCTTGGTGGTCGCAATCGCTGGTCCTCGTGTCAACGCTTTTATGCTCAACGGGCTGTTTCCCTTCTGTTCACACACCAAAAACGAATCAGTCAAAGTAACAAACAAAAACAACAAAGTATTTACAGTCATAAGAGAACAAGAAACTAACCATTCTACAAGTACCGGCCTTCAAATCACAAACAGGGTACAACTCAGGACAACAGCTAGAACCGTCGTCACAGCAAGTAGCTGACTCAAGCGGACAACATCCCCAGCTGTAGCATTTACTGTTATACTCATAGAGACAACAACAAGTGGACTTAGCGGGACAGTTGTAAGACTTGTCACAAGCCACCGGTGCAGGCGGTGGAGGCTTTGGTGGGTTTGAGCTCGATGATTTCGTAGGGTAAGAAGCCATCATCGCCACACCGCACTTCCCCGTTGGAACATCGATGTTACGTTGAAGCTTAACGTATCCGCTCTCTCCCCAGTTTGGTCCCCACGAGTTTCTTATGATCCAATAGTCTTGACCACCTGTTGATCCGTATCCTACAGCCACCACACCGTGGTCCAACGCTGTTCCACATGTCCCTGTAAACACACCCTGAACAAAACAACAACAAAAAATTATGATTTGAGTTCATTAAAGAAAAACAACTTTAGAAGGTTTTGTTTTTTTAGGGTTTATTACGGAAGTGTAAAGCTGGAATTCTCGGCCACCGGCTTCAATGGCGACACTAATCGGTTGATGAGCAAGAGCTTTCTTCAAAGACTTCTCATCGTTCTCAGGAACATCTTCAAAACCATCGATTGTAACAACACGATTGTTCTTCTGCAGAAGAAACATAACCTAATAAGTCAACGATGTTTTTAACCATAAAAGACTAAAAAAGCGTTATGATCTTTACCTTATCGGAATTGCACATGTTGACATCAGTAGCTGTGTAAGGATAATCTTCCTCTGTGTCGATACCACCATTGTTGATGATAAACTGAAACGCATAGTCCATGAGACCACCACCACATCCACCGTTGTAACTCGTGTCGCAATCAACAAGTTCTTGCTCCGACAGAGATATCAACTCTCCTGTCTTGATCTGGTTTATCCCTTCCACCGCTCCAATCGCCGAAAACGCCCAACAGCTTCCTGTTATTATCGTCAAAAACACAATCTCGATTCAAACGATTGAATCGCAAACGCAAACGCAATTCCAAAAAAAACAGAGATATGAAGAAGAAGAAGACATTACCACAGCTTCCTTGGTTTTTGATCGGAACAACGGCGCCTTTCGATCTCCAATCGACTTCACCGGGCAAATCATCTCCGACTTTATGGAGATACCTCTCTCCCTTCACCGACTCTCTCGTCCTCTCCATCTTCCCACTCAAGTAAATCGAACGAAACTCCTCGTTCGTGAGATCGGCGAACCGGGTCAACCCGAGTTCGTAACTCCGGTTAGGGACCGAATTGTGCTCTTCCACGAACCTCAGATTGTCTTTGAAGATCTCGAACCGTCTCTCTTTCTCTCCGAGGCCGTTATAGTTCTTCCGATTCTCCACAAGCCACCGCTCGTACATATGCCGCATTTCCGGTTCGTCACGGATCACCGTCCCCGCCGCCGTGGCAACGCCGAGAGACGAGGAGAGTAGTAACACAGAGAGAAGGGCGAGAGCTAGGGTCGTGGATTTGATTGGAGTTGACATTTTTGGGGTTTTTGTTATGTTTCAATGAGATTTCTGCAACTGTTTGCGTCGAAGTATTTATAGAGAAAAAGTTTTGTCGTCGAGAGAACTCAGAGAAGTGGAGAGCGAGAGGTTGATAGATGTGTTCTTCGTATTGGCTCTGACGTGTCATTAACTTTTTTATTATTTACATTTTTTATTTTTGGAAAACAGGGGAAAAAAGTCACATCACATGGGCAAAATAGATAGTTCCAAGAAATTCATTTTTATAGTAATAATAATAATTAGTTTTTTTCAATTAGAGGGGTGGAGAATTCTTTATTTGATTTAGCCGTGGCCGGATTAGCATTTCTCTTCGTTTATTTTTATTCTTAAATTTTATAATGATAATGATAATGATAATGATAATGATAATGATATACTAGATATATCAAATAAGAAAAAATTTAAGTGGATAACTATGTATAATAAAGTGATGAATTAGGTTTTCCAAATATATCGCTTTATATTCTGACTACATTTCATTTTATATTTACAGGAGCCTGGTTTCTTTTCTTAGTTTTGGAAAACCTAATTCTAACCTTTCACAGAGTAGTTACTTCAAGACTCTTCTAACCTCTCCCGTTAGGTACTAGGAACCCATATGTTACACGCACTTTGGAAACTATAAAATAACACTATTACAATCGATATAATATATTTTTAATAATAGTTTGATTTCGTGGGCATACACGATTTTAATAATTGTTATTAAGATGTTACAGATTACAGTAAGCAATTCCATTTCTCAATTATTTTTGTGTTGCTTGCATCTTGAAAATTCTTATATCATAATTTTAATTAAAATAGTAAAACGAGGAACTCTTTGTCCCCAAGACTTATGATCTCTATTAAATGTAATCCTCGTTAGTAAAGACAGTTTCATATGTATTGTTTAACCAAATAAAGTACACTGTCTTCAAAATACTAATTATGCATTTTCTTACTAATTACCATTTTTCTTTTGCTAATTGTTATATCTCAGCGGCAACATATATTTACAGTATTTGGCTACTATGTGAATATGTATTCTTCTGGTTATGTTTTGTGACTACCAATATTGGATCGAAGCTTGAATCGTTTCATCCGTATTAAAATCTAGAGGATTGAAATACGGTTGGATCATGGATGTTTGTTGTTCTAAATGAATGCATCCTCTCTTAGCAGAACCTTATTGTATTAAGTAAAACCATATGATTTAAGCAAAACTATTTACGTTTTGCCCAAGTCTTTCATTATTTAGGTGTATTCACCTAAATATTCTAAACGCCACTTGCTCAATAATTTGGGGGAACAAAATACATTTCATGTGTTCTCCCAAATTTTTATACATTATGCATGTGTCAAGTGTCATTTAAAATCCCATAGACTTTTAATCTTTCGGGAGGTCAAGCAAATATTAATTATTGGCTTTGGTTATGTTATTGTGTCCTTTGTTTAACTATAATAAGTATAGTTCTGATTCATTTGAACCGTTCTTGTTGAATGTACAAGTAAATAAGCTAAAAGTGGTTAGATAAGATTATCCATAACTTAATAAACGGCCGGACAACGTGCAACAAAATTATTTTACTAGCGTACTAATTTAATAAACTTTTAAACGTTTAAGATAAACGATGACTCGTCTTTATCTAATGGTCATACCAAGAAAAGAAACTAGATAATCGTTGAAGAATATGAAGAAATCTTAGATTGATATTAATTTCTAAATCATCTATCATTATCCCCAAATTGATCCCCTTGTTTACAAAACATTAAATAGGTCAAAATCATCTATTATTGTCCCCAAATTGATCCCTTGTTTACAAGACATTAGTTAATGTCAAAATCATCAATCATTGTCCCCAAATTGATTCCTTGTTTACAAGACATTAAAAAGGGATAAATGTTATTTTTTCCTTTTTTCTTTTCGTAATGTCGTCTTATTTGTTAGATCTGAGATAACAAATGTTAAGACGGGTTATCAAAGATGTGAGTTTAGGAAACTGGAGGCTTAATTTAACTCGAAGAATATCAGGAAGGTTACAAAGATGTTATCTCGCCGACAAGCTTGTCGAGATGAATTGTGATGAATAAGAGGAAAACTGAGAAGAAAGTAAAGGGATGCAAAAGCCTAGTAATTCTAAATGATCTCGAATGTCCTTTTCACAAATGGGGGGTCTTCAATATATAATGTTGGTAGGTCGGCCTCTTGGTGAATATTCTTCTATCGGCGGGATAGAAAACTTCCTCTTTTGCGATATAGAAAACTTTCTCTTAGTCGTGATTTCCTTCCATTCTTCAGCATGAGAGTTTGTTTACATTTTCTCATGGATTGTGCCTTCTTCCTCAAGTCTTGTCATATTGTTGAGGATGTTAGGTCTAAAATCGGATTGGGCTTTATGATTTTACTAATAATGACGGGCTCAGAGAAATATGTTAATTTCTCCTCTAACATTATTCTTCTCTCTAATGTCTTCGCTATCCTCTAACATTATTCTTCTCTCTAATGTCTTCGCTACCTAACATACTCCATACATGAGAGAGGAAGTAATGTGGGTGGCTTCCATAGTCTTATCTATTCCACAAGCCCAATGGCATAGTATATATTTTGTGGATTCTGATTTCTGACCCATTTCCTTTTCGTTAGATAATCATGGACTATAATTGGGCACTTCTATTATATTGGGCCAATACTTCTTTCTGATACTTCCTCTGATTCTAAGTTGCAACTACATAAGTAGTATCAGAGGTCCACTTTTTTGTTCTTTGTTTAAAGAGATATGGTTTAGTTCTTGCTCATAAGTTTTTTTTGTGAAGATGAATCTTCGGAGAATTGGTCACTCTGATCCAAATCCAATATAGCAAAGAGGTTACCCAAAACTCCCACAAAATCTTCTTTATTTATTTGTTTGTTTTGTTTCTGTGTTTACATAATTCTTTTACTAGATCCGTGACATATTTATTACTGAAAATTAATGTGAATTTACTATTCCGTATTGAATTATTAACGAGCTAACACAATCATAAACTAGTTATTTAAAGAATGGAGTATATATTTTGACACACACACACACAAAACATAAAGCTTTATATCCTTGTAGCCAAAGAATGTATAACATGGCTTGGAATTAGATGTCCAAGGCAGACATACTATATACTAGATGGAGTATATGTTTATTTTGAAATGGATTTGCCAAGGTCCTTGAATTCTTCCCTAGCTAGTTGACAAATGACAATGCATGTATGCCAATGCCATAAAACATATTCGTTCTTTGGCTTCCACAAACATAAAGCTTTATATCCTTAAAATTGTTGATAAATTAAATTTGATTTAATCATGTTGTTTTGAACCATATATTTAAATGGTTCACTTTGAACAAATTCGATTTAACCTGTGTTCCCTCGATACTCTCTAGTTAATCTAATTTAATCAGTAATCAGTGTAAAAGTATGATACATTATATATACATGCATGCATCGTCTTGTTTCTTTCTGTGTAGAGAGAATAAAGAATATAAACTAAGGAAAAGAAATCCATTGGATAAAAGAGCTCCACACCGAAACAAAAGAACCTCTGGAAAAATTATCCGATAGTGGCAGTAACTGTTAGGAATTTGGGAATCAAATCAATTTTATAATGGACAAAAAAATATATAAGTTGTATTTGGAATAATGTTTTCTTTTTTGTGTCTTACATTTATTGATGTTTGTGGAGTATTTTTGTTTTCTAAAGGGAGAATGAGCTGGGAAGCACGTGTGGGAAAAGAGAGAAGCACGTGCAACAACGACAGTGCAGGGTTGACTGGAGACAGTTGGGTCGTCTAGTCTTGGACACGCGTGTACCTCACTTCCTCTCCATTGGTAAACGACGTTGTTTCCGGTTTTGGTTCAACCGGTAAATAGGTTTTTATTTTTCTGGTTCAACCAGAAGCTGATCCTCTGGTTTTCTTTTTTTTTTTGTTTTAGCTGTTTGAAAATTTAGGAGAACAATAGAAAACAGAACCGCAATTAACTTTACCTGTTTAGTGTTTTAAATTTTCATCTGCTACTTCCTAATTTCAATTCTTATTGGCATAAAATGCAAAACATTGTCGTCTACGTGTTAAGAAGAGGTCACCAATATACTCTCTTCTTAATTTTGTTTTAACTGACCAATAAACTCTTTATCCATGAGATATGATAACTAAAACGCTTTTATCTTTTTAAAAAGTGAATTGAAATTCTTGTGATTATACTCGTTTCTTCACTATGAAAGGATATATGATACGTGTCGAGCAATTGGACAAATACTCCATTGACTTATAATACTGTATAATCAAGTTTTTTGTGTGGATAAAGTGTATAATCAAGCATTACCTAATCGATTCTACAGCTACGTGTGTCTATGAACATTTTACTAGCTATATATATGTACCAAGGGCTAAAAGACAAGATTATTAATTAGTAACCTATAGAAGTGGAAAATTCGTGATTTACAATGAGTTAACAATACAATAAAATCGGTACAAAAGATAAAAATACGCTTAACTTAACAATATTTAAAACCAGCCGTACAAAATAAAATTCAATCCAAAACCAATAAATTCAATCGGTCCGAGACGTTGTGAATAGTGGTGTGTTACAGAAATTTCGGTGGTACGAAAGATAGTTGTAAGAAAAACAGTGGTACAAAATATAGCAGTACAAATAGATATAATAAAAAATGATAGTATATAACTGAATTCCGATTGGTAACATTGTAGCAGTACAAATAATATGTTTTATAATAAAAAATAGAAATCTATTATAATTTTTTAAATTAGTTGGCAAAAAAACTTAAATATTAAAAATTAAAATATTTTCTAAAAATATAACACTAAATATGTATATTTTTTTAAAAATGGATCATCACATGTACTTAGTAAAATAAAAAAGTATATATGGTTTACAAAAAAAAAACATTTCAATTTTTTTTTGATAATTCACTTTATTTGGAAATCACCAAAACTAATCCATATGTAATAAATATATTTTTATTCAAAGTTAATTCAATAAAAATAAAAACAAAAATATATAAAACACAGTATAAATTAACTAAAATATATGAAACAAAATACTGTCTAAAATTTTAACATATCAAATTTTATTTTCAATAAAATAAATTACCAACAGATTACAAAACATACTTTTTTGGAATTGAGAGTGTATAAGCAATTTTTCTAGTATATTTGTTTTCATAATTTTCAGTTTTGTTATGATACTTCTTTGTACCAAAACTTAAAATAATTATTAAGATGTATGCTTTCTTCTTATACTTTTTGCATTTATACATAAACAAAATACTTATTGTTAGGTCTAGTGTGAGTTTTTGTTTTGTTTTCTCATTTATTTATTTGGATGCTTTATATAAAATTTGATTAACTAAGTAGATTTTAAGGGAATTTGATTAAAACAAATACAGCCAAAATTAGTTTCCTATGATATATTTTCTTTATTTATATGCAAAAGTTTCAATAATTTATTATTATTAACCTTTGTCACTTATTGAGCAACATTTTTTAGCCACAAAAATCATAACAGTTTTACAAATTTTAGTTAAAAAATAAAGAAAAATACTTTGTACTATCACTTTCTTTTTGTACCACTCTATCAAAGTAGCATTACACTTATAACAATGTTACAATCCTTGTACCATCATATTTTCTTGTAATGCTGTCTTATTTTGTAATATCACTTTTGTACTATTATATGTGTAATACTTCTATGATTGGTTACACCATAGACATTACAATTTGTAATGCTCTATATTAAGGTTACCAATCAAAGCCTAGAAAACAAACAAGCAAAAAGTGTGGTGAGAAAACGAGCTAAGGAGAAGAAGACGAGGCTGGACCAGCTTTGAAACACTCCGGTCTTCATTCTTTGACCTTTGACTCGTTTCATTACCACATGCATGATTACAATTATTAATTTTGAGATCTATTTATACATCGGTTTTGGACGACGAACTACGGCTTAATAATAGAGTTCACGAATTTTGGTATCAGCTAATATAACAACACGTTGTATTATATCAAACACTAATAGACTCCCGCATCTTCGTCTTTGTTTTCTTCTACTTGTCAGCAGTTGTTAATTTCTACTGATTAATATAGCCACTAATTTGTCAAGCTCAATCTAATTGCATGCCTTTAATTTGTCATCAATTAATGCATGCTATCTTCATATCTACATCTCATTCACCTCCCTTCATAGTTGAGAGTTTAAAATATGTAGGCATGATTCTAGTTTGGATTTTTGCTAGGTCCACATTTTAGAATTGAAATCACAGTGAAAATATTTGAATCTTCATTTTTCATTTACATGGTGAGTCATTTAGCTACTAAAACACAATGAATTAGTTAATACAACGTACTTACTTTTTATACTTTAAAAAACAAATAAGTATATTTTAGTTTTTTTAGAAGATATTCTTTGTTTCACCAGGAGAGGAGTGGACAAAGCATTTGACAGAAAAACAGAAGCAGAAACAAAAATACACATAAAAAACTGCTTAGTTGTTCTTGTTCCCATGAGGACAATGCAATGACAGGAAGATTCTGCCCTTTTGTTATTCGTCACTTTAATGTCTGCAGTTTTTATTTTTATTTTTAAATGATAAGAAAAATATCAGAAATATTTTGATCTCGACGTACTTGTCGTGGAGTATTTGTCTTCGTTCGATAAGATAACAAGGCCATCTATTTTCTTATCTACGTACATTTTGCTTTTCGGAAATGGTCGTGAAAAATATATAGACAACAAATGCAGATCAATCAAGCTATTTAAAATTTGAAACACAGTTATTTATTCATTCCTTTTTGTATATAGTGTATATCTACATGTACATTATGGTATGTGAAACAAAATTTGCATTGTTTTAAAAATGTGATTATTAGCTAGTTTCATATAAAATGATAGCAGTAAATTTTTGTCGATAAAAACTTTTGTCAAAAAGTCGAGAAAAAGTGATCGTTGAAGTTTCGATCCTACATTCCTAGTTAACGCCAACACATCAACTTATCTTAAATCTCACTACTTTGAGATTAACGAAAATAGTTTAGTGAAGTCTGTTAGAGGAGAAATTAGCACATTTCCCTGAGCCCGTCATCATTAGTAAAGTTACAAAGCCCAATCCGATTTTAGGCCTAACATCTTCAAGAAAAAGGCAAGACTTGAAGAGAAAGGCACAATCCATGGAGAAATGTAAATAAATCTTCATGCCGACTTAAAGAATGGAGAAAGATCCAAAAACAAGAGGGAATTTTCCATATCGCAAAAGAGGAAGTTTTCCATCTCGCCTGAAGGAGAATATTCATCATTCGGCCGACTTATCAACGCTATATATTGAAGACCCCCCCATTGGGGAGAGGGATCCGAAATCATCTAGAATCACTAGGCTTTCACATTAGCTTTTACTCTATCCTCTTGTTCATCACCATAATCTCGCTAGGCTTGTTAGCGAGATTGCTCTCTTGTAATCTTCTTGATAATCTAAGAGTCGAATTAAGCGTTCCAGTTTCCTAAACTCACATCTTAGATAGCCCGTCTTGACGAGTGCTATCTCAGATTCAACAAAGTTTAGATTTTCAAGCGCCATATCAAAATCGATCTATGGTTTAGACTTTCGAGTCTTTCCTTCTAAAATATATAGCCATTGACTTATTGACGCATAAAGGAAACGGGCCAAAAGTTGTAACTAGTTTTTGACCCGAATGAATTGGAGACTATAGCTAATCTATGACAACCTTTGTCTATAGTTTTATTTAGAATATGTGTAACTATGACCTCGAAGTTATCAAAGCAGGTAGTTCTATTATGGTGATATAAATACGAATGACCAAGCATATAATTTGGAGACATACAAACTTGCAGAGAAGCAACTAAACGAAAATAAGCAACTGTAGAATTAAAGCAAATAGAAAATGAGAGCATTGAAAGATGCGTACAAAAAGAAGAAGTGGTTTTCTTAAGAATACGTACGTGAATTAAAACGAGTCAAAGTTTTTGCCGTAAAAGAAAAAAACAGTCAAGCATTTAGATTTGGTTGTATTATTATGTATGGGGTGTGATTATCACGGGCTTTGATGTTAACACAAGTAAGTGGAAGAACTTGTCTTGTTTGGCCCCACTTCGTTCCTAGTCTTTCGCAATTTCACTGATTTAGTTTGACCAAATTCCATTGTTTATAGAAACAAAATCTACGACACACAATAAATTTAGATCTTTTTTTTTTCCGATCTATACACATCAATGTTTTGGTGGTTGTGGCTAGTGATTAAAAGCGACCGTAACTTGAAGCTTGCGATTGAAATAAAGTTTGAATGTCATGATTATTCATTATTGTGATTTGTAGATAATCGATCCAGATGCGTTACGCTAGTAAACTACTATCGAAAAACTCTCTTGATATGTATCCACACAGTGAACTGAATTTGGTTGCAAATGATATTGTAGACAGGTTTGTTTTTCTTACATGTAAACATTTCGAAAGCAAATGCACAATTTCAATGGATTTGAATAGTGAAATAAACTTTCAAACATTCAAATGATGAAAGTGAATAAGATCTCTTTATTTTTCCTGGTCGCAAATATAAGATCTCTTACAAATCAATATAGCTTGGTTTTTCTTATGTGACAATAATGTTTTGGACGTATTAATTGTAGAACATAAATATAAACTTGTAAGATAATCATAACGAGATGTATAATTGTATATCATTCACATGAATCTTCAGCTTCACTTCTAAGATGCGACTTTACTCCCTCAAGACATATTTACGTAGATGGCATCTAAATTAATGATGTTCAACTAAATTTTATAAATTAAATTTCACAGTAGGATTTGAACATATTTATTTAATTAAAAATTCCAGCAGTTTTTACAAAGTTATAAATGACACACGTGTGGGCTCATAGCCAGATAAGGTCGTTCTTCTTCTTCTTCTTCTTCTTCTTCTTCTTCTTCTACCTCAGACTTTGCACTCTCTCTCTCTCCATCTCCATCTCTGAGTTTTTGTATTCGAAATTCGTTTTTCCGATCATTTAAATGCCGAGGAGTTTAGAGCCGTTGGATCTTGGAATCCAGATACCGTACCACTTTAGGTGTCCAATCTCACTCGAGCTGATGCGTGACCCAGTCACCGTCTGCACCGGCCAAACCTACGACCGAGCCAGCATCGAGTCATGGGTCTCCATCGGAAACAACACCACCTGCCCAGTCACTCGCGCTCCTCTCTCCGACTTCACGCTCATTCCCAACCACACTCTCCGCCGTCTCATCCAAGAATGGTGCGTCGCTAATCGCTCTAATGGCGTCGAGCGAATCCCTACTCCCAAACAGCCAGCTGATCCAACCTCCGTTCGAGCTCTCCTCAGCCAAGCTTCCGCGACGTCAGGAGCTCACGTCTCCGTTCGCTCACGCGCAGCCGCCCTCCGCCGTCTACGTGGATTTGCGCGCGATTCCGAGAAGAACCGTGTTTTGATTGCCGCGCTTAACGCCGGACAAATTTTGATCAGGATTCTGTTCTCCGACGACGTCGTCGACTCTCCGCCGTCGGAATTAGTATCTGAATCGCTCGCTCTTCTGGTTATGTTTCCGATGAAGGAACCCGATCATTGCGTTTCGATCGCGTCGGATCCGTGCCGGGTCGAGTTTCTGACCCGGTTGCTGTTCGATTCCTCGATCGAAACACGCGTTAACGCCGCCGCGCTAATCGAAATGGTGTTGACTGGATCGAAATCGGCCGATCTGAAAGGAATGATCTCAAACTCGGAATCCATCTTCGAAGGAGTTCTCGATCTTCTACGAAATCCGATTTCGTCATATCCACGACGAGCCTTGAAGATCGGAATCAAAGCGTTATTCGCACTCTGCCTCGCCAAAAACACGCGCCACATCGCCGTCGCGGCCGGAGCACCGGAGATTCTAATCGACAGACTCGCGGCGGATTTCGACAGATGCGATACGGAGCAAGCGCTTGCGACGGTGGAGCTCCTATGCCGATCGCCGGAGGGATGTGCGGCGTTTGGAGAGCATGCTTTGACGATACCGCTTCTAGTGAAAACGATACTGAGAGTTTCCGACCGCGCGACCGAGTACGCTGCGGGGGCGCTGCTAGCGCTTTGCACGGCGGAGGAGCGGTGGAGAGACGAGGCAGCGGCGGCGGGAGTGGTGGTGCAATTGCTGCTGATGGTGCAGAGTGAGTGTACGGAGAGAGCGAAGAAGAAGGCACAGAAGCTACTGAAGCTTCTCAGAGACTCATGGCCTGATTACTCCTTCGCTAACTCCGATGATTTCGGTTGCAGCGAAGTGGTCCCCTTTTGATCATTTTTTAAAATTGTTCACACTTTACAGTAATTATTTATTTTTAGTCTTTTTTTTTTTTAATAATTAGAAGGAAAAAGAAAAAGAAAACACTGAAATTGGTCATTTTTTTTTGTTTGTGTATGTGATGGAAAAATGTGAAAAAAAAATACAGAAGCTTCGATGACCATAAATTAGGTTTTGGTTTAAATATTGATTTTTTTTTTTTCCTGAATGTGACTAATTTCTCTTATTATTGATTGGCCTTTTGAGTTAGGAAAAGTTGTTAAAAGGCAAATGAAAGATATGCTTAAAGTCTTTAAAGTTATCCTTTCGTTTTCCTTTTTTAGTCTAAAGGTTATTTAACTTTTTTTGCATTCCAGTTTTAAAATTGTTTATGTTAACAATTTTGGTATCCACCTATTGGGTGCCATAAGTTTCTAATGAAGTGTCATTATAGTATTTTCTACTTTATGTGGAGCTCTTCTTAATTCGTCTTTATTTGTGTGTTTTTCAAATTGACTTCTTCATGGTGCTTGTAGCATTTATTTCCCGTTGAAAGTGTATATAGCATTTGTTAACATTTTGGTTACGCTCTGTTTTGTGGACCCAAAAATACTTGATGGTTATAAATCTTTGTTCAGCTACTAGTCTCAAATCAACAAAGATTCAAGCAATTTGGACAAAACGTGATTTGTTTGTTTCACTACAACAGTATCATATGAAAAAAGACGATAACGTAAGTTGATATCACAAACTTTATTTTTTCGAACAACTTAATTTGTCTAGAGTTTTGGGAAACAGAAAATTTGTAATTTAATTATTCTTCAATTAATTTTTAAGCTATATGAAATTAGAGTTTGACAAATTTAGGGTTTGTAAATTAATAGATTTCAGAAATTTGAATAGTATTGCTGGTTTTGAAAGCTATCAAACTAGATTTAATGTTTTTCTTGCAAAAAATATTTTCATTTGATATTTTTTTGTACAAAATCGTAGAATAAACCTTAGAATAAATGTAAATCTTCTTCCTTTGCACTTCCGGAATCTAAAACCAATCGCCGTTTCTCTTCAAAATTAATTTTGTTTGTTTTGGATTTCAGATATATTAATTATCATGAGTTTCCAGCAAAATATTTTATTTGTTGTTGATACGGAGGATGATGTAGTTATAGGATTTGGTTTCTTAAATAAGTTTGATATTAAGACAATGAACTTGATAAATAAGAACAACTTTGGTTTTAAACCTCATGGTAGTTTCAAGAATTGCCAATTTCTTAGCAACTGGTTGGAAATCCACTGGATGGTTAGTGTTTTTATCTCTCTATCTTTTCATACTTTTATTGCAAAAATTAATTCTAATTTTTTAGTTGTAAACAATTCTTAGGAAAGATTTGGATAGTGAATAGGATAAGTGAATTACACATTCCAGCTTTGCTTAGCGTCATTGATAAAAATCGTTGGCACCCTGACATACTTGGCAATCATTTCTGTTTAGATATGAAACCATACAATTTTTTTTTTTACAATCTAAAAAACAAATCCGTGCTGAAGGGATCTCACCTGAATCTGAATCTTGATGGTTTCAGCCTCTGTGCTAGTTCTGTGCAAGCTACATATTGATTAAATTCACTTTCTTATGTATTGTTTGTTAATCCTATATCAGTTTTTGTTTGCAGATGTAAATTTTTTGAGGTGGAAGAAGAAAGAAAGCAAAATGAAGAACAAAATGAAATAACCATGAAGATCAAAAAGAAGAACAAACAAAACCCTAAAAGAAAGTGAAAGTATATGTCATAAGTATGTAGGATGTTTAATTATTTTCTTCATTGTGTTTTTGTTTGTGTGATTGTTTTGGAGCTTATCGTTTTGTGGAAGAATATATTTTCTTGGCTATTTATATACAAGTTGCTTTGGTTTCAGAATTGAAAGGTTTATTTTTCTATTGAATTATTGATTTGTAAACATCATCAATGTGAATTTATCTTGAAAATGTTTACTTGTCGTTCCTTAAAATGAAAAACATCACTTGTCAACAACAAAAACTCAATAACATCACTTTAAAAAAGAAAAAGAAAATTGAGTTCTCCATGAAACCTGAAATGTCTAAATAAATTTCTATATTGCGATAAGTAGTTATGGACAACATACAGATTAACTCATGATACATACTCATGTGCTCTCTGGGTGTGTTACAGTTTGGTACCAAGCTACAAAATCATTAGAGCATGATTAACGGTAGTTCTTAGCTTGGATTCTTAAGCTAAAACATTTAAAAAAAAATGGTATTAATACCAAGAACAGATTTAAATAAGGCACTTAGTTTCCATGTTTATGGTTATTGAAATATTGAATACATTCCGTTTTATTATATCAAATCAGAAAAGAGTCTAAACTCATCACATCTCAGAGACACAAACATAACCACAAACAGTTCACTATTCACCCACACACAAACAAAAGCCTTTAGAAACAGTTTATCTATGTTATAATCCATCACATAGTCAAGGCAAGACATTTCTTGCTGCTCACTCTTTTCCTCCTGAACAACAGCTTCTTAATGAACCCTAACCCTTGCTTCTTTCTTGGAACCATCTCCATCTTCTTGACTGGTTCATACACGATCAAGGCATTGTAATTTTTACCAGCATCATCATCCTCACCGTTATTACCACCACCCGCTTTGTAGGATGAATCTTTCGCCGTCGAGTCTTCTCTGTATTCACGGAGAGAAGTTTTCTTGTGTAGAAACTTCACTGTGCTGCTTGTTTCTGTCGTCGTAGATAACGCTCTTAGTTGCTTTCGTAAATTGGTAATCGTTTCTTGACACTCTTATAACTTCAAAGAAACTGCTGCTATATCCCATCCCTGCAAACAAAAACTCCATAATCATCATCAAAAATAACTCATGAACTAATTTTTTTAATCTCTTTTTCAGTGAAGTCTGATTTTCTCTACTCACGTTTTTGTTTCCTGGCCTGCATTGGTTTCTTCGTTTCAACACCGCAAAAACTCAAAGAAAAAGTGATGAAAATTTCTGTAACAAAACGAATAAATGTTTGAGATTTTATATGTGATTTCTTTTGGTGGATTACCTCTCTAGCTGAAGCTGAAGCTCGATGCAAGTCCCTTGGATACAAATGCAACAAAAATCTCTGTCTTTTTCGGGCAAAAACTTTGAATGCTCTAGCCATAAAACCAGTCTTTACAACCTTAACTATCCTTTCATCAATCCTTCGACTTACACTTTCCGAGTGAGTAACCCGGAGGGTGTTTCTGTTGCGGTTAAGCCAACGAGCTTAAAGTTCACCAAAGTTGCAGAGAAAAAGACGTTGAAGGGCAACGCGAGAATGGCTAAAAGTTATGTGTTTGGAGACTTGGTTTGGTCAGACAAGAAGGATCGTGTAAGGAGTCCCATTGTGGTGAAGCTCTGCCTTTGGTTTGATCTATTAAAAGGAACTAACTAGTTTTTCAGTGTGTGTTTGTTGTTCATGAAATTTAGTTACCTGTAAGTTTTAATTTGAAGGCTTACAAGAAATGTATTACCGCGATTTATGTTATAGAGAAATTATCATCATTCTTCAACAATGTAATGTTGTGATGATCATCAAAATTAAATAATATTAGAACATCAACGGTGAAAATATTGCAAAAAGATGGTTGCAGTTACAAAATGTGTTTCAAACATAATAGTAAGATAGAGAGTGAGAAAGGGAGAGAGGGAGAGAGAGCAACGTATCAATGTATTGAACAGATAAGATATGAAAACTAATACATGAACACAATATAAAGAACTTATCACATCAACGCAATTGCATCTTTCAACAATGACTGTAACGTTCTCATCTAACATTTAAGTTCATCAACTTGCTCGTGAACTTCTTGCAGTCTCCCAGATTCTCGACTCAAGAGCTCCGAGAGTTACTCCAGTCCAAAAGACACAAGTGCCTTAGCCATAACTACTCTCCTGTTCCACAGTGTTAACACATAAGTCACCAATCACAAATGATAACATTATTACAAAAAAAGAATTCCTTTACCAGAAATAATTGGTCGCTCTAGTGAGACTAGAACCTTTCCGGGAGAATTTTTTTACTTAAACACTTGATTCAAACAAACGTGTAATAAGATTTGATGTTCAAAGTCGTGAAACAAGATCTTAGAGTAATCCAAATAATTTTTCTAAAGCAGATTTGAGTCACCTCAACCGAGAAAAAGAAACGGATCAGGGCAAGTTCAGCAGAAAAAACAGTATGTGTTAAACTAAAGTAGCAATGAAAGAGTTGACTCAAGTCAATCTCCAAAATGTCTTATGACCAAGGGGGCCCTATGACCAGTGACCACGTAGGATAAAAGTGTTGAACTTATGATTTACAAACAGAGAAAAGAAAGAATGAAAAAACAGAGCAAGAGATGAGAGTGCATCTCTTGTCTTGTGAAGAAGAAGAATTAACGAGGAATCGGTTTTATTAATATGAAACTTGATTTTGTTTACATCACGTGGTAGCATTGTTATATACTAGAACACAACTAAAAGTTGTATCTCTTCATTGTGACTCTTAAAGGAACCAACACCTCTTAACCTAAAAGACACCATTTGAGTAACTGTCAATAACTAACAAATGTAAATGTTGGTTCTAGTTTAGAGTCACATGCAGAGCTTATGACGAGAGCACCATCAAAATTTCATGGTGCTCTCATGCAGAGCTTATGTTGGTCACAGAACCTGTTTAAGCACACCAAAAAAAAAAAATCCGCTGCCGAGAAGAAGAGAAAAGATGGAGACTCAACCGAAGAAAAGAAGAAGAAGAAGAATCGAAAATGAAGAGGTGCCAAGAGAGAGAGCACCGTGAACCTTCACAAACATATCCACATGCCGTACCTCAGGAGGAAGGCTCCGATAGAGGTGGAGGAGATAAGAAATCTTCTCAAATGGCAATGGAGAAAACGGATGTGGAATCGGAGTTGTGGAAGAATTCTGAAACTTGATGGAGAAGCCACCTGTTGAGAGAAACAGAGTAAGGTACATGCAGGCGGTTACGGAGATGACCGAAAAAAAGGTGGATGATGAGATCCACACGCAAGGCACAATAGGGGAACCGGTGACACAGTCAACCGAAGAAGACGTGGAGGAGATCTACGCAAGAAAACGGTTACACAGATAACCGTAGACGTGAAGGAGTTACCTCTATGAATAAAAAGGAGCAGAAACCGGTTATAGAGATAACCGAAGAAGACGACGTGAAGGCAATTCACGCACGGGACGTCAAAAAGACGTTGAAGGTGATCAAAGGAAGTCACCAAGCAAAAAAGGAGGCTGCTTACTCAAATGAGAAAGGAGCAGGAACCGGTTACAGTGTTAACCGAAGAAGACGTGGACAAGAAGATTCACGCATGGAAGTGGTTACACAGATAACCAGAGAAGAAGTGGGGAAGGAGTTTCACCCACGAGATGTCACAGAGATATGATGGTGATCAAAGGAAGACACCGAAGGAATCATCAAGTTGGAGTACATCAAAGGAGAAGACCAACTCGCAGACTTACTCACCAAGGGACTAAGCGTATCACGATTTGAAGACCTTTGGGAGAAGCTTGGAGTAAAACCGAAATGTGATTAAGGAGGAGTGTTGAACTATAATCACATTCATATAAGTTAAAGTCTTATTGCATAAGTTAGTTACTAAAAGTCATGTTTGTAAGTTGTGTCGTTACACAAGAGTCGTGTCTCTTAAACATAATGTTTTGTGTAGTATAAGTATGTGGAGACAAACTCTTGTAATGTATTGTAGTGTGATACAATCACATCAAGTTTCAGATCAATAAAACAAATTTCCTCGTAAATGATCTTCTTCAAAAGAGAAGAGATAATCACTTATCTCTTACTCTGTTTTTCATTCTTTCTCTTCTCTGTTTCAAATCAATAATTTCAACAAAAAGCCCCTTAATTATTAATCTAATGTAAAAACCTCTTAGTTGCAGTTTCGTTAATAAAATCTCCCCTCCGTTTACAGTTTCGTTCAAATCTTAGCAACCAACATTAAATCAAAACTATGTATTTTTTGGATTGTAAAAAATACAACACTTATTTCACAAAATCTCAAAATCTTTTAGTGAAAAAAATCTTAAGGGGGGTGTATTGGAAAATGGATTTCAAAGATTTTAGGTGATTTTAAATGATTTTGTAAAATCCCCTGTTATTCATTTAAGGATTTCTAAATGTCGATCGAGAACAAACCCATAACTATAAAATTTAGTGTGAAAACCCCTAAACGGTACAATTACAAATTTACAACGATAAATGATAAATCAAACTGATACACTTTGACTAATAAAAATGACACTGATAAATTTATTAGTAAAAGTAATCGACAGTGTTCTGATTGTAACATTAAAATATAAATAATCAACACTAAATCAAATGTATACGTTTTGGATTGTAAAAGCTGACAAAAGTAGTTTAGTTAAAAATTCTGATTATAAAATTCTATGTCACTTTAATTTTTCGCACAACTTAATTTATCTTAGGGTTTTGAAAACCAAAATAACTTATCAATTGTACAACACCTTAAAATAAACCTTATTGAATAAATATAATTTTCTCCCTTTTCATCTCCATAACCTAAAACCAGTCGCCGCTTTTCATCAAAGTTAATATTTTTGTTTTGGTTTTAGGATCCATTAATCATCAAAATAAGCTTCCACCAATGTGGTCTCTTTGTTGTTGATGCGGAAGATGATGTAGTTATAGGATTTGGTTTTGTAAATGTCGGTATTAAGACATTGAACTTAATAAATAAGAACAACTTTGTTTTAAATCACGTGGTAGTTTTAGCCAATTTCCTAGCAGCTGATTGAAAATCTTTCCTTCTCTTTTTCATACTTTTATTGCAAAATCAATTCTAATTTTTTATTTGTAAACAATTCTCAAGAAAAATTTGGATTGTGAATAGAATAACTGAATTCCACCTTTCAGCCTTGTTTAGCATCTTTAATTAAATTGAATGTTATATTCCTAAATCTATACACATCATTGATACAAATATTTGGCACTCCAACATGGATATGTATACACTTGGCGAGCACTTCTGCATAGATACAAATTTCTGCTGCTTAGATATGTCATCTGAATCTGAATTTTGATGTTTTCAGACTTTGTGCAAGCTCCAATGGACTGGTAAGCATATTGATTACATACTTTCTTATATATTGTTTGTTAATCATAATATTAAATTGACAATCATACATGTCATTGATACAAAAATGTGGTACTACAGCATGGATCTGAATGCACTTGGCTAGTATTTCTGCTTAGATATGAAACTATGCAATCTACCAAAACCTAAATCCGCCCGAAAGATATGCCGCCTGAATCTGAATTTTGATGTTTTCAGCCTCTGTGTAAGTTCTGTGCAAGCTCCAGTGGACTGGTAAGTATATTGATTACATTCACTTTCTTATATATTGTTTATTAATCATAATATCATTTTTTGTTTGTTTGCACGTGAAAATTCTGGAGATAGAAGAAAAAAAAAAGCAAATCACACAAGCAAAAACACAATGAACATAAAATTCTTCATTGTGTTTTTGTTTGTGTGATTGTTTTGAAGCATATCGTTTTGTGGAAGAATATATTTTCTTTGCTATTTATATAAGTTGCTTTGGTGTCAAAATTGGAAGGTTTATTTTTCTATTGAATTATTGATTCGTAAACATCATCATCAATGTGAATTTATCCCTAATTTTCTTGCTGATGATTAAGAAACTTTAAAACCTTTAAAGTTATCATTTCGTTTTCCTTTTCTGGTCTAAACTATAAAGTAATCTTAGAGGGCAACTCGTTTGGTTTACCGGTTTCCAGTGATTGAAACATTGAATACATTCCGTTTTATTATCATCAAATCATAAAAGAGTCTAAACTCATCACATCTCAGTGTCACAAACATAACCACAAACAGTTCACTATTCACCCACACACACACAAACAAAAGCCTTTAGAAAAACCCTTTTTATCTATGTTTTAATCCATCACATAGTCAAGGCGAGACATTTCTTGCTGCTCACTCTTTTCCTCCTGAACAACAGCTTCTTAAAGAACCCTAACCCTTGCTTCTTTCTTGGAACCATCTCCATCTTCTTGACTGGTTCGTACACGATCAAGGCATTGTAATTTTTACCAGCATCATCATCCTCACAGTTATTACCATCATCTGCTTTGTAGGATGAATCTTTCACCGTTGAGTATTCGAGTTCTTCACAACAGCTCTTTCTGTAATCAAGTTCTACTTCAAGAGAAGACAACTTCTTCTCTGTCTCGTCAAGCTTAGCTTTGGTTATGTTTAGCTTCGTATCAAGATCTTCCTTCATAGATTTCTCTGTTTCCATCTCAACCTCCACCGTTTCTTTACTCTCTCTTAACGCTTTGATCTCTGCTTCTAACTCTCTCATCTTCTCCTCTGATTCCTCAAGCTTATCTCTAAGTTCTTGCCTCTCATCCACCTTATCTGCTCTTGTTAGACCCAAATGTCTCTTGATCTCATCCTTTGTCATTGGATCTGACTTCCATGTGATGCATAGAGGATCTCCTTCATGTTTCTTGATCTCTCCATCATCATCATCCATACATCCTAAAGCAATCTTGATGTCTTGCAAAAGTTCTTTAACACCGCGTTTCGATATCCTCTGCTGCTTCGTTAGAGCGCTCAAAACAGCTTGAATCCAATCAAAAGATCCTTCCTTTTCATCACCCTCTTTTGGATCTTTCTCACTACACACAATGGCTAACTTCTCCATCTCATTGAAATCATCCATCAGTAGCTTCATCTCCTTACAACCAGAAGGGCTAATCACATTGCTTTCACTTCTAACATCCAAACTCGAAGCCTCTAATGGTTTCTGTCCACGGCTAAGATCTTTAATCTCCATGTTCTTCCTCATGATTACGTCCATTAGGTTCTTGTTCTCTGCTCTGACATTCCCAATCTGCTCCATCAACAGATCATACTTGAGCTTCCGGCTCTGAACCTCATCTCTCATCATCAAATCGCTCTTGTTCGCGTTTCTTCTCTTCATCTCCATCTTCCTCTCTTCGCCTTCGTTCCTCATCGATATAGACTTCTCCGGAAACTTCTTTCGAAACAGAAGTCTTAACCTTTGGCACTCAGCTTCAAGCTCCACAATCTTGTTCACGTTCCTAAGCTGTTGCTTATGCGTTAGCTCCATAGACTTGCGAGTATACTCTGTTTCCTCTGTTTTCACCTCAAGATCCTTCTCAAGAACTGTATACTCATATCTCAAGAACGCATTTTCTTTCTCCGTCGAGTCTAATCTTGTCATCAACGCCTCAAACTCTGTTTCCACCTGAAACTTACGCTCCTGTAGGCTCACCGCGAGCTCTTCTTTGGCCACAAGCGACTTCTTGAGCTGAGAGTTCTCAGCGGCTAAAGCTTGAATCTTTCTCTTCATCTCCATTAGGTCAGACTCTTCTTGTCTCTCCTTCTTAGTGTCAAATGACCTGAGATTGTTCTTAGGCTCATGATCTCTCCCAAGAAGCTCCATTCGCTGCAGAAGCTTATCCGAGACACCACAAAAAGGCGATGAATCTCCAGTTTCAAGACTCATTTCTTCATCTTTCAGGAAAATCTCATCTGCTACACCTTTATCGCCATAAAGATTCACACGAGGATCTTTCTTTGGAGAGTTTAAGACCACAGTTTCTAGCTTCTCGTTTAGACTTTTTCGAGCTCTCTCGGGTCTAATTCCATTTCCTGGAGGAACCGTACGTGCCTAAAAAGAAACCAAAGTCAATAGTCATCACTCAGAACTAAGATATTTACTAAAGCTAAAAAGCAATAGATAGACAGAAGAGGAACAAGTTTTGCTCAAGAAAGCAGAGAACATTTGAAGAAAATCTTGGTTACTTCTGCAAGAGTTTCTGTACCTGTCCTCTGATGATTCTTCTAGAAGAACCTTGGAGTGTTTCTGCTGGAGATTCTACTTTCTTCTTCGATCGCCACTGGTTTGCATCCATTTATTCTGAATGATTTCCTTCTGCAAACACATTAGAAAGGGGTAGAGCATAACCTTACTCCTTAAGCATTAAATATTATATTCAACTGAGAATCAAAGGAAGGTTTGGATGCAAGATTCTTACATAGTCTTATGCAGTAACCAACTTGAACAAATTTCAGGCTAAGTGACTAATCTCTGCAGCAACAGAAGAAGAAGAAGAAGAAGAAGGAGAAGAAGAGAGATGAATCTTTACAAGTAAAATAAGGTAGAGAGAGGGCATCAAGTGACTATGTGACTCTGATATTAATTGTTTACGTTTCAACTTATAAGTGATCATTAAACTATTACAGCAACTAGAGGCGTTAGTAAATTGTTTTGTATACATAAATTGTAACACGAAGTTATTATGAAGAAATTGTTTAAAAACTCTGCTTTTTCATAATTTACTCAAGAATCAATCATGAAAAAAAAACTCACCTCATTAATGATACCAGTTTCAACACTTAATCATTTTGTTTTGCAGTAAACTAATATCTACCCCTTCAATGACAGGGAGAGCAAACAAAAAAAAGTATTTTGTAAAAGAATTAAGGCGTTAAATTAAGTCCTCAAGACATTTAGTGTTACCTAATGACAGTGACATTTGTTTTGTAGCTTCATTCTTTGATAATTACTTTTGATATCTCTTCTTTTCGTGGTTTTCCTTTTTTTTTTCTTTCTCGTTGTCTTCTTTTTCATAGGTTTCTAACAAGTAAATTATATTTTCTTAGAAGATACTAACAAAGAAACACCTCTAACGGATGCCAAAACGATTAAAATGTAAACATTTCCAGCATTAGAACTTTAACAGTTTTGATCATTGATCAACCAGATATAAATGAGTTGACTAAAATATATGAAAGGTGTTTGGCCTAAACAATCGATTCTACCTACTTTCATTATTTGTGAGAAAAATTCAAAAAAATATATAAATAATCATGGTTAGACAAACCACCAAATCACTAACAAGACAAAGTATTATTAGTATCTTTCCTTTATCTTTGTTTTTAATTTTGTGGAGGGCCATAGGATTCCAAAATGCTCTCCAGCCTCTCCACCGACAGTTTTTACTACTACTACTACTACCATTCTTTAATTACACATCGTCACATCATATCATTTTGAAAAGAATACAAACTATAATATAAAGAGAAAGTTCACAAAATGGAATGGAGAAGTGGGGAATACAGTAAAGGAGACGTTACGAAAATATTAATTTTGTGGACCCATATAATTTCTGTGATGTCTATAAAAAGAAGAAAGTTTAGGAATAGGATTATTAAAACTATGAAGAGATAAACCCAATATGATTCCACTTTAAGCCGTTAGAACGAAAATATTTCTTAATTGTTTTTGTAGGGCAAGAAACCACAATGCTCCGTTTTGTTGGTATTCCGCATAAAGACTTTCGTATTGTTTTGTTAGAATGGATTTATTCTGCATTATTTTGCATTCGATGAACCTAACCAGAAGCATTCATATATAAAATTATTTGAGTTTTCGATAATCTGTTATGATCGCTTCTGGAAGCGGACGATTAGATTATGAAGGAATCTTAAATTTGATTCTTGTAGATATGATGAATATGCTTGCAAAATTTTGTCTTGTAGATATGATGAACCTGCTTGCAAAATTGGAGAGCAGTCTTTCAGCTGCACGTGCATGGTTTGCGAACACAACACCGATCTTCGTAATGCTAATGATGTAGATAGCTCGATTTCCCCTATGTAGTAGTATCATACATGGCATAGGCGATCCGACTTCATCTTTGGTCGCTGTGTGCGTTTTCTGTCTATGTTTTTGATATTAACATTCATCACATCATTACTATATTTTGGGATACACGAATATTTGGATGTATCTAATGAATTTTTGGCTGTTGTGCAGCAAAGATTCAGAAAGATAAAAATAAAAATAAACTAAAATCACTGTAGAGACGAATTGCTTGTAAATAGTTAAGAAAACCTTAAAATCAATGTTTTGAAGATTGAAAGTAAAGCAATAATATCTAACTTTTCGTAATGTATATTTAGGGCATATTATCATTACGGGTAAAAATGCTTCACATATAAGAAAATATTATCCAAAGTATACCCTTAAAAATTAGGGTTGAGTAATAGCCGATACGATTCAGTAGTTAAAATCCCTAACTAAATATACTTTGTTTTCATAATTACTATCACTATTCCAACATATATAATTGCAGATCATTTGTAGAATAATAAAAAGTTATTTAAACAGAAATAAATTTCTTTAAACGAAACTAATAATAATTTAGTTTTGATATAGTTTAAATCCCGGGCAAGGTCACATTTCTAGTTAGATATATCCTGAAAAATATCAATCGTTTGACTAGAACACTAATCGTATAAGCAGATAAAGCATCTTTGAAGAACCTTTAAGAAGAAGAACAAGAAAATGATAAGGAAGAAGAAGCGTTTTTTTTTTTTTTTTTTTTTTTTAACAAAGAAGAAGAAGCGTTCAAATCTCTTTTGTCTTGACAATTACTTACAGCAAATATGACGTCGAGGTCGATGACGCAAGATTCTCTCCTTGACCTCTAAACCGACAGAAGTTACTCCCATAAGTAGCGGTCATCAATATCCTCTCATCAAAGAACCTTCCATGCATAAATCGATCATAGAAGAACAGGTATGTCAATCTCATTCAATCACACAAGTATCATGATATTTAAATTTGAGTTTCTGGATTAAGCCTCTAGGAGAATTAGAGATCGAGTTACTTTTTTTAATATCTTAGTGAGGCAAAAAACAAGCATGTTTCTTTCTTGGTTATGTCTATTGATATTTGATAGCTCACGTAATGAATTGGTCATCAAAGACTTGCTTCTTCAATACATTGTAGCTTCCTTTGTGGCGTTTGAGGTAATAAAATATGTCTAATGTTGGGTTTGGGTACAACAACATATAAAGATAAAGCTCCGTGAGTTCAAGCACTCATCTAATGCTCTTCATAGATTTTGGTTTCCTATAATCGCGAGCGAGATGACAATATGATGCATTTTGTCTTCCTTGAGAGGGATTTGATATATGTGATGGCTTAGGTTAGCTTTGGTATTTACGTTTTGTATAGAAACACTTTATACCGGTTCATAATAAAACTTCAACGTTTGTATATATTCCCTATGTAGATGTCTATGTTGTATATATACGGATTCAACTTTTACATTTGGGTCAAGAATCGCTGTTATACCATCTTTGCATGATTTAGAATCAATCTACAATCTCTTAAAACAAACTCTTTAGCCCTATTATCATGTTGTTTTGCACCTACACATAGATTATTACGAGTAACATTGAATTCATCGTTAATGACAAACCTTATAAATGTTTGATTTCTTTTTTGTTATAGGCTTATAGCTTTGATCTCACGCAAGGCAGAACATTTCTCTAGTCAGTAAAAGAATTTATTAAAATATTTTTTAGGGTGTTATAGGATTTCAACATTATTCGTGGGGGGGGGGGGGGTAAGCTGAATAAAAGTTTATCTTTTCCAATTTTCTCAAAAAACATAATTTAGAAAAATGTGAAGACGAAGCTTTTACTGATACAAGCCATTTATGTAATCAATGAATAAAACGAAAGGGAAATCCTAAACAGCTATGTATATTGTTCTGCATCAACAACATAGCGAATCAAAGAATTTGCTACTGAAACAAGATAAAAGAATATTATTTCTACTGTTCAAAATTTTCGACCAAAGCTTTATTCCCCCTTTGATCATCAAAAGAACAAGACAAATGGAACCAACCAGAACTAGAAGACTCTCTCAACTCTCCACTGGATTTGTCGACGTTTGACCCACCGGCAAGTCATCAATCCAATCTCCATAGATCCGATTAATCTTCTTGGAGTCACTCCACTTGAGCAAACACTTCTTCCGCCTCCCTTCATCGTTAAGTCCAGAAGAATCCACCGCCACTTGTGCACTCGGTTTCATCGCAAACGCTTCGTTTGCAGGCCCCACCACCACCGCTTGTTTACTCACAGACGCTACTGCAGCATTCACAGCTTCTCCTTCAACTCTTCCAACAGATTGATGCAACTCTGCAAAAATCAAGAAAACACAAAGAATCACACACAGACAATCCACAAGAAATTGGTCAAAAGATAGTCTCAAAATCTCTTATCCATACCTGCTTGGCCATGAGCAAAGTGACACTTATCGCCAAAAGGACATTGACCAGTCTCAAACTTCATACACAGCCTCGTCTTCCAGTACACAGTCTTGATACCACCACCACTGTTCATAGGTGGAGGAGGTACAGGGACGATGTTGCCTCCTTGTCTATTTACATCGACTTGATTGATAGAAGCAAAAGCAGCACCGTTCTCAACAGACTGTTGTGGCTCAGTGGTACCAACGCTTATAACAGAGCTCTCCCTCGGCTTCACAGAGTCCTCACGGAACTTGGAGAGATCCTCGTGAATGAAATTGCATCTGTCACCATAAGGACACTCTTCCCCAAAGCAAAACTTCCTGCAAAGCTTCATCCTCAAGATGATCTTCTGATCATCTTCCCAATTGTTCCCAGCAACAGAAACCACCGAAGAAGGTCTTTCTCTTTCCCTCTCCCTCTCTCTTTCCCTCTCTCTTTCTCTTTCTCTTTCTCTTTCCCTCTCTCTGTCTTGCACAGGAGGTCCAACAATCTCCTGCCAATTCGACGGAGGCTGCCTAAGATCCTCATTGCCGTGAGCGAAATTGCAGAGCTCTCCGTTCCTGCAAGTCCCAGCCCTGAATTTCGCACACACTCTCGTCTTGTAGAAGATGTTGGCCGTGCCTTTGTTCACCGGAGGAGGAGGGTTTAGCGATGGAACCATCCACACATTATTGTTGTTACTCGTCGGAGGAAAAGACGAAGCCTGATTATTGAACGAGTTGTCATCAACAAGTCTTGGCCTTTTTAACGAAGGCTGTAACTGATGAGGAGGAGGAGGCTGAGATTGTGATTCGGATTGCGAATGCAAGTCGCCTTGTTCGTTGTTCATCGGATTAGCCATCGGATCAATCGCCTGGGTTTGATTCCAGCCACCGTACGGCGATTGCACGTACATGGGACGAGAATCAGAGTAACTCGAATCCATAACTGTAAAAACACAAAATTTGGAAGAAGAAGAAGAAGATAAATCGAATTCTGAGATTAGAACCTTATCTATATCGCCAAACTAAACAGATTTTGATTACGAGACTACAATCGTGATGAACAAAACTTTTACTAGAGATCGAAATGCTTGGAACTATGGTATACGAAAACACGATTCGAGAACAGAAATCGAAAGGATCAACGAGAGGGAGAGAGTAGAGTGAATTACTTGGAAGAGAGACGGGGATTTCAGAAATCCCGCGGGATCAGTGATGGCGGCGGCAGATTTTGGGGGAGAAGAAACTCGATTTAGGGTTTTTGAACATCTGATATATATACTCTTTTCTTTCTCTTTTGCATTAAGAAACTGAATAACAACAATTCATATTGCTTTTAGTAATTTTGTAAAAAAGTTGACAAAAAAAAAGAAGAAGCAATTTTGTAAAAACAAATCAGATATATCAAAGACATTTGTCAGCATGATCTCATTATTTTATACTACTATATGATATGCGTATAGATTGATTATCTAATTAGATCTTACAGCATTAAGTTAGCAAATATATCTACATTGAAACTTAGGTTGCAAAAAACAAAAGATACTTTGAATTTGTTTGTTCTTTTTAAAAAATAGAGATTTTCTTTTTACTTAAAAAAGCCAAATTATATTTTAGGTTTTTATTAAATTAAATATACAGAATGAGAAATCAATCTAGTGAAAAATACTACTTCTTTTGTGAAGATTTATACCATTTTAGAAAAATAAAGAGTGAATATTGCCTCATCAACTTATTACAACAAGAAAGAGGGAGAGAAGAAAGAAGAAAGAAAACAAGCGCCTAGCCCAAGAAGATCTCTAATACAAGGAAAAGAAGATTGGTGAAGACTTTGGGGAAGACAGGATGCGGTCACGGATGATCTGTCGACGGCATTGATGAGTGTGCATCAAGGGATGATGATGTATTGGTGGTGAAGACTTTAGCATTCCGTTCCCTCCAATGTCTACAATTCATACATAACATATGACTATTCCAATCCAGCGCTCGATTGTCTCTTTAGTATGGTGCTAACGTGTGACTATGTTTTAACTTGAACTAGGTTTGAGCGGTGCTATGCCCGAGAGGTGTTGTTACTTTTTTTTTTTTAATTTTTTTTTTCATGTTTATAAAGTTTGTTTTATAAATAATAATGATACAATCATCTTTCCGACACAATATTTTTTTTCGTTTCTCGAGTTTTTTTCATTTCCTCTCTTTTATAACTTATAAGTTGCAATTCCAACATCATACATAAATTTGGCAGGACTGTGTGAATGACGTTAAGTGTCATATAAGTTAAACTCTGGCATATTCAGCTAACTAATCAGTTATTTTAAACTCTGAGTTGATTTAGTAGAATGAAAACCGCACAACGGTCAAATGAATTATCAATTTTTAGTTTTATCTTATTCTCTATTTCAATAAAGCTAAGTTGGTTAAGTTATCAACTATGTAAAAAAAAAGAAACGTATATGTCAATTAGGCTTCAGACTTTTAACCCAAGTCCGAAAACCTGAACCGTATCGACTCAAAATATCGATACCCATTTAGTAGGCCTGGGCATAAAAACCGACCCAATGAACTCGACCCAGAACCGACCCAAAAAACCCGGTTCCGGTTAGAACTGGTTATACTCTAAATCATTTGTCGGTTAACTTTCTTCAATAACCGCGATTATCGGGTCGGTTCCGGGTAATATCCGGCTAACCCGTGGATACTTGTTTGAAACCGAACTATATACACAATTACACATCACCTTTTTATGACCGTTTTAATACTTTTTTTTTATTACACTCATCGTTTTATTCGCCATCGCCGCTTTAGACTCTTCCGCTTCTCGATCTGAAAAAGTTGTCGAGAAAAGTTTTTCGAAATTCAACTTAAATCCCTTTACCATCTCAATTACTTCAAACTGGAAACTCCAATCCGCCGATTCTCAACGTCTCCTCCATCAGAGACGTCTGCAAATCGATAAAGGTACATGCAATTTTGATTTCTCGATGTTCTTCCTTACCTTATTCCAATTTTTTCCCGATGTTTTTGCGATTTCTCGATGTTCTTTCTTCTCTGGATCTCTTCCTTATTCGGAATAAGTTATTCCTATTTATGATTTGCGATTGATTGATAGATTGTTATAACTTACGATATTGTGATATTGTAATAGAGTTTTGCGATTTCTCGATGTTCTTCACACCTTCTGTTAATAGAGTTTTGACTTTTGAGATTTTGAGATTGTTAGAACTTAGGATACTGTATTTTCATTACACATAGAGTTGAAGTCTTAGCCTTATGGAGTTATGCGAATTGATTGTTAGAATGTTGAACTTTGAACTCGACCTGAAACTTGAATTGAATCATGACTGCTTGGCTTTGTTTGCTTTCCCAGATGGCTTCAAATGGTGAACCACAGTTGAATGATGATAGTGGATCAGAGACCGAGGATGATGTAACCGAAACCTCACCAACACCGCCACTGACTACGAAGAACAAAAGCAAAGGGAAGAGAAAGAAACCAGAAGCAGCAAGCGCTTCGAACCAGAAAGCTTCGAACCAGAAATCATGGTCTCAAGTATGGGACCACTTCCAGAGACCTGAGAATGACAAGACAAAGGCAATTTGCAATTATTGCAAGAAGGTGTTTGTGGCTCCATCAGGCAATGGCACATCCAACCTGAAGAAACATAACATGGTCTCTTGCAAGGCTTTCTCCGCGTGGACAACTGCTAATAGTGGAAAGAAAGACCAAACCGTGTTGTCTTCTGATGGTTCTGATGTTCGACTTTGTAAAATGTCTGAGAAGGTGATTAGGGAAGCTTCTAATGAGATGATTGTGTTAGCGAGCTGCCTTTATCTTTCATTGAGGGCTTGGCATGGAGACATTTCTGCGGTAAAGCGAAGCTGCCCAATCCTCATTCTAGAAGAACCTGTACAAGAGACATTGTGGAGATGTATGTCCAAAGGAAGGTTGCGATGAAGAAGATTCTTGATGCTAATAAGCAGAGATTGTCTCTGACTACAGATATTTGGGTGGCGCCTCATACAGGAGCTAGTTATATGGTGATAACAGCTCATTTCATCGACGCTTGGTGGCAACTAAGGAAACTTATCATTGGATTCAAGAATGTGTATGATCATAAAGGTGCAACTATAGCTAAGGTTCTTCTTGATTGTATGGCTGAGTGGGATATCAAGCGAGTTTTCTGCGTCACCGTTGACAACGCCACAGCTAACAGTAATGCCATGGAGACATTCAAGAAAGAGTTCAAGCATAGGAGATGATGCGCTGATTCTGAAAGGTGATTTTCTCCATTTAAGGTGTGCTACTCATATCATTAACTTGATTGTGAAACAAGGTCTGATGGAGATAGTTGAAAGTGTTAATGCTATCCGTAACGGCATTTACTTTGTGAGATCTTCCACACCTAGGATCAATGGCTCCATCACTCTGCCGTTATGGATATACAAAGAAAACTTGTAGAGATTTGCCACACAAGTCTTATAGATTTACAAAGAAAACTTATGTAGAGATGAACATCATCATAAACCTTACTGATTCTCTGATGAACACAGCTGAAGCAGCTCTTTTTACTATTTTCAGACACATCACTAACCATATAGAAAAAGTTTAGGACCGCCAATTAACAGCAGCACTATATCCATCTCCTTCACACACATTTTCAACACAAAAGTTATCGTTTTGTCCCATACTCTTTCACCAGTTCTTCAAAGAACTTCATAGCTTCCTGAAAAGATATGTACATTATTAGTTCTAAAATCATTAAAAAACAAAATATTAAAATGTAAAATTTACATACACAAAGTATAGATATCATAGAAATTTATATTACATTTTTCCTCGAAAGGATTTAGAGAAGGAGAAATCATCGATATAACAGTTGTTGGAGATGCAACTACGCAATCGATCTCTATTTTTCTTGTTAATAGACGAATAAAATTTCATGACAGCATCATATCCAGATATTTGATTCGCCCTAGAATGAGGTCCATCTAAACAAAAAAAACACAAAATTTCTCCTTGAAGCATATACTTATTCATCATTTTTCTTTGATCATTCTTGATTGCATTGAACCCCCCAATGTTGTAGAGAAGATAGATCAGATTTGAGCCGTGGAGTTTTAAATTGGGTAATGAGATTTTGAGTTACCAGTGGACTCATAACATTGACCACATAAGCCATTGGTATTATATACAATCTTGTGATAAATTTGGTGGAGAATTTTATTAATGGCTAGAAAATTGAATTGTAAGATTGTATGAAGGTAGGAATGAAGATTGATGTTTGTTATAATCATATCTTTAATATGATTTGTTAAAGTTATTTCCTGCAAGTTCTTTGCTTATTGTTGTAACCTTTTAATGTCTTTCGTTGCCTTGTGTTACAAGAAATCTTATAGCATCTCTCTTACTATACAATTAAGATTCCGTATCAAGAAATTTAAGCATCTCCTCCTAAACTTTCTGGTTTGCTTTCTACCACCAGATGGATCAACTTTGTAGACATATAGTAATAGTATCATCAAAGGCTCGTGAGTGTAACATAGAATTTATATATATGGCACAACCAAACAAATTTACAGTTTTTAAAATCATTACGAAGCTCTTCTACTTCCTCAGATCAAGCTTCCTAAGCCAACTCCAACAACCTGATTTTTAACTGTTTTTGATGTTTTCATCGTCTGCTTCAAGACTCCATCTCCACTTGTGTTAATTGTTGCCTCCAGTTTCAAAGTAGCCTACTTCGCTGTTCTGAGTTTCTTTCATCAAAATATGTACGTCGGCACGTCGCACTCAATAGCCAATAAAATGATGAGCACACTTACACTAGACAAATATAAATATTTAATTAGCAACAATTATTGCTTCATTTGCAAAGGACATCACGAATTTCTCCATCTTCTGTTAAGAACAGACACATCATATATGTTAATTTTTCACTCTTTTCTTAGACGATTTATGTGTCTCTGGCTGGTTCATGCTTTTCAGATGAATATAACTACAGCAGTGAAGCCAATACAAGGTTTTGTCTAGTAAACCAAAATATTTTTAACAGTTGTGGAATGATTCACTCATACAGAACCTATTGTAATGACAAAACAGAGACAGAGCTAATAACTTGGAAACTGATGAAATTCCATCAACTAATGGATCTAGAGCTGAGAAATAAAAAGTTGGGGTATGATTGACCAACTCGCAAAAGACTTTACAAGAGAAGACATAATATATTTCAAACACAATTTCACCCATGTCCCAAAAGCCTGTTTGACCTCTTGCAAGTGACTTTGGAATATGAACGCATACAAGAGCCTGTTTAACATTGTTCTTAGAAAGAAATTTAGCAATACACATCTTTGTCAATTATTGTTGTAAACTTCAGGAAATTGCAGGGTCAGCTTCATGCTTTTGTAGTTCTTTGTTTTGATTCTAATTGAAAGAGAAAAAACGTTTTGGAACTGAAAATCTTTGAAAGATATTTAAGTGAAGTAGATGGAGAAAGATGAGATGTAGAAGCTGATATTTTTGCATATCTTACATAACATCAGTCACCACATATTTATAATAAAAAATCAGAGTAGTCTCTGTTTTTTCTACTCACACGAAACTGAGTCTCCAGAAATATCTACCCACAAAACATAATTTTTTTTTTTGGTAATCCCCACAAAACATAATTAGCTCTACATTTTAGCTAAAGACACAAGCAACCTCACATACAAAAAATACACAGTAGATGCATGATAGTAGATGCATGATGAGTTTTAAAAACTCCTTTGACTTATTTTACCTGATCTAGAAAATTCTTATCCCCACGTTTTCTTCATTTTTGACACACTTTCATCTTTAAAGACCTCAACGGCTCCATCACTCTGCTCTTTCCATTTGCCGCTACTCCTCTCGCCACTCTGCTTTCATCTTTTGAGACCTCAACGGCTTCATCAAAATCTGTACACCACACTTAATAATCGTGTCATCGTTCCCCGCGCATATGAATTCAAATTGAATCTCGCTCGTAGTTGCGTCCTCTTCAAGACATATGTGCTCTTTAAACAGGGCCCCAGAAAATACTAACAGATGTTCAGTTAGGAGGTCATTATACGATCTCGTAGAGTGGTAGAGAAGTTCACTGATGAGAACTCCGTTGCTTATTAGACGACAAAAAATTTGAGGGTTCCACCGAACCCGTTTGGCTGGGGAAAGCAGGAGGCAAGCGGTAAATGTTGAGGGCGCAGAGAATTTCCCCTGAGAGATGAATAAAGAGTTTCCTGTGGCTCTGTGAGTGAACTCTGCAGGTATCTTTTTACCTGGTAACAATACACACATGTAATCCCATCGGCGTATGATTACCTTTCTTGCTTCTTCAGAAAGTGACAAACAATTGAGGAAGGTGAATTCTCTGCGAGGATTGTAGAAAGGAGAAGATACTCTTATCGCGTCTTTCTCCAATCTAACACACTTGCAGTTGTTGGGAGTGATATACGCTCTTGGTTCATAGAATGAGAAACAGACGCTTTTGAGTGATCCACACTCAGTTGCATCGAGTAGCACAAGCGAAAGCGGAAGACCCTGCAGTGACACCAGCTTTCTGCAGTTTTGGACTTTAAGAATCTCTAGCCCAGGGAGACCTATGACGCAATCTGGAATCTTCTTTATATCACTGTTTCTTAGGTATAATAACCTTACACTTTCTGGGACATGTGTTAATCTCGTCAAGCTTCTGTTGCCTAAGAAAAGCTCGTCAAGACAAGACCGACGTCCAACAACGGATGCAGGAACATCATTTATCTTTGTATCTCTTACATCAAGATACTTGGTGTTGCTAGAAAAATCTGGAAAAGTTCTCAATTGCGAGCAACCATTCATTTCGACTCTCTCAAGAGATGCTAAGTTGATGTTTTTGGGAATAACTCGTAGATTTTTGCAGCTAGTCATCCAAAGTTCTTTCTGTTTGTGAAGATCCCTGATAGAGGAGGGAAGCTCCACCAAACTTGTGCAAGACATAAGTGTCAATTTCTCGAGATTAGTAGCCTCGGAAAGATTTGGGATTTCTTTCAGCTTGAAGGAATAGCTCAAATCCATCTCCTTGAGATTTGGGAGGGGCTGCATGTGTCAAACACAACAAATGAGAAAAATCATACTTTTGGAGGTTTTAGAGATTTTTAATAGATAGGAAATACCAACCTGGACTCCATCCCAGAGCTTTTCGAGTTTGCTGTATGGCATATGCAACTCAACTAGACATTCTGGTTGACAAGTTGGAGGAAGACGTTCTCTCGGGTAAAATTTCCATTGGAGTAACCTTAGACGAGGTAAGTATTCTATGTCCCCTAGTATTCTCAATGTATCACTTTCTCCATAAATTCTTAAAAATCGGAGATTGCGCATTCCTTCAAAGGCTTTCCCACTTATAGAGAACTTGCTCATCTTGGACATATTAAGTAATATACCTATGATAGATCCAGTGCCCTAACAAACATTCCAAAACAAGACTTAGAAACTGTTACCGAGAAAGAAAATGGCAAAGTCTCTAGAGAGAATCTATATATATGTAAGAACTTTACCGTTTCATTTAAAAGAGAGATTGTTGCTGAACTATCTGTCTACCCAGGTGTTCTAGTAAAGAGTGCATCACTATCCACGGAGAAAATATATATTTTCTATTTAAAATTCTCACCCTGTAAGGGAGTTGCACAAGAGATTTGACGGCTAGGGTCTTGAGTCCATTTTCGACATCCAAATTACTGTCAGCAAGCATAGTTGTCAAACCATCATCAAAATAATGATCGTTGAAGATGCATGCAATATGAAGAAATAGAGATTGATCTTTCTTCGAAAATTTGTCATATCCCACTCTTAGCACATCCTCAATCTTTCTATCAAGACTAGACTCGATCTTAGATAGCTGAAGTTCCCACTCGTTCTTGCTCTCGCCACGTAAAGATGAACCCACAACACAAAGTCCTAATGGAAGATTACCGCAAAGCTCAGCTACTTTACTTGCAACCTCTTCGAAACCATCTCGTACGTGATTTTGTTTGAAAGCAGATAGACATAGGATCTCTACAGCTTCTTCCTTGGATGGAAAATCCACATGGTATATGTCATTTATCCCATGTGCCTTCAAAATATTTGTATCTTGTGTGGTAACAATGACTCGACTTCCGAAACCAAACCAAGAACGTTCTCTAGCCAAAGCATCTAGTTTCTCTAGCTCATCTACATCATCAAGAATGATAAGCACTCTTTGATCTTGTAGCCATTCCTTTATCGCTCATAAATTTTGTACCCTCATATCCCGTTGGTTCAAAACCTTAGACAAAAGTTGGTTTTGCAAACACAACTTTGAATCATAATCATCAACACCCATTATGCTCTTATAACTTCCTCCCCGAAGGTTCCCCATGAAACATCTAAGTTGAAAACCGCTAGATAGTTGGTTAAATAAGGCTCTAGAGATGGTAGTCTTACCAATTCCTGCAGGACCCCAAATTCCAATCATCTTAACATCATCACACTCTAGGCATAGCAAAGAGTACAATTCTATGAAGTGAGCTTCCATTCCCACAACACCATCAAAATCCCTCGACGGAGTAACATTCAGTATGTTGGAAACACTTGTAACAAGTTTTTCGACCATGGCGGCTTCATCAGTCCTAACAAAAGAAAACAAAATCTCCTTGATGGCTATCATTGAAATACCGATCAGTATAATTCATTGAGCCAAAAGTTACAAAAAACAAACCAGTTACGAGAGTGCTCTCCAGCTATGGTTGCTACATATCCCAAAGTTTTGATCCATCTCTGCTGTTCTTTCTCTGTTTTCCCTTCACAAGTTTTCTCAAATGCCTTTCGGAATTCTCCCTTTTGTTTCCGTACATGGGACGGATCAACGTCGTAAAAAATGGGCATCACGATCTGCCCTGAAGCGTGTTTGCATTTCAAGATTTCAACCAATTCATCTAAACACCAGCTCGAAGAAGCATAATTTTCTGAGAGCAAAACGATGGAGACTCTGGATTCTCTAATGGCTTTCACGAGTTCAGGGCCGATCGTATGTCCTCTCTCGATCTCTTGATCTTTGAACGTGGTGATCCCTTTGCTTGCAAAGTAATTGTGTAAATGACTCATAAACCCTTTACGGACATCTGCACCATGGAATCTCTTAACGTGAGCAGAATGAGCAGAAGAAGAAGCCATGAGGGAGATAGAGTAAAAGAGAGGTTGAAGAAAGTATCTATATATCACAGTGACATTGGATAAGATATCTATGGAGTAAGAAACAAGTTCCTGCTATATATAGTGAAGCGAAACACGTAAAGAAAAGTAACTTTGACAGAAAAATACAAACATGTGTCCCCCGAAGTCGTTGTGGCCCCAAACATACTATTTTTCTTGTCTTTTGTCATGATGTAATAAATTTATTTTTACACTCACAGAGTTAAAACTTAACTAGGTAAAAACAATTCGGTTACATCATTCCGGTTCAATTATAGCTCGACTCGCTTTTGTTTTGTACATTTCCTTAATTTCTTCTGTAGTGTAGGTGATCATCGACAGAGAGCACTCCACTTTTTGAGGGCACAAATCTAAAGTTTTCATTTACCGATCATTGTCAGAAATTGAAGATCAATGACGACGATGCCCAATCTTCCTAGAGATTTGGTATAATCGCAAGGAGCTTAAGTCCCTAAGCCCTAATATAATTCCTATATAAGAAACTTGAGAAAAGAGAGCTGCAATCATCCTTCGTGCAAGAAAAGGGACATAAAACTTGGTACTGTGGAAAATACAAGATTGACAATCCCAAACTTGTGCCAAGGTAAATTAAGTTTACCAAGCACCAGCAGAAGAGTTTTTTTAACTTTTCAATTTTATTAAAAAAGTAAAGATGACAATGTCTTTGATCATTCCTTTTCAAAATTAAGATAGAGAGGGAACATTATGTTTACAAGCACGACACTTACAAGATCTTGAAGATCGTCACTAACCAAGAAATTTCTGTCATCAAAATTTTTTTCTGTTAACAAAATTTCACTCCGGGTTATCACCTAGAAAAACAGTAAAGATTCACCAAAGATAATACAAAAATAAGACGACCGACGAGTACGCGCGTTATATTGCAGCGATCACTTATTAGGTGAGCCAGTTTATGAGGAGTGAGTTTGGAGACAAGTTAAGTCATCAACCTCTGCTTTGATCTCTCTTTTGAGTTCTTCTTTGTACTCTTCAAACGTGCCTTGGAAGAAAGTCACTGTTCCGTCTTGAACAATTCAGATTTCTTTCTCCTCCTCGTCCTCACAGACTCGCGATATGAGTCTCGAGTCATAACTCACCAACACAACTCCTCCTTTGAACGAATACAGTGCATCCGCCAAGGCATATATAGGCTGCATATCCAAGTGATTTGTTGACTCGTCAAGAACCAAAATGTGTGGCTTTGTCATTGAGATCGAGGCTAACACAACCGTAGCCTTTTGTCCTCCATACAGATTCCCAATCGGAGTTACATGGTTGTGACTTGGTAGCCCAAACTTTCCCAGTTGCGCACGAACGGCCTCTTGTTTGCTACATCCCTTTTGGTCAGGATGAAGACGAAGAAGATACTCAACCGGTGTCTCCTCCATTGTTAACTGCTTAGCAAAGTGATGAGAGAACCTCCCGATCCTCAGCTTCTGGCTTCTTCTCACTTCACCCTCACTCGGAACCAAATCTCCCGCAACAAGATTCAAAAGAGTCGACTTCCCAGCTCCATCAGGCCCATATATATACCAATGATATTCGCATCCTCCAGCCACCACTGATCTCACTAGTTGGACTCGCTAGCATATGTTCCGTGAAACCTAAGCCGGCAAGAATCTTGGAAGCCCGAGCTTCAGCAGCATTTGACTTCAACTCGTGTAGCTTGTCATACACTTGAGCCAGCTTAACTCCAGTATCATCATCAGAAGAAGAAGAAGGATTCTCCAGAGCTGCAGCTGCTTCCAGAGCCTCAGCTTCTTTCCGTAACTTAGCCAGCTTTTCATTGGCGGAAACAACTGCTTCCAGAGGAAGCGTTCCATCACCGACCACCTCTTGCGCAACAAGAAGAATGATTAATTCTATAAATAATTGAATTAATCATTCTCTATGTTTATTCGCATCACAATTTTCATTTTTAGAGCAAAAAAATAAACATGCAATCTAATGTTGATACTAAACTACCACGGGTATATATAAGCTTCAATCCTTTTTTTATTATTGTGCATGCAAGTAAGAAATATACTGTAACTTTGTATCGTGCTTTTTGTTGGAGTACTTTGCAAGTAATAACTATTTTTGTATGGCCACTTACTATTTCTTTCTTAATGGGCTTTGTTATATGCTACACTAAGATAGTATGATTCGTGTTACATTGAGATTATCTATGCCCTTGGGTTTATTCTTGACAAGAAAATAGGAATTGGTATAACCAAAGCGCATAGATCATGGTATCAACTACTGCAAGGGATTCTCACAACGTGAAACTTTACGATGCACTTTTGGATTCCATGACCAATTAGTAGTCCCCATATCTTCCATATCATTAATTGAGTGGATGTATTTTGTATCCATATTAGGACTGGTAAAACATATGGAATCAATGTGTTACTTTTATCGATTGAGGGGAGTACATATGGTAACTGTAATTAGCAATTACAATTTTAGAACTTTTTATCACCATTTTTGCTTATTTTTTACTTATGTTTTGCTTAGTTTTTGCTCATTTTTGTTATATTTTTTTTCAGGCTATAACAGATTCAGTTGATCTCCAATTCCGCCATCCTGCCTGCAAATCTCATGCTGGAACTCCAAAGACAAAAAAAAATGACCGAGGAGATAAAATTCGAGATTAGAAGTGTCTTTAGAATGAAAGCTGTTCTTCGGTTCATACCATATTCCTATTGGCTACATGGGACTTGTCAGCTTCAGTTGACAAGTCCACCAACCGGTGCATTACTTATCCCCAACTGCAGTACAGAAACATCGTTATAAAAATCCAACGTATTATAAAATTAGATATTTAACACACTTGCGATTAAATATTTATTAATAGTTATAGTTATGAATTCACCAACATTTTCAACTCGGCGTCTTCGTTAAGCAGTGCCATTGATAGGATGCTTCGTGACTGTCTTTCCCGCCTAGGAGCTCCTCGTAATTTGCTTCCGGTCTACTTCGATTGTACCAGAGACTTGGGGTAACGTTTGGCGCTTCTTTCTTTATTTTTTGTTCTCTTTTCTGCTTTGTAATAAGTTGCTGAGCAACATTTTTTCTTGTCTTTACTGGTTTTCTGCTTGGTGATGCCATTAATATGCTTTATCTATAGTATGATTAATATCATTTTATATATCAGATAGATATATATATATACTTTTTGTCAACATATATATAATAAAGCAAACAAAATATGACTAATCTTATATATAATAGGAGAGTTGCTCTCTCCTCCTAGGCTATCCACATCAGCAAAAAAATCATTAATTGTATTTAAGATATTTAATATATGTGTATTAATATTTCTTTATATATATTCCTATTTTACACATAAACAAAACTAAGAAAAATACACAAACAATTTAATTGATTAATATAAAGTATGTGATATCTTGATGTTAAAAGTTAAAAGAAAGTTGTAATATAAAATGGAGATGAAATAAAGAAATATTTAACTTGAAATAGTATATAGTTAGGTTTTAACTCAAAGGATTTATCCTATTTAAAAATGTTATAATGTGCTTACAAGTAAAAAAGGTACAATATAAATTATTTAACATAGTAAAAAGCTAATAAAAAATTAGAGTTAGAGTTTGTTTTATTAAAAAATAGAAGTCGAGTTATTATTTAAATTTCATTGCAACGAAAAGTATGAAAATTTTAAGAATGGTGACATGTTTGTTTCAAAAATACAATTTATATTTACAAAACTAACATAATAGAAAATAATCAATTGTCATATGCTACCACAACAAAGCATATATGTAAGAAGTTATACATGTTTTTGTTTTTCATCATATTTTGAGTGCAATTGCGATTCTACACCATGTTTACAAATTTTAACGTTGAGTCAAATGCATATTAAATTTTAGAAATAGAAAACTCGAGATGAAGTAAGGTGTTAATATCTTAATAAAAAAAATTGATCATATTGTTAGTGTTAATTGTTGGGTTAACTCAAAATATAACCAAAACATGGAAGTTAACATATAACCATCATAATTCAAAATTTCAAATCAATAAATATAAATAAAATCAAACAGAAAAATTATCGCAAACAACCCGCGCTTGCGCGGGGCTTTAATCCCTAGTATCATAAATTATTGACACTGATGACGTTTATTATTCACATATTCAAGATTCTTACTTTGGCTTTGAATTATAGATATGGAAAACCATATCTATTCAAGGTTTCTGTTGAGAATTCTAATGTTGTCTTCCACTGTGACACATACAAGGTCATATAACTTATTACCCAGTATCGTTAAGAAATTTGGTAAAGATAACTTGTAATCATCAGGTCGTCATAATGCTTTCTTGTTTTTTAGTCTTTTTGCCAAGAAACCATTTGTAAGGCTTTTCTCTTTGTAAAACCAACCCCTTCATTAATATGAAATTTACAGTTTAGCAAAAAAAAAAAAAAATAGTTAAAAAAATTTCAGAGTTGTCTTCTTCTCAAGTAACTTTTTAAGGTACCTTTTGACGCAATATTTTTTATGAAGTTATTATTAGTTGTTACATCATAACATTTTATATTTGATTTCTTGCAGAGTACACAAGAAGCCGCAAACGTCCAAGGAAATGGATTCAATGCTTATGGAACTAAGTTATTTTCTGATTTCAACACATGATGATATTTTTAGTGCGTTAAAATTTGAAGCTAACTACATTGATTATGTGTGTAGGAGATCTCCTTGATGCTTCTTTAAAGTCCAACCGATGAAATAACACCTTCATCCAAGAGGACTGAAGACGATCTTGCTGGTGATAACGAAAATGCTTGAAAATCGTCCATAAAAAACCATGTCTGCATCAGAGGAAAGTTATGATGTAAGTTTTGTATTACTCATGTCAAAGTTGAGAAGATCGAAAAAACTGTGACAAATATCAATTGAAAGTTATATCATTTAGGGCTTAACTTGCAAAAAGAATTTAGTTGGATTGTTTTTTTTTCACAAAAACCTAAGTCAAACTATTAAGTTACGACGTTCGGTTGGCAAATTGTTGGACCATTATTTTGCCATTCACATAGTAACATATTTATGCACCTTTTCTCTATTATTAAGACAATCATTTAGAATTATTCCTTTATAATTCCGTTGAGGGGAAAAAATGACACAACAACGAAGCCACACATGTATCCAACCACCCTTTGGCATTATAATATGATGAAGATTTTATATAAATGTTCTCTCATCCTAACAGATAATAATTCAAATTTAGATTTAGCTAATTATATGCTAACCTAAAGCTGCCCACAAGAAGACATGTGCATTGACTTCTCAACACCTTAAGTTCATTTTAACTTTTCATTACTCTCTCTATATAATATCTCTCTCTAAGCCAATCCACAAAACTTGCATATGCATCTATCATCAATGGCCCCAAATTACAATCCTTCCTCTTCCTCCATTTTCTTGATTTTGTCTCTTCACTTCCTTTCAATTCTAGCAACCGGAAACATCCACATCACCGATAGAAAAGCTCTTGAAATCATCATCGGCGGCGGTGAAAGCTCCGATGACAATTCTCCGGCGCCAGCTCCTCAGCCTGAAAACTGTCCTCCGCCGCCTCCACCTCCTTATCTAACACCATCACCGCCCCCACCGCGGCCACTTCCTCCTCCACCGCCACCACCATTCTCGAGTCCACTAATAGAGAAAGTTTATCCAGTCATCAAGAACTTCCAGAACCTAATCGAAGACGATCCAAACAAGATACTCGAAACATGGGTTGGCACCGACATTTGCGCCGAGGACAAATACATAGGACTCGAATGTGCCAAGTTCCCGGGAACGAACAACCTCGCAGTCGCGAGTATCCAATTCAACCAGTTTAACTTGGGCGGCAAGAAACTTCGGCTAGATAACTTCCTCGACAAGTTAGAAGAAGTCACCATCTTCCACGCAAACAGTAACAATTTTGTTGGCTCTGTTCCTGAAGTCAGCAACTTGAAGTACCTCTTTGAGCTTGACCTCAGCAACAACAAGCTCTCTGGAGAGTTCCCGAGCTCTGTCTTGAAAGCAAAGAACCTCACGTTCCTCGACCTCAGATTCAATTCTTTATCAGGCTCTGTGCCTCCTCAGGTTTTCAATCTCGATCTTGACGTCTTGTTCATCAACAACAACAATCTTGTTCAGCGACTTCCCGAGAATCTCGGATCCATCACCGCTCTTTACCTCACATTCGCTAACAACAGGTCACATAAGCTCCAAACATAGTTATTTACTGCTTCTTCTTTTTTTACTCAAGAAACAAACAGAGTAGATAAATTAAGTATTTAAAGATTCTTTTCGGAATTTTCATGTGATGTGATGCAGATTCACTGGTCCTATTCCCGGAAGCATTGGTGACATTAAGTCCTTACAAGAGGTTCTTTTCTTGAATAACAAGTTAACCGGTTGCTTACCATACCAAATCGGGAAGCTAAACCGAGCTACCGTTTTCGATGCGGAGTCTAATCAGTTGACCGGTCCGATTCCCTATTCTTTCGGCTGCCTAGACAAAATGGAACAGCTCAATTTGGCTAGAAACAAGTTCTACGGTACTATACCGGAGATCGTCTGCGAGCTCTCAGCCCTCAGAAACCTTTCTCTCTCGTTCAACTACTTCACGCAGGTTGGTCCAAAATGCCGAAAACTCATCAAGAGGAAGGTTCTTGACGTGGGAATGAATTGTATTCTAGATCTTGAAAATCAAAGAACGTCATGGGAATGCACCAAGTTTTTCTTGCGGAAACAGAATTGTCCCAACTCCAAGTCTTTCTTTTATGTCCCTTGTGGGAAAGATCCGCACCGGATTAAACCGGATCAAGAAGAACTGGATGGTCAGGCTTCGCCTCCGGTATCTTACGGCGCTCTTAACCCGGACCGGATTCGGAATCTCTAGTCAAAATCAAGTTGTTGACAAGTACTACATTATCCATCTTTTCATATTTGTAACTTGTAAGTGTAACTTACTGAATAAAGACAAATAACTTTGTATATATTATTTAGGTGACTACAAGCAAAACAGGATTTGTCTTGATCGGACCGGGTTAGGTCCTTGCAAACCGAACCAGAACATGTGTAGATTAGACTTTTGTTATTAGTATAACGTTGCCACTAGAGTCAAAAAGTGAAGAGAAGCAAGACAAAGGTTACAACAAACACAGAAAGCCCAAGTTGGGTCGGTTTGGTAGATGGATGACCATAGCCTTTGGTCGCTTCAGCCGTAAGTTTAGCAATCATCATGAGTTTCGAATCCATTTTCGGCTTTTCTTGCTTTTCACACGTTCCATATGGCATGTTCTCCTGCACACACACACACACACACGTAACGTTTATTAACATCATTTTTATAACATGCAAAATCCATATTTGCTTCACACGAGTATACTAACCTTACAAGCGGCTATATCGTCACAGCCGCAAAGTGTATGACCGTTTGCAACATCTACTGCTTTTGGAGGTCCTCCACCATCGCTTCTCTAAACCACGCACATACAATGTTAGCACTACTAAAATGTTACTTAAACCGGATCATCAACTCACATTATCTTACATACCCTGTAGAAATCGACTGCTATGAAGTTAGGCCAGCGTTGTCCCGAGGCTTCTTGACATTTCTTGATCGTGTCAAGAAGAGGAGCAGAGTTCTGTTTACAAGATCCAACAAAATCCCCAGTATCCGGGAAATAGTTGACAAGAACAAGTGATCTCGATTTATCTCCCATAGCAGCTGATTCCGGTCTATTGGTACACACTCCTGCTCTCATCCCTCCATTCCCGTCTAAAAATCATAACATTATATTAATTTCATATGTACGATGTATCAATCTATTTGAAAGATGTGTTAATTTGGACACACTCACATTGATTTTCTATCATGTATCTCCATATAAACGCGATTCCGTCGGACTCTTCTTTACGAGGATCTGACGTGAAAACCAGCAGCCGTTGGTTCTTGCTTACCATGTCATCGAGGGTAGGCCAATCCTCTCCGTTCTTGGGCATACTTGTTACCGGAAACATGAAATTTCGTAAACCGGATGCATCAAACACTCTGTTTAAACCATTAGGAGATTTTACGTAGTCCTCGAGGATAAGCGTCACAACCACATCCTTGTTCTTCTCTAGATACACTTGAAACTCCTTGAAAATGTTAACCGCCGGTTGCTACGTACAAAACCAAAAACCAAATTAGAAACTTTTTCTACGTTTGGACCGATGGACTTATGTGTGAGTTTATGGAACTTACGTACGCCGTGTAGTTGAAGCAATTTCCACCGTAAGAATGGCAAAGCCATACATCATTTTGGAAGTCGTACATGTCAAGCATAAACCCTCTAACACCATTCTGAAATAAACCCACAATAAAAAATAAAGATAGTATCAGAATAAATAATGAAACTTTTGAGATGGGTTTATGAAGAAGAGAAGAAGGAAGATATCTACAATGAGTTGGCTTGTGATTGAATCTTGTTGGTTGGAAGGAGCAAGAATCATAGAGCCTGTGGCTGATTTTGCACCCATTCGAGCAAATGAATTGTGGGTCGTTAACCACGAGTATTTGTTGTAAGGCAGTCCTTTTACCTTTTGACACGTAAACATGAAACTGATCGGTTAATCAAATTAGATATTTAAAACCCAAATGGCCAAATGATTAATAATGAAAAGAACAAAAAAAAGAAGAACCTTGGAGGTGGGGTTAATGGGTTGCATACGAGAGCATCTAGGTCGGAAGTTGTCGCTTGCGAGACACGACTCGCAGCTTAATCCCGGATCGCAATTCTTGCTCACGATGCATGTTTCTCCTTCCTATCAATCAACGCACACATCAACACTTTTTTTTGTAAATTCAACCGAAACCTCAAATAGGGCTTTTATGATCAATTATTGGTGATTTCAAGAAGGAGATTGTTACGAGTTAATTACCTTGAGGGCAGAAGAAGGACTAAGAATAAGAAAACATGGAATGAGAAGAATTGTTAGTAAGGTGAATCTCGGAAACATTGTCTTCTTTCTTACTTCAAAATCCCATCTAGAATATTTAAAAAGAAACCCCCTCAAAGATTTTCCCGTTTTGGGAAGACGGACGCAACTACTTTGAAAATTCCAACAGACTTCAACCGGTGATTCGCATTTGCCTACAAATAAAAAAAAAAGAAAACTTAAAATGTCTAAAAAAATAAAGTCAAAGGAAAGGAATTGCGGGCATCTCGGAGACAATGATGATATTAATAGCTACAGAAGATTGTTCTTGCTTTTCTCTATGGTTTCTTTCTTTTTGTACTTTACATCATTACATGCCATATCGATTCAGAATCTCATCAAAACATGAAGAAATTGAATGAGGTCGACATCATCATCAAATAATAAAATATCAAGCTATGAATAGCATGCGAGCTACATTAGTAAAGTGCTTTCATTTTACGAAAAATACGTCTGTGCCGGTCCAATTTAATTATAGAAAGATAATAACACAGGAGAGAAACTAATTGTGTTTGAATAAGTTTTTACATTAGAAACTCTATAAATTAGTAATGTCAGGACTTTGATATTTTATCAATTTATAGAGTTATTAATATATAGATTTTCACTAAAAAATAACTTTCAGAAAAAGAAAATTCAATAATGATATCTTTTAAAGTTTCATTCAAAGTTTCAAAGTAAATAAGAACTTTCTTTTATACATATATTTTCTTAATTTTTTTGTTTGATGTTTGCATATTTACTTTATTTTTTCATACTTGTCATATTCTTTTAAGTTCCCTTTTTCTTTTAATTTCCATATATGTTTGGAGTGTTTTAGTAGTTAGATATCTTAGTTATATATATATAATATATAATTTTTATATAATAATTATTAATTTATGATATTATTCATACCATATTTTATATATATTTTACATAGGAGTTATTATTTTATCGAAGTATGTCATATTTTACACTGGCCCAACTCAGGACCGGATAAATTTATTAATTTATCGTGTTTATTAATTTATCGAGTATTAACTTATAGAGTTTATACTGTATATGGTTGTTTGAATAAGTTCTTATATTTGCTTTCATATTATATGGTCATTCTCATTACCTACGAGCCAGTTTTTTTTTTCTGCGTGTAAATAATGTATAATGCTTTCATATTATGTGAATCACACGTTAGTTACAAAACCTTTTTGTTTTCTAAAATAGACAAATACAAATTCAGAGATCTCTGGATTCTCGATCTGCACACTGGCTTATTGTTCTATGAGTTTTTTTTGTCTCCTAAAATTATGGTTTCTAATAAACAAATTATTGGGGGTGTATGTGAAATACAATGTGAAACCAAATGACATGAAGAGATAAGATTAGCCACTTGGTAGAATAGAAAAAGCTTCAAAACGACAGATCATTGCAATCATTATGTTTAATTATTCTAACTTTAACAACAAATAACTGTAAAGTATTACAGGAAAAATGTTTTCTTTTTGAATGCATATAAAGTTAGTTATCACAAAAGATAATGGTTAGTTGCCAAAGCTAAGCTTAAATCAAGACCATTATTTACAAAATGTCTCCGTATATTTGAGGAGTAGAAAAAAACTTGAGTGGGGTGTTTTAAACACTTAAACGAACTTGGGGATGAAATCGTAAATAATGGTAAATTAGGGTAGTTTTTGGGATTCATCATTTTCATCAGAAATAGGCAAAAATAGAGAAATTTGGCTCCTTCTCTCTCTCTCTCTCTCACTCCGTCTCATTGTCACTGACCTCCTTCGACTGTCATTCTCTCAGGCGACTTGCCATTGACCTTTCCAAACGTCTCTCTCTCTCCTCTGTTCTCGGCCATGGTGGTTTATCGGCAAGCTCTCTTGCTCGCATTAACCGCATTTCTTGGAATCCAGTTACCTTTACTAACTGAAGCAGGTTCTTCTCACTTTTACCATTCGTCTAGCTTTCGAGAAACTTCCATGGGCTTTGATTCGTTTAGCATTTCACTGGTTCGAGACTGAATTAGAAGAAACTGAATGCTAATTTCGATTTTCGTAGTTTCGTTGCAGCTTCGGGAGTTTTGCAAAAATTCCATGTCTCGATTGCATTCTCTTCTTTTCTAATTCATATTGCGTGTTTATGGTGATTAGTTGCTTACATGCGAATTCACTGATGAGATTTTCCGTTACAACTTTCTTTAATTAGAAAGAAATTTCTTCACAAGATTTGTTGCTTTGAAGGTTATCTCCTGTTTCAGAACGCAAACAACTGAAATTTGATGAAAATTCTGTGACTTGTTCTTAGTTTACAAGCAAACTTCCACAAAGTTTCTCTCTTTAGACTTCAGAGCTAAAGATTCTCTCTTTCCAAATGTGTTTACAGATTGTCCATTGGACTTGGCTTCATCTAACTTCACGCTCGTGGCTTCCGTGTGCTCCAACAACACTGACAGAGCCAAATGCTGCCGCTACATGAACGCTTTCGTCGCAGTATCCGTCTCCCGCTATGCTAACCACACAACGGATCTTGGAGTCACACCAGACTTGACTGAACTCTGCATTAGCACCATCTCCAGAACCATGGAGCTCTACGGAATCCCAAGAAATGCAACTGCTTTCTGCGGACTAGGCACCAAGATTCTTGTTAACTATGACTGTGAGGGTCTGACCACTGTCACGCAAATGCTTCACTCCCCAAAGTTTGGAGATGTTTCCCAAAACTGCAAGCTCCCGCTTCCACCTGGAGATCAGTGCAAGAACTGCTTGAACTCCGGTATCACCTACCTTCGTAGTCTCGTGGATGCAGGGAATAGCATCAAGCTGAGTACTTGCCGAGATGCAACCTATGCTGCATTAGCTAGCCGCGTTGACAATTCATCGGCCCTTGAACTCGCTAGCTGCTTCTTTAATGTTGCTGAGCTTAGCTCCGCTACAGGTATACACAGTAGAGTCTTATCATTGTTTGTATATCGTTAATTTAGAGTGTCCTGACTCTTGGATAAATTTCTTGATATCTACTCAGAGTCGTCTCTGAGCCCGGAAGGTTCTCCAAGTCCAGAGGCAGCTGATAGTCCAAGCAGCGATGATCTTGTTTTGCCTCCAAGAAGTCACCATTCATATCACTTGACAGTGGTTCCGACTATTGGGATCGCTGTTACAGCTTTTGCTCTTATGATGCTCGCAGTTCTAATAGTTCTTATCCGAAGAAAAAAACGGGAACTTGATGACTCCGAGAGCATGGATCGTAATCCAGCGAAGACGTTTCCTTCTTCCCGCCCCAATGTGATGATTCATGAAGGTGAAAAGTTCTTCTAGTGTTCACTCACAAGAAATGTTTTTGAGCATGTAAAAAGAAACGTTTGGTTTAAATTTCTGCAGGTAATTCATTGGTTTTCCGGAAATTCAGCTACAGGGAGATGAGGAAAGCAACTGAAGATTTCAACACGGTGATTGGCCGTGGTGGCTTTGGGACTGTTCACAAAGCTGATTTCAGTAATGGTTTGGTTGCAGCTGTGAAAAAGATGAACAAGAGCTCTGAACAAGCAGAGGATGAATTTTGCAGAGAGATAGAGCTTCTCGCTAGGTTGCATCACCGCCATCTAGTTGCTTTGAAAGGTTTCTGTACTAGGAAGAACGAGAGGTGAATTTACTATACTTTCCTGTGGAAGAGTTAATGGTTTTTCTTGTGTTCATCTAACTAGAGAATTTCCAGGTTCCTTGTCTACGAGTACATGGCAAATGGGAGTTTGAAGGATCATCTACATTGTAAGCTCATGATTTCCATATTTTCTTGCTATGTCGTAGACCTGGATTGAGAATCTTGAACGTTGTTTTTTTCCCATTTCTCAGCAGCCACTGAGAAACCTCCACTTAGCTGGGCAATAAGGATGAAAATTGCAATCGATGTGGCTAACGCTCTGGTAAATTTCCATAGCCTTCAGCTACATTTCTCGTATAACTGATACTCTATGATTTGTATTACTGTTCTTAGTTCTTGGCTGGATATTCTTGTTTTTGCTCCAGGAGTATCTTCATTTCTACTGTGACCCGCCTCTCTGCCATAGAGACATAAAGTCAAGCAACATATTACTTGACGACAACTTTGTTGCTAAGGTGCGTCTGCATCTTATAACAATCACATTGGCTTTCCAGTTCGTTTCACCTCTTGAGGAAATTGATATGTGGGGTTATCACGTTGCAGCTTGCAGATTTTGGCCTTGCACATGCTTCTAGAGATGGCTCCATTTGTTTTGAACCTATTAATACTGATATCCGTGGAACTCCAGGTTAGGATACAAAGGAAACAAACTAAATCTTTGAATATTGAGCAGTTTCTAAAACCGTGAAATCTGAGTTTCAGGGTATGTAGATCCAGAGTACGTTGTAACACAAGAACTGACAGAGAAGAGCGACGTGTACAGCTATGGAGTGGTGTTACTAGAGATCATAACAGGGAGAAGAGCTGTTGATGAAGGTAGGAACCTAGTAGAAATGTCTCTGCCGTTACTGGTATCGGAATCAAGACGCATAGATCTGGTGGATCCGAGAATCAAAGACTGCATCGATGGAGAACAGCTGGAGACAGTAGTGGCGGTTGTGAGATGGTGCACAGAGAAAGAAGGCGTGGCTAGGCCATCAATCAAGCAAGTCCTGAGGCTGTTGTGTGAAAGCTGTGATCCATTGCATCTCGGGCTTGCATTGGCGGTTGAGGAAGACAAAGGACGGTCGTTGAGAGGTGACTCGGGGTTTCAAAGCGGTGACATTAAGGGATTGGCGTCTTCCTCTAGTACTACTTCAAGGTCGCATTGTAGCCGGAGTTTTCTGCTTGAGACTGGCTCTCCTCACTCTCCACCTAATGGTCTCTCTTTCTGAGTCATTTTTTGTTTCTAGAAATTTGGCACTTTGGATGATACAAACTGTGTTTTTGTAATTGCAATTTTGAAAGATAAATATGTTTTCTAACAAGAGTCTCAGACTTGTTTTATTTCGTTGCCAGTCTCAGTAAATGGCAAATCCCTAATCCAAAGTCAAGCATATATAAATAGCCATCTTTTAGAAAACCCCAACAACAACAAGAAAACAACAAAACAGATGATGATCTAAACCTAGACTAATGGTCAGGGCACAAAATGTGATTTTTATTCATAATGGAAACTCTCTCCTACTCTGTAACCTAGATTTTTTCACTCAATAAAATTTCTCTTAATCTCCTGTACAGGTAGCACTATCTCCTATTACATCAGTCCCAAGCCAGGCGGTCTCTGGTTTGATCGGTTCTTGTTGCTTTGTTCTGACTTCTACCATGGACCGGTTAGCGTCCTTCTCAAGCATTGCCTTTTGCTGCCCCACGGTTTCTTTGACGATTCCTTCAGCTGCCAATTTAAAAGCAGTAGTAGTGAACAACAGAACCAAAGGACTATTCATACAAACAGAAAAAAGATGCAAGAAGCAGAAAATGTAGCTATCTGGAGTTTGAGCTGCAGTTGGGGACATGCTTGTTTAGGAGATAACATAAAGTTTAGTTTAAAGTTTGGTCTTTTGCTGCTGATGCTACAGTGTAAAGGGTTTATGCATGAATTTATATAAAAAAGAAGTAAAGTCCTTAGATAATTTACCTCATTCTTCTGCATTTCCACCATTTCAGCCTGCAATATAAGGGCAAACTCAGTATCAGAACCAAGTCCTAAATTCTGAGAGGGAGGAACAGAAAACAAACAGAGAGGTATGTGGGAAACCGAAAAGAAACCTGTTTTCTCTGTAGTTCTTGGTTCACTTGCTTGAGCTTTTCAATTTCGGCTTCCAGTTCCAAAGTATAAGCCTGCAATTAAGAAAAAAACATGGAAAATTAAACATTTTGATACTACAAGTGGCTCAGGATAGAAGAAATCTTTTGCTGATTAGATATGATACTCACCTGCTTTCGAGCTCTTGATCTAGCAGCTGATTCACGGTTCTTGATCATTCTCCTTTGCCTCCTCTCGATAACCTTCTCCAGACCTGTATTGCTTCTCCTTCCTCGATTAAGCACATACGGAACTGGTGACAAAGAATTGTTCTCTGCGCTGCTTGTCCCTGGAGAAGTTGCTGCAACAGTGACTCCATTTCCTCCAAAACTAGCTAATCCATTATTACTGTTCACAGCCCCGGGAAAACCCTTGTTGACAATACTCACAGGAGAACCAAAAGCTACATTTGCTTGCTTAGGATAAATGGTCTGAGGCAGGCGCTGCTGCTGCTGCTGCTGTAGATGTGGCTGATTCAGCTGTTGCCGTGGCAACTGCTGCTGTTGTTGCTGGTGCATTGGTCCACCCACTTTGAGGCCTAAACCAGGTGACTGACTCAAGATCACAGAATCATTATTCCCATTGAACGATATGCTGTTTTGATTTGGCTGACCAAACCCAAAACCTAAGCCGTTAGCAACACTGTTGTTACCATAAAACCCATTGTTGTTGTTGTTGCTTCCATTGACTTGACCCATCTGCTGAGCCTGACTACAGTTATCTTCTCTGACAACTCCAGCTCGAAACAGAAACTCCTCAAGTGTCATCTCCCCTAAAGTCTGTTGCCTCCCTGGAAGAGGCGCATTCGAGTCACCACCGCCTCCACCTCCGCTGCTACCTCCTATCATGTTACTGTCCTTGGTGATCAGACATTTCCAGACCTCATCAACAGTCTTCTGACTAATCGTTCTAGGCAATGTCAACGAGCCTTGCCTCTGCAGATTCCCACCGGAGGAGATACCAGCACCTGGTTGCACAACCGCTGTAGCAGCAGCTGAAGAAGAAGAAATCATGGCCATGGCCTGAGCTTCCTCAGCAGTCCATATGCTCTTCAGGAGCTCGTCCATGTTCATCGACCCGAAGTCTCTTCCTGGTCCACCTAGAGTGTTCTGAAGCTCATCAAATGTCAGGGAGTAAACAGAGGACTGCCTCGCCAAGGGCATGACACCACCCGTTGGCTTCATCTGGTTGCTCCCTTCCCCTCCAGACGGACCACCACCACCTCCTAAATTGTTGAAATTGATGTGAGTTCCCATACTCTTTGTCTTCACTCTTCCTTCTTCTTCTTCAGTGAAAACAAAGCTTCAAAGCCCTCTTCTCGCTTGCTTTTGAGAGGTAAAAAAGACCAAAAAATTAGCAGTTAGAGTGGATTACACAGTGCTAAGAGTCCATGAAACAGATATATTTTGTAAGGATATGTGTCACATGATGCATGTTCATATCAATATCATAAGAGTTAAGTAAAGAGAGACAAAGCAAAACTGGACAAACAACATAAATGTGTGTGTGTACAAATATAAAAGCAAGGTAAAGTCAATTAATAATGTGGTCAGATCTTTAGATAACGCTTGTAATAATTAAACCCCAAAAAAAACGTAAATTGATGACTTTTTTTTGAGGAAAGTGAATTCATACTAGGTACAGTGTTTCTCTCAGATACAAACATATGAGCATATCTGCAATATTATACTGACAATTTGAACAGATTAATTGTCTGCGCCTTGAGAGGATTCTAAAATTCAGAAATTATAAACAAGAAAAGTAAAGTAATCGAGACTCTAATCAACATTTCATGAAATTCGACAAAAACCCAACAAGCATGAGATGAGAAAAGATCTACTCAAGATTTCCAGAGGAAAAGCAACCCATTTCTCTAGAAAAATCGATCAAATCAAAAACCCAGAAAAAAAAACCTAATAGGATCATGAATCAGATCAATGATTTCAACAAGTTTCTCTTTTGACTTCAAATTCACTACTCCTATGTGATTCAAACACACATACACACACACAAAATGGAGCAGATATTAAGCATAGAAAAGACAACAAAAATTTGGCAAAGTGGATGATCCGACAAAGACAGATCCAGATACAAGAAACGGATAATATAAGAGAGATATCTCACCTAATTAAATTTCTTGAAAAAATTAGATTCGAGGAGACTGCGAAAACACCAGAGAAGCTCAGGGGAGAGACGACAAGTGTGTTTCTGCCGCCTCGACACGAGCAGCCATTTTAAGGGGTGAAAGCTTTTCTCTTATTTTTTTTATTTTTTAATTATTTTTATTCTGTATAATTATCTCTAACAATTAAGTTTATAATTTAATCCTTATTTTATACAGCGACGTGGACGAATGATAAAAAGACTCTTCAGATTTTAAATCATTGTTAAGATTCTATCCAATTAGAGAAGGCAACGTGGTGATACACTGGCCGTTTGTTTGGTTGTTTTGCCTTCTGACAGTGAGGATTCAAGTGGTTGGAGATCGTGCTTGGATTTTTTTCCTTCTGAGTTAAAAATAAGAATGAATTTTCTTTTCCTTTTTAGGTCATTTTTGTAACATCATATTGTTGTATTTTTAATTTTCTTAATTGAGATTTTTGAACAAAATTCAGTAAATCTTCAGATTTTCAAGATTATAGAAATGTGTGACAATCTGGATTGTTGTCATTTTCCAAAATGGTTGACGATAAGGATGGTATTCTTTTTCAACACTATACTAATTTCATCAATTAGATAAGACTGTACCATAGTTTGTCCATATTAGACTTAGGCGGGGAAAAAAGTCTATATTAGACAAGATATTATCCATAAATTAGTTTTAAGGGAAGACTATATAGGACTACATCAAATTAATAATATAAATCCCATAAAAATGTGACTCTTGTAAATCAGATGATAATATATAATATGATTTGTTCTCTCCATAATAAGATATTACATTGAATTTTGTAGCTTTATTTAGATCATCAAGAAGGAGATTAGATATTTCACAAATTGTTTAATCTTGAAAGTGTACCTTATCATTCAGAAGTGGTGGTGCTTACTTTTTGGGTGCCCATTTTGGTTACAAGCCAATGAAAATACCACACCACTCTTGAAAACAAAACAATAAAGAACACTCTTGCGTGGAGTCTAAGATCATGACTTCCAAATACAGAAAACTGTTTTCTTTCCTCATTTGGAATTATTACAATGTTTGCTTATATATTTGCTTTTGATATTCATATTTTATTCATAGCAACACTTCCACTTTTGCCACGTTAGACCGACGTATAGAGTGAGCATAAAACCATAACAGATCCCCACCTAGAAGTTTATGTAATCAAGTTTATGTAATCATTGCTTATATACACGATTCATATTTGGTTATGTAACAAACATTCTACCCTTGGACTATATACATGTATTATTTGCTTCTTCAAAATCTCTAGTTTTGTATTAGTATGGTGTTTTCTCTCACTCTAAAATATGTAAAGTAACTCAGAGTGAAGTGATAAGTAGAGTTAACTCCATTAACCCTTCCCCTCTTTCTACAAATTCATATATAATCACAAGTTTTATTTATTTTGATTTTTGACAAAAGGCTCATACACTAATGTAAATTATTTATATGCAAGAATAGAGAAAAAGAAAATGTAAACATATGTCCTAACTTATAGTTTTTATAATATTTTATTACTAGCTTTCTTCTTATTGTATATTAAGATATTTAAAAGATCTAAATGATCACTTGTGCTAGGACAGTCATGATTTCAGGGTGTTCAAGAAAGTGTTTGCTCTATAAGGAAAAAAAAGCTAATTGCTCTCTTAAGGTTGCACTAGTTTTGTACTAGTATGTTGTTCACTCTCAGTGTAAAATATGTAAAGTAACTTGAGTGAAGTGATAAGTAGAGTTAACTCCATTAACCCTTCACCTATTTCTACAAATCCATATATATATATATATATATTTTTTTTTTTCTACAAATTCATATATAATCACAAGTTTTATTTATTTTGATTTTTGACAAAAGGCTCATACACTAATGTAAATTATTTATATGCAAGAATAGAGAAAAAGAAAATGTAAACATGTCCTCCTTAACTTATTTATATATATTTTATATATATTTTATTACTAGGCTTTCATCTTATTGTATATTAAGATATTTGAAAGGATAGTCATGAATTAATTTTAGGGTGTTTAAGAAAGTATTTGCCCTATTAAAAAAAGAAACTAATTGCTCTATTAAGGTTGCACTAGTGTCTTCTTTCTTATTATACACATCTCAATGAAGAATCTACACAGTTTTTCTCAAACACTCTTTGTATTAGTAATTTAGTTTTTAGTTTGAGAAATTGATTTGAAAAAGATACAAATTGATCAATTAGACTTTCAAGGCTCAATCAACTTGGAGATGCGCTAACTTCCTCAATTGATGGTGAGCAAATGAAAACTCTGTCAAATGATTGAAATCATGAATACACAAACTCTGTCAAATGATATGGTACGATTATTGCAACTCTGGATTATATGGATGATATGGAAGTCTAGGAATGAAATGTTGTTTCAGTGCAAGACTACACATCCTAACGAAGATGCGAAGAGAGGACTAAATGCAGTATCTGAATGGCTAGAAGCAAACCATGGGTTCAGGATCAGGTGGCAACACGCAGTGCTAAGACTAGTCAATGGGAATCACCAAATAAAGGTTATTTGAAATGTAATTTTGATAGTAGCTTATGTCAAGATTTAGATTACATGGTTGTGGGTTGGATAGTACGAGATTACCAAGGAAAGTTCATAGAAGCTGGATGGGCAAAGTTAACAAGGGTTAGAGCATCTCAAACGCTGGTTTTTAAGAGGGTTTTAAGGAAAAAAACGGAATTAAAAAAAAGAAGAAAGAAAAGAAAATTGTGCAACCAAACTTTTAGCAAGAATTTTTCTAGTTGCTAAAAACCCGCCACGCGTCGCCATAAGGTTAATTCTGCATTAAGGAGAAAAATCTATTTTCTCACTTCTCTCTCTCTTTCTCCTAGCCGATGGAAACGAAGCAAATCCTTCTTCCCAATTCGTTTCCGGCAATCGGTCTCTCACTCAAGTGTATGAACGAAATGCGTCACAACACGATTTTGGAATTCTCACCCGAAGAAGTACTGTCCTGGATCCCATACCTGGTAACTAATCATCTTCCTCTCTCGCCTTTTTTTNATCATAAGAGTTAAGTAAAGAGAGACAAAGCAAAACTGGACAAACAACATAAATGTGTGTGTGTACAAATATAAAAGCAAGGTAAAGTCAATTAATAATGTGGTCAGATCTTTAGATAACGCTTGTAATAATTAAACCCCAAAAAAAACGTAAATTGATGACTTTTTTTTGAGGAAAGTGAATTCATACTAGGTACAGTGTTTCTCTCAGATACAAACATATGAGCATATCTGCAATATTATACTGACAATTTGAACAGATTAATTGTCTGCGCCTTGAGAGGATTCTAAAATTCAGAAATTATAAACAAGAAAAGTAAAGTAATCGAGACTCTAATCAACATTTCATGAAATTCGACAAAAACCCAACAAGCATGAGATGAGAAAAGATCTACTCAAGATTTCCAGAGGAAAAGCAACCCATTTCTCTAGAAAAATCGATCAAATCAAAAACCCAGAAAAAAAAACCTAATAGGATCATGAATCAGATCAATGATTTCAACAAGTTTCTCTTTTGACTTCAAATTCACTACTCCTATGTGATTCAAACACACATACACACACACAAAATGGAGCAGATATTAAGCATAGAAAAGACAACAAAAATTTGGCAAAGTGGATGATCCGACAAAGACAGATCCAGATACAAGAAACGGATAATATAAGAGAGATATCTCACCTAATTAAATTTCTTGAAAAAATTAGATTCGAGGAGACTGCGAAAACACCAGAGAAGCTCAGGGGAGAGACGACAAGTGTGTTTCTGCCGCCTCGACACGAGCAGCCATTTTAAGGGGTGAAAGCTTTTCTCTTATTTTTTTTATTTTTTAATTATTTTTATTCTGTATAATTATCTCTAACAATTAAGTTTATAATTTAATCCTTATTTTATACAGCGACGTGGACGAATGATAAAAAGACTCTTCAGATTTTAAATCATTGTTAAGATTCTATCCAATTAGAGAAGGCAACGTGGTGATACACTGGCCGTTTGTTTGGTTGTTTTGCCTTCTGACAGTGAGGATTCAAGTGGTTGGAGATCGTGCTTGGATTTTTTTCCTTCTGAGTTAAAAATAAGAATGAATTTTCTTTTCCTTTTTAGGTCATTTTTGTAACATCATATTGTTGTATTTTTAATTTTCTTAATTGAGATTTTTGAACAAAATTCAGTAAATCTTCAGATTTTCAAGATTATAGAAATGTGTGACAATCTGGATTGTTGTCATTTTCCAAAATGGTTGACGATAAGGATGGTATTCTTTTTCAACACTATACTAATTTCATCAATTAGATAAGACTGTACCATAGTTTGTCCATATTAGACTTAGGCGGGGAAAAAAGTCTATATTAGACAAGATATTATCCATAAATTAGTTTTAAGGGAAGACTATATAGGACTACATCAAATTAATAATATAAATCCCATAAAAATGTGACTCTTGTAAATCAGATGATAATATATAATATGATTTGTTCTCTCCATAATAAGATATTACATTGAATTTTGTAGCTTTATTTAGATCATCAAGAAGGAGATTAGATATTTCACAAATTGTTTAATCTTGAAAGTGTACCTTATCATTCAGAAGTGGTGGTGCTTACTTTTTGGGTGCCCATTTTGGTTACAAGCCAATGAAAATACCACACCACTCTTGAAAACAAAACAATAAAGAACACTCTTGCGTGGAGTCTAAGATCATGACTTCCAAATACAGAAAACTGTTTTCTTTCCTCATTTGGAATTATTACAATGTTTGCTTATATATTTGCTTTTGATATTCATATTTTATTCATAGCAACACTTCCACTTTTGCCACGTTAGACCGACGTATAGAGTGAGCATAAAACCATAACAGATCCCCACCTAGAAGTTTATGTAATCAAGTTTATGTAATCATTGCTTATATACACGATTCATATTTGGTTATGTAACAAACATTCTACCCTTGGACTATATACATGTATTATTTGCTTCTTCAAAATCTCTAGTTTTGTATTAGTATGGTGTTTTCTCTCACTCTAAAATATGTAAAGTAACTCAGAGTGAAGTGATAAGTAGAGTTAACTCCATTAACCCTTCCCCTCTTTCTACAAATTCATATATAATCACAAGTTTTATTTATTTTGATTTTTGACAAAAGGCTCATACACTAATGTAAATTATTTATATGCAAGAATAGAGAAAAAGAAAATGTAAACATATGTCCTAACTTATAGTTTTTATAATATTTTATTACTAGCTTTCTTCTTATTGTATATTAAGATATTTAAAAGATCTAAATGATCACTTGTGCTAGGACAGTCATGATTTCAGGGTGTTCAAGAAAGTGTTTGCTCTATAAGGAAAAAAAAGCTAATTGCTCTCTTAAGGTTGCACTAGTTTTGTACTAGTATGTTGTTCACTCTCAGTGTAAAATATGTAAAGTAACTTGAGTGAAGTGATAAGTAGAGTTAACTCCATTAACCCTTCACCTATTTCTACAAATCCATATATATATATATATATATTTTTTTTTTTCTACAAATTCATATATAATCACAAGTTTTATTTATTTTGATTTTTGACAAAAGGCTCATACACTAATGTAAATTATTTATATGCAAGAATAGAGAAAAAGAAAATGTAAACATATGTCCTAACTTATAGTTTTTATAATATTTATATATATATGGCTTTCATCTTATTGTATATTAAGATATTTGAAAGGATAGTCATGAATTAATTTTAGGGTGTTTAAGAAAGTATTTGCCCTATTAAAAAAAGAAACTAATTGCTCTATTAAGGTTGCACTAGTGTCTTCTTTCTTATTATACACATCTCAATGAAGAATCTACACAGTTTTTCTCAAACACTCTTTGTATTAGTAATTTAGTTTTTAGTTTGAGAAATTGATTTGAAAAAGATACAAATTGATCAATTAGACTTTCAAGGCTCAATCAACTTGGAGATGCGCTAACTTCCTCAATTGATGGTGAGCAAATGAAAACTCTGTCAAATGATTGAAATCATGAATACACAAACTCTGTCAAATGATATGGTACGATTATTGCAACTCTGGATTATATGGATGATATGGAAGTCTAGGAATGAAATGTTGTTTCAGTGCAAGACTACACATCCTAACGAAGATGCGAAGAGAGGACTAAATGCAGTATCTGAATGGCTAGAAGCAAACCATGGGTTCAGGATCAGGTGGCAACACGCAGTGCTAAGACTAGTCAATGGGAATCACCAAATAAAGGTTATTTGAAATGTAATTTTGATAGTAGCTTATGTCAAGATTTAGATTACATGGTTGTGGGTTGGATAGTACGAGATTACCAAGGAAAGTTCATAGAAGCTGGATGGGCAAAGTTAACAAGGGTTAGAGCATCTCAAACGCTGGTTTTTAAGAGGGTTTTAAGGAAAAAAACGGAATTAAAAAAAAGAAGAAAGAAAAGAAAATTGTGCAACCAAACTTTTAGCAAGAATTTTTCTAGTTGCTAAAAACCCGCCACGCGTCGCCATAAGGTTAATTCTGCATTAAGGAGAAAAATCTATTTTCTCACTTCTCTCTCTCTTTCTCCTAGCCGATGGAAACGAAGCAAATCCTTCTTCCCAATTCGTTTCCGGCAATCGGTCTCTCACTCAAGTGTATGAACGAAATGCGTCACAACACGATTTTGGAATTCTCACCCGAAGAAGTACTGTCCTGGATCCCATACCTGGTAACTAATCATCTTCCTCTCTCGCCTTTTTTTGGCTTGATTTGTTTGGTGTAGAGCGAACTTAATCTCAATTATTTCTCATGAACTGAAAAGGTTTGATATATTATCCGGTAGTCCATGTTTGATTGTGCTGATTGTATAGCTCGTGGTCGACTTTAGGTGGATAGAAAGTGTTTGTTTAAGAAATGTAGGAGGAGAGGTGTCACATGAAATTGTTAGAACGAGATAGAGAGATTTAATACGAAGGCGTTCTCTGTGTTTCTAATACATGTGTTATTAGTAGCTCTGTGCGTTAATGTTGGTAGTCAAATTTCTGAAATTGTAATTTGGTTTAAACAGATATAGAGAGATTTGCTTTGATGTGTGTATTGTTGTTCTGTGTAAGATCAGCTTATAAATGGGGGTGTGAATTTTGGGGTTCCCTGAGTTTAGATTATGTATATGATGTTAGCTACTTGTCGTTAAGATTCTGACTTTGTAATTTGCATATGATATAGCCGTGTGTGCAGAAACTCACACGGGCTGATCATGACGTATGGAATTTGCATGTTTGTGATTTGGTTCCTTTGCTCATTTCCGTTGATAGGTCTACCGTTTTCAGTTTGAAATCGAGTTTCAAAAACCCTGCATTTGGTGGGGACTACCTGTTTTTTTGTGTTGATTTTGTTGTTTACTGTTTTGTTTGATTGATTTTTTTAGGAGGAAGTAAAAGCTGTGGGGCATTTGAGGAATGAGAGGTTGGTGGACTTGATTGCATTCTGTTGTGAAGGAGACGAGATATTGCTCGTTGCCGAGTTTATGCCTTTCGAAACTTTCTCTAAGCATCTCTTCTACTGTAAGTCTCTCCATCATTTACTTGTTTGGTTTGATTCTCCTCATCTTCTACTACTATTGCATTTCATTATCTGAATCCAAATCACCATAGTTCCTCTGTCTCTTTTTGGTTTTTCTGTGTGCTCTTGACTTACCGTATTATGCTGTTTGTTTGTAATCACTTACTATTGTTTACTCTTTCCTTTTTTCCTGTCATCCTTGCAGTATACAGATGGGGAGGCTGTATGTTGTTACGAAGAATTTTATGAAGATGTTCCTCTGGAGAAATTAATTTCAAGGTCTTTCAGTCAATTCTTCTCTGCCCCTTGACTTCCCTCTCCTCTTCCCTGTCCAATTTCAGCCTTCGTGATATACTAAATCTGAATGTTAGTTTCTGAACCTCCAAACCACAGTTGGCTATTCTTTGTTAGTGGTTCCTTGCATCTCTTTTCAATATCGAATGAGTAACTGAAACATCATGTGTTTGGGAATATTTTTTTTGGAAAATTAATTTTTTTTTTGTTAAGAACCATATAAAAGGTTTTAGCGATGGAGGATGAAAATATTAACAACCCACACAAAAGTTTTATCATAGGTTTGTGTGAAAATTATTAATAAAAAATGTTTTAAAACCCAAATTTTGGTTCTAGGGATGGAGATGGTCTTATGTCACCATTTCAAACAGAAGCATATGGGTTCTTATATGTAGTAGAACGATCATACAGGTGAGCTACGCATTACAACCTCTTGCTTCGCATGGTTTTAGCCGCCTTGGGCACTAACATGGACGAATCTGTTTACATATTCTTTAATTTGATTTGATTCGATTCGGAGTTAATCCAATAATCCTCCTTGTTCTTCTAGTGCAACTATTAATTTATTATTATACCATTGCCAAAAGTGGTTCCACAAGACATTGGTCAATTACATGGGTGGAATACATTGGAATAGATTTTAAGCCAGTGGGAAAACAGACAAACCTCTGGAAACTAAAGCTCAAAAGAGAGAGTCTACAGCCCAAACAAGGGAGACATTTGGGATACTAAACAAAGTATATGCAAATCCAAACATTAGAACCCCAACCTTGCAAGACAATCAGAACCTGGGAGCCTAAAGCCAAGAAAATCGAGAACACCTCCGGCTATTCTTTGAGAGCGGACTTCCTCTTGAAAACGATGTGAGACACTTCTCAACACAACATACATACACATTCCATCCAAAACTATATAAAAAATTTGAATGTGAATAAAAATTCATTTTGCAGATAGAACATGAAACATTGACTTTGAAACCCAAAGTGGGCAGCTTTTTTCCTCTTTCCTCATCAACCAAACTTAATCGCAATTCTTCAAAGCCATTGATAGACAACAACACTGTCTCTTGTGTTAAATGGGTGTCTTCTCCAATCTCCGAGGACCTAAAAGTGGATCGATCCACGAAGGATTGCCTGTAGCCAATGCCTCTCCCTCGTCTCCTTCCTCATTCAAGCGAAAAGTTTCGAGCTTGTTGCCAATCTGCGTCGCTATCGTAGTCCTCATCGAGATCGCGTTTCTGGGTCGTCTCGATAACGCTGCTCTGGTCGATACCTTGACGGATTTCTTCACAAACTCGCCTTCGAGCTCGCAATCTACGACCAGAACATCCGATTTTGAGAAATGCGAGAAGTGGTTAGAGAGAGAGGATTCAGTGAGCTATTCTAGGGATTTCAGTAAAGATCCGATCTTTATCTCCAGTGGTGACAAGGTTTGCCTCAGAAACTTTCCATCTCATTTGGGTTTTTATATTCCTCTACGAATCTAGGATTTGTTCAATACCATGATCTCTGGGTAAGATTAGTCTCTTAAGCTTTGCTTGTTAGCTAGTTGTTGGATGATGATAGTGTGTGCTAGTCTGTGGCTATGGAATGAGCAAAAGTCTCTTTCTTTAGTTATGAGAATTGGTGTGGATGCAACGATTTGAATCTATTGAAATCAAGAACAATACTTTCCAAATGGGGTTCTTGGAGAACTTCTACTTGTGAATGATAGCAGATAACAAGTATTGTATCCCAAATGTTGGAGGATTTATCATCTTCTGAATGGTTTATTGATCTCATGTCTCTAAATTTGTAGGACTTCGAATCGTGCTCAGTTGATTGTGCATTTGGAAGCAGTTCTGATAAGAAACCTGATGCAGCTTTTGAATTAGGTCATCAGCCTGGAACTTTAAGTATAATCCGTTCCATGGAATCAGCTCAGTATTACCATGAGAACGATCTTGCTCAGGCACGACGGTGGGTAAGCAACAATCTTTAACAGGGCTTTATGGATTTGCATGGCATGTAGATTGGTATAAAAGTATCTTACTTTCTTATGTTTTTTCTTGTTTCAATTCAGGAGAGGTTATGATATTGTGATGACCACTAGTCTGTCATCAGATGTTCCTGTTGGGTATTTTTCATGGGCTGAGTATGATATTATGGCTCCAGTGCAACCCAAGACAGAGAAGGCTATTGCTGCTGCTTTTATTTCCAATTGCGAGGCTCGGAATTTCAGGTTGCAAGCTCTTGAAGCCTTGATGGAGGCGAGTTTTAAGATTGACTCTTATGGTAGTTGTCACCGGAACCGTGATGGGAGTGGTATGTATTCGCTGCGCATTGCTACCAAAATTCTCTGTATCAATTCTTTGAAGTTTTTTTGAACCAACTCTTTTTTTTTAACAGTGGAGAAAGTTGAAGCTCTTAAGCACTACAAGTTCAGTCTAGCTTTTGAAAACACCAACGAGGAGGACTATGTCACCGAGAAGTTCTTCCAATCTCTAGTTGCTGGTATGGTTAGCTCTGCACCATTGATCATATCTTTAAATAAGAATGCTAGATGAGTTTCTTTCTTGCTCTACAACTTAAGGCCAAACTCTTGCATGATCTGAGCTTATCATCATGTCAGTTGATGAACGATGATGTGAAGATAGTCATATATGAGCGAGCATTGAGGCTGTTCTGTTTTATATTTTCTGATGAGCATTGTGAAATCAATTCATGTTTTAGGATCTGTCCCTGTGGTTGTTGGAGCTCCAAATATAGAAGAATTTGCACCTTCTCCGGACGCATTCCTTCACATTAAGCAGATGAGTGATGTCGAGCCAGTTGCAAAGAAAATGAAGTATCTTGCAGATAACCCTGCCGCCTATAGTAAGACACTAAGGTGTGCTACAAAATGTTTAAAAATTTCTTGAGACACAAAATAAAAAACATGTTGAGAGACATATTGAAAAGCTTCAAAGCTCTGTTTTCTTTTATCAGATGGAAACAAGAAGGTCCTTCAGATTCTTTCAAGGCACTTGTTGATATGGCTGCTGTACACTCTTCTTGCCGTCTCTGCATTTTCGTGGCTACAAGGATCAGAGAGCAAGAAGAGAAGAGGCCTGAGTTTAAGAGACGGCCCTGCAAATGCACCAGAGGCTCAGAGACGGTCTATCATTTGTATGTTAGAGAAAGAGGCCGGTTTGATATGGAATCCATCTTTTTGAAGTAAGCCAGCTTAAATTTTGCAGCTTTGCTTTATGGATAATGTTTGGTTCAGTAATACTTATCTCTTTTTGCTATAATGGGACAGGGATGTGAATCTGACTCTGGAAGCTCTTAAATCTGCGGTTCTCACAAAGTTCAAGTCTCTGAGACATGAACCAATTTGGAAGAAGGAGAGGCCTGCGAGCTTAAGAGGAGATAATGAGCTTAAAGTACACTCCATATACCCGCTTGGTCTGACTCAAAGACAAGCTCTTTACAACTTCAAATTCGAAGGAAATTCAACTCTCAGTACTCACATACAGAGAACCCCTTGTGCCAAATTTGAATTTGTCTTCGTCTAAATTCTATTCGGACCTTGTTTAGATGACATGAAAGTGTATTTTTGTCGCTTTGAATGAAGTTGGTTTAGGCATGATAAAAATGTGTACATATAAAAATAATACTATTTTTACTTCTATTTGGGATATACATGTCTAAAGATTCAACAGTAATTTGACAAGACACAGAATGATACCAACATCTTCATATCAGCTTTAACAGATTTTACAAATTTTTGCACTTATCTTGTATTTGTTTGACATGTTTTTCTGATTTTACAACATGTTACTTTTTCAAATAGAAAAACAAAGAAATCTTTAATGAGATCGGTTACAACTCATGATGATATGGAATGGAAGTGGGAAAATATATAAATCAGATTTTCTCTTACATTGACAGAGAATCCACTGTCTCATTTGCCTCGAGCATGATCTTTGACTATATGTCTTTTAGGATACTGCCCCATCATCTTCTTTTTTTATTTGGTCCCATATTGTTGTGTCATTTACACTAGTTTATGTTGAGAAATGCATATATATAGTTTTACAAATCAATCTACCAAATCCGTTTAGTTTAGATCTTGAGTGAAAAATCAAGTTTACAAGTGTGGGAAAATCATGCATTCGTCACCTCAGGTGTTTTTATGTATTTGATGATGGGTTACAACTTACAAGTTACAACTTTGACGTTTATACGATTTTTTTTTTTTTTTTTTTTTTTTTGCAGAAGTAGTTTGTTAATAAACCAGTCTAAGAGAATGACATGCCGATAAATATTCTCATTGATTTCTAAGTTTATACAAAGTTCATTGTGACCTCGTTTTGCAGAAAGGATCAAATTTTAAAATTCTAATAAAACCATAAATGTTTTCTGAATTCTGAAACTTTATATTACCCGTCCTACTTCCTAGAAACGATAAGTTTGAGAAAAAGTTCTTAAACTTTTGTTTTTGTCTTATTTGTTAGTTAAGATTAGTTTTCTATTTCTTTCTTTTATTTTCTTACAAAAATGAAAAATGTAATCCTTTCTCTTTTTTTTTTTTTTTTTTTTTTTTTTGTTGTTGTCGACAAATGTAATCCTTTCTCAAATACCCCAACTTATTTTATCAAGCACGTAGATAGACAATTTTATAGATAACAGAAACATCGATCTTTATTCCTTTTTTTACATTTATGTTTACATTTTTTAATTTTCTAATTCGATTTCACTTGTAATGAATCTATGCGAAAGTATGAGAGACAATTTGTGAAGAGATAATGAACTAGACATGAGTGGAGTAGAGCGAAGAGAGTTACAAAATTGGCAATGATTTTGGGTTTACTCTTTTCTTCTTCTCGTTTACTTTTTGTTTCAAATCCAATCTTGTAATTTTCTTTTCTATTTCTAATAAATTTTCTGCTATATAATTTCATTTTCCAAAAAAAAAACAAAAACACTTTAATATTAAATTCCAAATTCTGCTTATAGCAAAAGTGGCTAAGACCCGTTAAATCTCCATCTTGTTATACTGTCCCAAATTCTCTGATAAGTAATATGTCTCCCACGAAAACTATAAGACCAATGATATACTTGAAACATGCTTCTGTCACATTTCAACCAAAGCTTGTAGTATCATTATGACAGTTGATATGGTTATATATTCACTCTTAAGAGTATATTGCATTCACTTTAATTGTTCGGCCTCTACGGACCAAACACATGTCTTGAGACTATGGTTTTGTATTTGTTGTTGTTGAAACTAATTGTCAGTGGGAATATTAGTGTTAACCTAATCAGCTTAATATAAAACATGTGTTTATTCTTCTTTTAACATCTACATCATTTATAATGATCGATGTTTTTTCCTGTCGTGTGTGAGTTGTAGATGCACATTCCCGGATTTGAACTCCGGTGCACGATGTCAACAATAATCTAATTTACCACATTAAACTATAAATTCTGAGTTGCACAAAGGGGGAAAAAAAAGAAACTACAAATTCTGATCTACAAGGACTACAAATTCTGATATACAAAACTACGGATATCACATATAGAAAGTAAAATTAAAATAATAGAGGAAGAGCCGTACGGAAATGGAAGAAAGATAAGTAAAGAAGAGAGAATCAAAAAGAGAAGATTCAGTATCAATGTATCATGCTGCAAAGTCTCTAAACAATTTGGAGTGTCTATGAGTCATACCTCTTTGTGCTCCATGTAAACCACCCAATCATTACCCCCACAATCACTTTATCTCTTTCTATATATCTATATACTATCTACTAATTTTACATATATATATATATATATATATATATATAGCAGCCTAAACACTGTATATATGGATGTGTATCGTAAGAAAAAAGAAAAGGGAGACATTATTGATCATTAAAGGTATGGTGTATAAGAAGCAATGGAAAGTTTTATTTTCTCCATGCGTGATCTCAAGAAACATCCACGTTTTATCATGTGAATTGTCTTTAATATCTACATTTTGTCCTACATGAAATAACACAAGAAAGTAAAAGTTGGAACTGATGAATAAGGAGATCGGATATCTAATCACTGAATTTTTATTACCAAAGAAGTTGGTAAGTTTTATCAAAACCGTTAACAGAAAGAATTTAAAAAAGGAAAACGAAAAGAAAAAGGGTTTACTCGTGTCACTGCCTTGCATGTCAAGTACCACGAATATAACATTTTAATCATTAAACGATTTACTTGTTGTTGATTTAATAATTACAAATTTTACAAAGGAAGGAGAAGAGCGTGCACTTGTGTGGAGCCAAGTCAACAATTGCAATTTGACTACAAATTTTCTCTTAATGGCATTGTTGATTATAAAAGTTAGCCACAGACATCTACTAAAAAAAATTCTTACAATTAAGTGAATAATCATATTGGGGAAAATATTAAGAATATAGCCATTACAAATATTTGGCTATACTACATAAATATATTCACACAAAATTACCTATATTAACCCTAAAAAATACTATACTATATTATTGTTGTTGTAGAACAAAACTTCTACTAGATATTTAGGGTTTAGATTATAGGGTTTAGAGTACTTTTTGAGTTTAGGGTTTACATATTGGTTTTATGATTTATATTTAAGGTTTTAGGTTTAGGGTGTAGAATCTAAAACCAAATACTAAACCCAAAACCCAAAAATAATCTAAACCCAAAAATAAAATATAAACCCTAAACCCAAAATCTAAACTCTAAAGCCTAAACTGAAAAAAACTAAACACTAAAACTATAATATAAACCCTGTTTTAAGAAAAAAATTTAAACCCTAAAACCCAAACTTTAAACCCTAAAACAAAAAAAACAAAAATCCTAAACTGAAACCCAAAATCCTAAACCTAAAAATATAAACACAAACCTAAAATAAAAATACTAAACACAAAATCAAAACCTGAATCTAAAAAAAACTAAACCCTAAATGAGAAAAAGAAAACATGGTTCTATCCTATACACAATAAAAAAAATAGTATGAAATTGATTTTTTATGTATAAAAGAAGAAGGACAAAACTGGTATTATTGTATAAAATATATTTTGTACTCTAGCCAAAAGTTTCATATGGTTAGTTTGTTAATTTTGGTTGTCAATATGATTATTGATTATAATTTCCCTACAATTAAATTAAAATTTCTCAATAGTTATATTCCACTCGTTTAACGATTGGTCACCTTACTATGGAAATGTGCCACGTCCACGGTATGAGATATCTGAGTCCTAAACCCTAAACCCAAAATTTTTATTTCTAAGCTAAAAACAATAATTAAAATATAAATGAACCCTACAAATTTCAAAGAAAAAATCTGAGACGCCATTCAAATGTTTCTTTTGAACGAATTCAGGCCCAGCTTTAAATGTCGCATAACTCAAAATCACCTCTGATAGCTAATGTTGTTCGAAATAAAAAATCAGAACGGTTAATCTATTTTTTTTATAAAGATCGGAACGGTTAAAGTAAAAAAACATCTATATATACGTCGTACTCATTGTCTTCAATGACAAAAACAAAGTTTGGAAATTGGAACCAAATATTCTTTTATGCAAAAGCCCTAACACCATACAAATTCATTTGTGATCTTAACTCTTAACCCATTGTATTTTTTGCAAAAATATCAATAAATCCACACACGAACACACATATATACATCTTTCTCACTCATGGACAGTGGCAGAATTAGATTGCACCTAGATCATATATTAAAAAGTGGTATAAGGAGATCATATGAGAAGATTTGAACTTAGGACAAGGGTTCATACGAGAATATCTAAACCATATTAGCCAACAAACACATTATAAATATAAGTGAAAATAAATATTTGTAAAAGTAGAAGGGTCAGCTGACTCCTTCTCTCTACCTAGCTCTGCCCCTCCTCATGGATATTAAATATTGTTGACAGTTCACTATTGTTCATGTGTTACAAAGAAAGCTTAGACTACTTTCATCATCCCAAATCACATTCACATATGTGGATCAGTGGATCACGCATTCAAAGAAACATATTTTGAAAATATATATATGCTTGTAGGATTACGGCTAACTAGTTTACAAGGATTACGGCTAACTAGTTTATGAGTAGTAATCTGTGATAAAAATCGTAGATACAGACATACAGTAGAAAACAAAAAAAATGGTTACGGTTGCGTCATGGAAGTCTCCAGATCCGACCAACTTGAATTGTTCGATTTTGTTCTTTGTTGTGTTGTGTCCAGACGATCTCAGACCCCCAAAACAGTAACACAACCTAATGTCAGCCGAGCGTGCGTCCCACTCTCCTTGACCAGCTTCCACGTGTCAGCTTTCCTCCGTACGAAAAAGGTAGACCCCACATTCGACTCTAGACATGTACGGGGCCCATTGGTTAACCGGAAACGATGGATTAGAGAGGTTCCCAAAGGAAACAGAGGTCACAAAGTCTGAGCTGTATTGCATATTTAAATGGGTCCCACTTTGTGTCACGTCATCACGTGAACACAATGCGCCGACTCCACTGGATTTCTCCTCCGCCCGGCAATTTTATTTCCTTTTTCGTTAATTTTCCTTTTCTTTTTTTAGAGATCACCAAATTGACGGCAACTATCTTCACCACTATTTTTTTCTGGCAACCCGCAACCAATTTTGTTCTCTTTTATTTAAAAATAAAAATTATAGGATATAGAGATCCCTTCCAAAAGTACTGGAAAAAATCGTATCATTAAAGATATAAACACACATTTTTAAAAATGTGTTACGGTTTACGTGTTTGTTATAAAACATGACAATAGTGTCAAAATTACGGCATATATTGGTAGTTTCTGAACTCTGAATGTTAACAACGATTCATGGTAAAAAAAAAAAAAACTCTTTTATGGATTCATGGTAATTTTAATTATTATTTTATTCTATTCTATCAAACAATACTGCATCTACCCTTGGTTCGTCTTAAAAATTACTATTTCTAACCATGTACGTTTTAATTATAGAATTCAACTGCATCAGTTAGTACCAATTCACAAGTTTTTATTTGTGGGCTATGAAAACCACACTCGAAATTTATAGGTTTTGCAAGGAAGAAACTTAGGGAGATTTAGGGCTAGATTTTGATGTAAGTCGAATGAATCGTAAGCAAGGATTTGGCTAAACGGAATTGTATTAAACGAATGAATTTGGTTACAATGAATTCTCAGAAGAGAGAAAGAACTAAGCTCAAAGGTGAATACAAGGAAAGTATGATAGTAATTAGGTCTAAAGTGATCGGAAGAAGATGTGTGTCCCTGATCCGACTGCTGTCAAGCTCCTTTTATAGCTCCAGAATCAGCTACGATCCACCTCCGCGTATCTCGCCACGTGCAGCTAACGATCCCGGTGATCTCGGACCAGACCGGATTTGAAGGAGATCTTCTTTGACTTCGTCTTTCTTCGCAGTGCCGACCTGGTCCTTGATCGAGCTGGAGCTCGTCTTTACGTCGACCGGAATAGCTCGGATGGCAGTTAACTGGCTTACGAGGGAGTCGCTTGGTGGGCTCGAGGTCTTCTTGCTGGGCTTGAGTGGGCCTGGACTTCAATCTTGGATCAAGGTAATGGGCCCTTACGGGCTAGATTCCAGGTGTGGAATCTGGGTCCAACAATTGCCCCCCAGCCCTTTTAAGTGAGTTTCGAACTTAAAACGGGCGGTTTGTTTTAACTTTCAAAAATTCAAACTTTTGCCGGGCTAAATTCGAATTCCTCGATTCGGGGTATATTCGAGCTTATCCGCAAATGGTTTGAACGGGGTAAAAGATCGCGGGGATCTCGTCGTTGGAAATTGCCTTAGGCATTAAATTTTTCTTTTCTTCGAGGTGAAGATAAGATCTGGCCGTTGAAACGAGGTGAACGGTCGAGATCGCGAACGAATCTTGTCAACTCGCTGCAATCTCGCTACCCGAGCTCCTCGAGAACGGATATCGCGTGTTACCGAGATTCGAAATGATTATGTTTTCGAATCGGACGGTTCAGATTGAGGAGAGCGAAGAGCCCGTGCGGCTGAGATCCGTCTGGGACCCACAGCGCGTCACATCATCAGCTCGTCGCATGCAAGCGGTTAAGATCTGTGAGTTGTACGGTCGAGATTCACGCAGAAAAATCGGATTCTTTGCGATCTCTTCAGCAGTTAATACTGAATATAAACTCGACCCACTACTCTTCTCTTTAACCGTGCCCACGTTTTTGAAAAGGTAACTTCTCCTCTCTCTTTTACTTATTTATTTGCTCTCAATTTTAGATTAGATAACTCCAAGTTCTTGAAAATTATCGAACCTTTGCAAAATTTCGAGCGTTTTAGGTTGTTTCGATTTCGAATTTCTCCAAAACCTCCTTCAACCTCTTTTTCCTCCGTCTCCTCCTCCGATTACAATGCCTCCGAAGGTAATCGTCAAGCAAGAGAAGGGAAAGGCCGTCGACCCCGGTGGCGACGGGAAGTTTACGCCGCACGCCGAGACGGCGCTCGACGCCGAAAGCCTAGACACCTTCCGTCAGGATTTCGGGATCCCGGACGAGATAAGCTCGTCCTGCCGGCTGAGGGCGAGGACCCGGAACATGTTCGTCCGGGGTTTTGCTGCGCCTACACGTCGTATTGGCGGAGCGCCGGGATGATTTTCCCGGTCCCTCGTTTTCTGATGGAAGCGCTCGCTCATTACAAGATGGCGTTTCCACAGATGCACCCGAGCTTCGTCCGCCACGTGATAGGATGTGCGGTTCGAGCTCGGGAAGAGGGCGTCTCGTTCGGTGTTCGAGATTTGAGAAAGCTTTTCTCGGTGAAGAACAACACCAGGCTACCCGGGTCGTTTTACTCCTCGCCGAGGCCGAATCGGCGAATATTCACGAACACCCCGCAGAGGGATAGCGGGTGGAGTGACGAGATGTTCTTCTTCCGGGTCAGCGAGGCCACGATGGGCGACTTCGACTTTGGTCGAATCCGAACGGAGTGGGCGACTAGCGTTGGTTAGCTTAGGCCGATTTCCGTTTAGGATAGCGATACCTCGCTTGACTTATGGAATACCTCGTTTATTGACGATTTTTTTTGTCTTTTGCAGTTGTAGATCCAGTACCGAACAACCCGGGGATTGATTACCTCGTCGAGCGACTCGGAAGGGAAAAGGTGAACTGGAGTACTTTTACTCCGGAACGGATCCGTCGTGTTCTCAGCTCTCCTCCTGCTCCTCCTCCAGGTAATAATCTCCCTTTGACCAGCTAGAAATTCATTTTACGAACTCTTTGTAACGAGCTGTTTACATAAATTTTCCAGCTGATCTTCCGGTTAGATCGGCGCAAGATTCTAGCTCCGCTTCTTCTGTTCCTCCTCTCTACACGCAGATCGAAAATGCCTCGTCGTCAGCCTCTCAGATCCCGGACCGCAAAGGGTGCCAAAGGCGCTTCCTCGGGTGGAAGTCGAGTTCGTGCCGGCGAGTTCGTAACGGCGGTGGAGGAGGCTATGGCTTCGAAGCCCACGGCGGGGTCTTCTGCCCTTGCCGACCAGGTGGTTGACCAGGTCGACGCGACCGCTGAAGGAGAGATCGTTCCTCTCCCGAGTACGGTTCATGTGAGCTCCGATCGGACTCGGAGTTCGGATCAAGGTCACTCGAGGCAGGCGTCGAAGCGAGCTCGGAGTGACGATGGAGAGGCTCGTTCTCGCGAGGGCGGTCCGACTGCCTCGAACGGGAGCGGGGGAAAGCCGCCGTTCTACTGGCAGTACGAGAATTCCAGAGGCTTCCCCGTTCAGGACGACGAGGAGGGAACAGCTCGCATTCAGCTCCACTTCAAGCCCGTCGGATGCCGGCTCCCGTCCCTGAACCAGATGTCTGAGAAGGAGCTCTACATCGCGACGTGCGCTGCGAGCGGGAGGGTAAGAACTGTTTCCCTAGTCAAAACTTTAGACGAGAGTCTTTCTTGTTGTTTTGGCCTTGGTTGAATTTTTTGTTTTTGTTAGGCTGTGGCAGCTCGTAACATGTTGGTGTCCCGCCTGGAGTCGAGGATCAGAGATGCGCCTCAGCAGAAAGAGCTCGATCAGGTGAAGGAGCTCGTTGCCAAGTTGACCTCCGATCTCTCTGCGGCGAACGAGCGGGTAGCTCGTCAGGGTGAGCTCTTGAAGAAACACACCTCGCAAGAGGGTCGTGTGAAAGAGCTCGAGACCAGGGAGGCCGATCTCTTGCGCCAGCTGTCCCAGAATCAGGAGCAGATGGCGGCTTTGCAGAAGGAGAGCTCGAGTGCGCTGACGCAGTCGCTTCGCCTTAGCAGGGAGAACCAGGTACTCATCGCCGAGAAGGACAATAGCTCGCCGTGCCAACCGCGCAGGTCGGAGGGAGATGGTCGCGAAGCATCGGGAAGTGCTTGAATCGGCTAAGGCAAAGTTCGAGGAGAAGAGGGTGGAGGGTGAGAAGGAGGGCGATCAGATCGAACTCCAGTCCAACATCGATCTCCTTACGTCGCTGATCTCCGGTGCGATCAACCAGGAGGAAGAGCTCGCCAGGTTGAAGGGGCTCGAAGATGAGGTGGCCGAAGCAGCCAAGGCGGCCCAAGTCTCCGATTTCTCGATCGGGAAGTTTAACCTTCCCGTGGTTTCGGAGGACTCGGTCGCGCGCATGGAGATCGACCCATCGACGAGCATCCCGGTTGGCTTGAACCCGTTCGGGACGAATGCCGAAGAGAAGGGAAGCAACGAGGAGGAAGAGAAGGAAGATGAAGAGATGACCGTCGAGGACTGAGCTCTTGGTCGACCTCTTTCTATCTCTACTCCTTTTTTAATTTATTTTAAGACTTGGTTGCCCGGCGGGGTTTTTACGCTTTATGTTTCGGATTTGGTGCCTGGGAAGGCTTTTATCCACAAACTCGTTTGCCCGCGGGGGCTTTTAATGTTTTGGCCTTAGGCGTTTTGCC